CCGAAGATGTCGTTGTCGTTCCTGCACCAGGCCGGTTTCAAATCAGCCTTATGATGCGGACTTTGATGGGAGACGCAGTGGGATGAAGGTCTCGCAAAGTCACTTACCACCGCAGTCGATATTCCAGGTGGTAGCCGTAGTCGGTGCGTTTGCGCTGCCGCTTCGACGCCAGGTCCAGCCCGAGACTTGCCATTTCTTGACCCATTGACCATCAAGGACAAGATGTCTGGAGAGTCGGCAGTTATTTTTGAGAGATTTGCGCAATATACGCTTCTACAGGAGCCCTCCCACCGTGATACCGTGCCTATTGGTCTGGGTATAGCATGAGCGGAGCCACGAGGCTGAGTGGATACGAGCATCTACATGCGCTTTGTGGATTCATCCGCCTCGTGAGCTGTGGCGGGGATAAATCTATCCTGCAAATTAGGTGGTCCAGATTCCTGGACTGGAGTGAGTTTAACCAATGGATACAAAGGCCTGTAACCATGTCGACGGAGAAAGCAATAACTCCCCACTGAATCTCCATGCCGGAATGAAGTGGCCAGAACAGGGTCGCAGAGGCTGGTACTCTGGAGCGGTCTATTGTCCGTGCACCGCGGGGGAATGCAAGATCGAGAATTAACCAAGTCCCGGCGGATGTGAATATTGCATGCCAGGAATGGTGTCGGGAAGTTATGCGAGGTATCTGTCAAGGCTTCTGTGTTTGGCTATGATATTATTGCTCGTTTAGTTCCAAGAGTTAGTTTTATTTCATTTCTGGACAAAATATCTTATCGGCCTTTGAGAATCAATCAGTGCCTGAATACCAGAGGCCACTTTTGAAAACTACGACCGAGATTCCCGCAACCCATTGCAGAATATGGCGCCTGAGTTGGTCTATCTGCCTCCTCCGGGACTCGAAACCAATCTCGACATCCTTCGCAAGCGAATAAACGCAGAGTTTGGTCTGTCTCTACAAAATTATCATGACCTCCACTACTTCTCGGTGTCCAGGCCCAACGACTTCTGGATGACGTTGTGGAGGTTCATGGGAATCAAGGCTTCTGTACACCCAACCAAGGCTGTCGACGAGTCACTCCGGATCGACCAGTTTCCGCAATTCTTTGAAGATGCCCGTCTCAATTACGCAGAGAACCTGCTCTGCAGAACAGATGACGGTGTGGCGATCCGGTATCTTCACGAGCAGAACCTGGATTCACCGCGGGAGGTGACGTGGAAGGAACTCAACGAGACCGTTCGGCAGTTCTCAGACGCGATGAGGGCGTCGAAGATCTCGACGGGAGACGTTGTGTGCATCATTGGGGGAAGCTCGCCGCAGTCTCTTGCACTCTTCCTGGCTACAGCATCCGTTGGAGCCATCGTCTCGGCCTTTGCCACGGACGCGGGAGAGCGAGTGCTGCTTGATCGGATGGGCCAGGTGTGCCCGAGGATCGTGTTCGCAGAGTCTTCGTACCAATACAACGGCAAGAGACACGATATTTCTGGCAGGATTGCAAAAGTGTTCAACTCCATCAAGAAATCACCCGACGCAGAGGTCGTCTGCATTGCTGGAACCGTACCACAGGGATGGACTCCCGTGCAAGACTTTCGGCGGCGCGGGACCGGCAGGCCCCTTCGCTTCGACCAAGTACCCTTCAATCAACCTCTGATGATCGCCTTCTCTTCAGGCACTACCGGCACGCCGAAGGGCATCGTCCACTCGCACGGCGGCTTGGTGGTGAATGGGAAAAAGGAGAGCCTCCTCCACAAGAACTTTGGCCCGGAGGATGTCCACTACCACTATGCAGGCATCGGCTGGATCCTGTGGAACATTATGGTGTCTGCCATGTTCTGCGGCACGACCGTCGTTCTCTACGACGGATCCCCATTCTACCCAACCCCGGAGAAACAACTCGCAGCGGTGCTGGGAGCCGGAGTAACAGCCTGGGGAGCCGGTCCTCGATACTTCTCAGAGCTCCAAAAGGCCGGCGTCAACCCCAAACCGTACGCCAAAAATCTCAAGTGCATCTTGTCCGCGGGCGCCATCTTGACAGAATCGCAGTCAAAGTGGCTGATGGAGGCCTTTGGCCCTGTGTGTCAAATGTCCTTTTCCGGCGGGACGGAACTCTGCGGGAACTTCCTCGCAGGCCACATCGGCATGCCGGGCTACGCGGGTGAAATGACAGTCAAGGAACTCGGAGCAGACGTCGACGTGTTCACGGCCGACGGCAAGCCCGCGAGACCGGGCGAGAGCGGAGAACTCGTGTGTAAGAAGCCGTTCCCCAACATGCCGGTCAAGTTCTGGAACGACCCGGGCAAGAAGAGATATTTCGACTCATACTTCTCCACCTTCCCTGGTGTGTGGAGGCACGGGGACTTCACCCGGATGAATCCAGAAACCAAGGGATGGGTGATCCTGGGCCGCAGCGACGGCGTGTTGAACCCGTCCGGGGTGCGCTTCGGTAGCGGGGAGATATATTCCATCATCGACCAGAAGTTCCGGGACCGGGTGACAGACTCCATTTGTGTGGGCCAGCAGAGACCATGGGACGAGAGCGAACGGGTATTCTTGTTCCTGAAAGCCGCAAAGGGGTCGAATACTGCGTCGTTGGAGAGGGAAATCCGCGCTCAGATTGCCAGGGATCTGAGTCGTCGTCACGTCCCGCAATTCGTGTTCTGGGTCAAGGACATCCCCTACAATGCCAACAACAAGAAGCTGGAGATTCCGTTGAAAAAGGTCCTTTCTGAGGGAAGCGCAGGGATCGCAAAGTTGACGTGTCCGGCAGAGGAGAAGGCTGTTCTGGCACAGTATCTGCCGTTTTACGAGGTTGAGAAATTGCTGGGTGCGGAAACTACCCGATTGAGTGCTAGACTGTAGATACTGTATATTTGCTTTAACTACTAGGCGTTTGGGCAGATATGAAATTGACAGTTAGCGATGCCGATTAGGAGAAAATAGATGAGAGTCCCATCCCTAGACATGACCAGGACGAGTTGACCACAACTCGCATAGTAACTCTCACATTCCTTGATGCCCTTGATCGCCTTCAGAAGGACACTCGATTCGACCGTCCTTTACACATGAAAATAACATCCCCCTGTTTCAAAATAGAAATGCCTCTCCAAGCGGGGAAATCTGCTGTAGGCAGACGCATCCCATCACCAGTCGCCGAAGTATTTCCCCCGCCCGGAACAGCAGAGAACGCCGAGCACCGTCCGATCAGTCTTTCATTAATCTATGAAACTGGCTGTCGTCTTCAGCGCGAACAAGTATTGACGTCCTCAAAGCACAGCTCCAGCAAACCGCAATGGGTATCCACGAAGCATTCGAATCGCCGCCTCCAAAATGCGGTGGCTGCGACGTGACCTTCCCCGAAGCCCATATCATGCTTGCAACCATCAATCGACCCCGGCAGCTCAACTCGATACCCTACGCACTCCATTGGGAGATGGACGCACTGTTCAAATGGTTCGACAACGAGCCCTCGCTCCGCGTGGCCATCATCACAGGCACGGGCAACCGGGCGTTTTGCGTCGGCTCGGATCTGATCGAGATGCAACGAGTGAAAAAGTCGGGCGACGATTCGTGGAAGGCCGAGCCGTACAAATACACGCACCCGACGACCGGCTTTGCAGGGCTGAGCAGGCGGGAAGGGAAGAAGCCGGTCGTGGCTGCGGTCAATGGCTACGCGTTGGGTGGAGGGTGGGAAATCGCCCTGAACTGGTGCGTCCACACCGTCCCCCCCTTCCTTTTTTTTGAGAAAAATGAAACGCACGGCTAACGTTGGATGAGCAAGTAGTGACGTGGTAATTGCCGCTCGAAATGCCCAGTTTGGTCTCCCAGAGGCCAAGGTTGGGCTGTATGCCTACGGAGGCGGTCTTCCTCGACTCATTCGAACGGCAGGGCTGCATGTCGCCAGCGAGATCGCTCTCAGTGGACGATCCATCACAGCGGAAGAAGCACTCCAGCGTAATCTCGTCAACTACATCTCGAAGAAACCGGAGACGCTCATTGACGAGGCTATCGAGATCGCCCGAGGCATCGCTGCAGTATCGCCAGACGCGATGATCATTACGAGGTCGGCCTTGAGGGAGGCATGGGAAATTCCCAGTGTCGAGAGAGCATTTCAGAACACTCATGAGAGATTCTACGAGAAGATGATGGCGGGTGAAAACTCGAGTGAGGGATTGGCTGCGTTCAGGGAGAAGAGGCCGCCGAGGTGGAAACCATCGAAGCTGTAGTCTCTATCCTCTTGTCTCTGGCCTCCTAGCATTCCATACGATAGTGGTATAATATACACTGTGACAGAGCTTGCATTATCGTTGAAAAGCCAACCTCGCTGAGCGAGACAATGCTCGGTGCTATGTATATGGACGTGCTGCTCTGATACGGAATTCTTTCGACGAGGCTATACCTCAGGATGCGGAAATCTGTCCAGCCAATAATATTGGACACTCGGCCACTATGAGATAGAGTGCCAGCCTCACACATGCTTTGGCTCTAGCTAGTCACGAGGTCATTAATGCATTTGACGGGCTGGGGGGGGGGGGGTGCCTTGACAGTGGTACCCTGCATATCCCCCTTCTGCCACAAGGACCCTTCCCACTTGACAGGAAGGGTGTCTTTGCATTTCAAAGCACGCGGGTGAAAGGACCACAACTCAAAAAAATGCGTGAGTTTCTCTCAGCATCAGCATACGTCATGACTAGTGATTTCTCTTGGTATGGGGATCTCACGCTCCATTGCCACCGACTCATCCCCCACCAGCTCCTCCCGCAAAAACCCCCGCCACGCCAACCCAGATGCATCCAGAGTTCTGGAGAAAGTCACCAACTGCGCAGCAATGCGCCGAGGGAGGCGCGGTAGGGTTTCATTTATTAAAGATGATGCCGTTGCACGGGGCGCGTCGCGTAGCCTAGCCACGTCCAGGGTTGATAACAAAAAGTGACAAAGTGACAAGTTATCCCGTCCTACAAGAGTACCCAAGTCAAGAACGGAAAGAAAAGGTCGAATCTAGGAAATGTCGTTCCCGGTACGTGGAAAGAATGCTATCGTGACGGGTGCCGGTTCAGGTATGTATCCATGTATGTAACGACCCGAGTCCTTTGTCAAGTCTGCAGTCTAGAACTCCAGCGGCAAAATCCTCTTACTGTTTGTCCGGCGTCCAGTTGACCACATTGGCCAAAACCGCTAACAAACGCACCTGTCTGCGGGAGGTAGGAATCAACCTGGCATTCGCCAAATTACTCGCCAGTAACGGCGCGCACGTCGTCGTCGCCGATCTCCAAGAGACGCCCGCGTTCAAGGAATTCCAGAAAGCCACCACCGCAACAAAGGTGCTCTTCCACAAGACGGACGTGTCGAGCTGGAAGGACCTGGAGAGTCTGTTTGCATTTGCAAAGGCCGAGTTGGGCCAGATTGACGTGCTGTGTAATGGTGCTGGGGTCTTTGAACCGGTTCGCCATCTCTCTCTCCTTTCTTCTTTCTCCCGCCGACGACATCGATTCTACTATAAAATATCAGTGTTTAGACACTTTAACTAACCCTTGCGGATTTGTCCGGGTGCGGGAAAAACAGGACTGGTCTAGTTTCTGGAAAGACACCGAAAAGACCAGCTACAAGTCGATCGACATCAACGTGCAAGGGTTGATGAAAGGCACACGGCTCGCGATCCGCGACCAAATCACCCGGTCGAAAGGCCGCGGCCGCGGGGGCGAGACCGTGGGAGTGATCCTCAACATCTCATCGCTGGCCGCGCAGTACGCTCTCTTCAACCAACCCCTCTACGCGACCTCCAAGGCCGCCGTGTCGGCATTCACTCGGTCCCTCGCGCCGCTGCACCAGGAGTTCGGGATCAAGGTCGTTGCCGTCGCGCCGGGCATGGTCATGACGCCGCTGTGGAGCGAGAGCCCCGACAAGATGAAGGCCATCTCCGAAGACGACGTGTTTGCCACGCCCGAAGAGTTGGCCGAGACCATGCTCCTGCTCGTCGAGAGCGCCGAGTACGAGGGCGGGACAGTCCTCGAGAGGCTCAAGAATACGACGAGGAGGGTCTTGGTTGATAGTCCATTGCCATCGGGCCCGGGCTCGACCATGAGTAAGATGGATCTGATCTATGAGGACACCATTGCTCTGTTGGAGGCTGAAAGGAAAGGAGGGGCCACGAAGTAGTACAATTCTTGCCACAAAGGAAAAAAGAGTTGGACGGATTATAAGACATGAAGATTCGTAAAGTTTAAGTCATGCGTTGACCGTAGCGTATGAACCACTCGTCTCGATCCTGGCCTGGAATACCCGCGTGAACATGTGTTCCCAATTAAACCGAAAAAGCGTGTCACAGCGTGGTGACTCCAGCGGGGAGTCTCTGACTGCGCCGTGCATGGATAGATACATCTCTCATTCGGTTCGTCCAGTGACATTATAGATGCAACTTCAACCTTAGACACCGCGCTGGCGATGCTGCATGTGGTTGAGAAAGGGATAGTTGCATCCTCTAAGTGGGTGCTGGTGACAGGCTCGTAATGTAGCCAGATATTTTGCTCCGGAACGGAATTCATTCACTGTGGCTGAAACGTGTTTGTCTCATGCCGATGGGCCGCCTCCTGTTCCTCGATCTGCAACAGCCGGACAAAAATCTCTGATACGTTCGACGCCATCTGCCACACTTTTAGTCGGCGGGTGATATCCACGCTCAGCTGGAGCACTCGACTCGGCGCCTCCGGGTCTTGAACGTCGCCCACACCCTCCAGAAAAGTCTTGCCGCCGTTCTTGATCCAGTCCTTAACGGCCTGACTGGCGCGTTGGGAGCTGCAGAAGGATGGTTCATCCAACTGAATCGACGGCCCCGTGCGCATCGATGCCTGATGTGGACAAAAATATTTGCAGCTCGCCCAAAGTGTTATGCCCGCCAGAAAGACTGACAGAGGTTCGAGGGGTGAATTGAATGGGTGGCGGCGTTGGAGGTAGCACACCTGCGAGGCATGCCACATCATCTCCCTGATGATTTCGGGGTGTTCGCCAAATGCTGCGATGGTTGCCGCCTCGTCCACGGCCGCGCCTTTGTTGTTGGTGTTTGAGGCAGAGCCTGTGGTGTTGGACAACCTGGTCATGTCAAACACGGAGGCCCGTTTGCGGGCGACGCGAGTGACGAGGTCGACGATCTTCCCTGCGCCAAATATGTGGCTATAGTGTCCGGCGACCCCGATGCGAAGGGCGTGGCGGAGGGTGTAGCGGCGCGGATGATCAGCCCAGCTGAATTCATACACGGAGAGGATAGCTCTTGAGAGCTGTGACCGCACAGCGCGACTCACTTCCAGCCCGTTGTTGCCCTTCCAGAGGATGTGGTACAGGCCCGAGTCCATTTGCTCCTGGCAAGCGTACAGCTGCTGGCCGAGGCACCGGATCAACAACCGCTTACCGATGTTGTCGAGGGAGCTGATGATCGATGGGCTGGGTTTCTCTAGAAAATCGTGGATGGTCTGCATGGTCGGAGGTCCTCGCGGCGCCGTCTGAAATGGACAAGCCGCCCAGGAAAAGGCGGTGGGCGCATCCCAGTGTAACTGCTCACAAGGGAACTCCGGCGGCAGTTCCTCAAGTTTTGTGCACGGGTTCTGTTTTGAAAAGGCCGAGTATAGACAGTCAAACTCCTGAGATTGGACGGGTGGTCAGCTCATGCTGTAGAGTCGCCTGCCTTGTCCTGGAGAGTGCTAAAATTACAAGCGGGTTGATGAGACTCACGAATAGAAACCATCCCAATCTCTTGACTTGCTCTTTGCTCACCCAGTCGAGCCACGTTTGAAATGTGTCTCGCTCAGACGACTCCGTTTCACTACGCGAGACATGTAGTCCTGTGCTGTTCATCTGCCGAGCTATGCTGATGAGGCGCGAACGAGAAGCGTCCGTCATCTCGAAAAGGCGTCGCGAGCCTGAGCCCATAGCGTGGAGATGCTGTAGCAATAGGGATACTCCATAGGAGGGAGACCGCAAGAAACGGGGATCATGCTCGCCCTAGGTCAATCCAGGTTAGTTACCCCCATGTGATGGATGACGGAGGAGTGGCGCTAACCATCCAAGTAGACGTCCGCCTGCAGAGCTCCGCAAGCGTGTCGGCAAACTCAATGGACCGATCGAGACCAGAGTAGCACGCCCCAATCTGTTGACACATGTTAGCCGTGAAAACCTGAAACCTAAGGAGCGGCTGCAGTGATGACTCACGCAGGCCATGGTCAGCACCAGAATCGTGGGTGCATCGGATATCTTAAATGTCGGCCGATGTATTATGGGCCAGAGCTGGTGCCAACAGGTCAGCAAAGCGAACGGAACGTGCGGCAGGCGCTGCTTTCCACTCACGTCATGGAAATGGAGAAAGTATAGATCAGTGAAGTGATGAAGAATGTCGGGACCTGGCAGTGATCGTAGTAAATCCACATCCTCTTGCCAAGGTACTCGCACAAGTGGCAGACTCAGCAGTTGGATGATACTTGATAGTTTCTTATCATCCAGTTTTCCAAAGGTCCCAAGGAGCTGGAAGTTCTTCCTTGGAGAGCTTGTGCCGCTGACACTGTGGTATTTTTGAGCACTTCTAAGGTCCTCGGGATTGAGGACTGGGAAAGCGATCCTTTCCTCCTCTCCTTCAGCTTGGTACTCGTACGGCCAGGTGTTGGCGTCTCTTTCCACCGAGACTGGATCTGGCGCTTCCTCCAGCGGGGTGCCGGCACTTGGATCGTGTGATGCAGATGGAGTTGGTAGTGCTGATGTGTCTATATTCGGGAACGTGGCCACCGAGTCTCCTTTGTCGAGCGAGAGGCCAGTGTCAGTGTTTGCCCCTATGGCATTGTGATTCATGGCTTTACTGTCTCGCATCATCTGCTGGACCCTTGTGGACCTATTCGGGTCCTCCAAGCCTTGCATTGGAACGTCCGGGACGCTCAAGTCTGGTGGCATGCTGTAGGTATTCGCCAGGGTCTCCGAGTTCATCCAACTGAGGAGCGAGAAGTTACTGTCAAAATCTATCTTGGGTCAATCAAAGTCTTGGAGAAGGACAAACATGTCCGTCGTTAGATGCCATGCATACCATTGAAGGAGTAGAAACCATTATCAAACAACGGCTGGACTCCAGGAAACGATGTCATTAGGTCCGAATCCTGATGGAACGCGTTGGAGAAGTTTGACCGATTATGACTATTGCGGTCAGACACTGGAGCTACGCCGACATTGTGTAGCTCGGACGATGTTGCATTCAAAAGCATTTCCCATTGTGAGTCGAGGGTGTCGCCGGCGAGCTGAGAAGGTAGCTCGGAAGGAGGCTCTGGGATGATTTGACTGCGCTCGGATGCAGCACTCTCTTGCGGGAAGCTGTTACTCGAGTCGGCGTTGGTCTGAGTCTCGGAATCAGCTGAACTGGCAGACCTTTACAGAGTCAGCTGGTAAGGAGATGCAGAAGGTAGACGGTAAGTACGCCTTGTTTGGAGCTTGTTTCGAGGTCTTCCTCGGTCGTCCCTTGGGTCGCGGCTCGCAATGAATTCCATGTAGCACGCGGTAATGCCGCACCAGCACATCCCTAGGCACGTCAGATCCAGCCGAAAACAACCGCCGCACCTTAGACTGACCTCCTAGAAAACCTCCTGCCACATGCCGTACACGCAGAGTCGAATGCACCACGCTCTGAATGAGCGGTAAGACGATGGCGTTCCAGGTGATCCTGTCGAGATAGAACTTGACCGCAGTCTTCACAGGTATGGGACTTGCTCTTAGAACTCCCTGCGCCAGCGGGCATCTTGACACGAAGATTAGGGCAATGTTGGTTTTTTTTTTGGTTCTCTGTGGAATTTCGAGCCTTGTCCACTATTTTTGTTATATTGCGCGAAAGGTTTGAATGTCGAGGAGGCTGGCGGGGGTTTTAAAGGAGGGCGGCGGACTTTTTGTGAGCCAAGGAAAGTGTTCCAGCCGGGGCCACGCGGCTTCTCCGGATTTCATGTTTGATTTCAGAGTGCGAGGCACTAAAGCGGGATCCCCGCAGTTCCTCTGGCTTGGCCTTGGAGGTGTCAGACCCTGGGCGATTGTGATGTTTAGCGGCGGAAGAGTGGATAGGGACAACCAAAGTACTTGTAAGGGGGCGTTCCACACGTGTCGGTGATGTACTAGGTACCGAGTACTCGGTACAAGTATCCAGCATTTGTAGGAGCTACCACTGTCCAGCGGCTAGCCTCTCACGTGCTTAGTGTATCACTGATGAAGCGCTGTCACGTGTCCTCGTAGCGACAGCCTCGTGACAGAGTTCAGCCTTGTGATATTTGATGGCCTCATGACATGGTTCGTATATCTCTATGAATTTTGAGGTCCAAAAAGTGATGCATGGACCAGAGATTCACTAGAGCTCTTTCAGGATCCCCTGAAAGAGTGAATACCAAGAGCTCTGTTCATCTTGATCGTCACTTTGTTCCACATGTTGAGATCTAATGATGAAAGAGTGACAGGGGACATTAACCAGGTTCCGTTAATTCCTCTCATTGTTGCTACTGCTATTGCTCACTTACTCTTCACGACTTCGGCTCAGTTTCCTAGTCGCGTTAGACTCTTTCTACCAAGTTTGAGTGACACGGCTTTGCCCAGATATATGAGAATGAAATCTGTTCCTCTCAGTTGTCTGAAACTTTTGTACATTTCCATAATTTCTGTTTGCATTCCCCGTCTAGATTCACCACTTGGCTAAACATCACTTGGCGAGCGTCACTCTGTCACCGTAATTACCGCGACACTAAGGAAAGAGTCGCGGTGATGGCTAGAAACATGGATAATTGCGGCACTGGCAGCTTTGTTTGGGTGACACCCCTACGCGAACGAAAAGTGGCTGCTCAGTACAACATGGAAGGTTCATTCGGTGGCCCAATCTATTCCCCACTCCACAATACCTGGAAGAGACCTCTGCAGGTGGAGGACTCAGGGGACGTGGTCCTGGAGGGAAAGAGTGCCATATCGCAAGTCTCACACCTCGGATCAAATATCAACCAGGTCAACAAGGTCTGCTTCGAAACATCCACCCACAAACTCCTGAGTGGCTCATCGTTCTAGGCACTGGGAAACATTGGAAGCGTCTCAATGGCAGCCGGAAAGCTCTATGTCACCGTCTGGCTAGGCGAAACTGCAACTTTCAGCGAGGTCTTCATGTCGGGCTTCTGGTTGGATGGTGACAAATTCCTGACCTGTGCACATCTTCTGGACACGATCGAAGGAACGAACATCTCCCGCACATTGAAACTCCTCCAAGACCCAACACTGACTACACGGGCCGCATTTGTCAATGTCTCGAGAGTCTCAAGAGACCATGACTACACCGGTAAGCTACAGAAACTCACCATGCATTTTGAGGCCGTACTAACTGAATTGAGACGCAAATTCATGGCCAGTTTACCTCATTCATCATGACCGCGCGTCCGATCTTGCTGTTTTCCGCCTGAAACCAGATGCTGGCAAAGAGAAAGGGCAGCCTCCGCATTCCGTTGACTTGACGTCCCTGGTTTCGATCTATGCCGGGGAACCCTTCAACGAGTCCAACCCTCCGAGCAGCGAAGCTACACTGTACCCAGAGCTCTTCGCTGCCTATTACCCGGGTATGCAGTGCACGGTTACGGAGGCCCACCTGAACCAAGATAGGAAGGCTGGTGCGCAAGCTGCCAATGTCGAGGACGCATGGGATTGGATGAGCCGCGAAACAATAAGTCGGGCCAAGGAGAATGGGAAACATTGTGTCACTAAGAGCATAGTGAGATCCCCACTACATCGACATGACTGATCTGTCACTAACATTGCTACTAGAAATATGCAGAAACGTTCGCTGCCAACACCCGAAGTGTCGCCTTTGGCAGAATCATCACCTGTGCCTCTTCTCCAGTCCTAATACAAGAACCCTCGAGCATGACCCATCTCAAAAACTGCGACATCGTGGGATATTGGGGTTGCTCTGGGGGTATGGTCTGCCAGTACCAAACCGCCGCAAATGGTTTCGAGCCAAAGGTCGTCGGATTGTGTAAGTTACCCACTTGGACTTGCAAGCCTCCAAACACCAAATGCTAACATTCAAAAGTTCATGGCGAAGACACCGACAATAGCTGCAACAATATCTTGGTCTTCACCCCTGGAGGTGTAAATGAGCTTCAGAAACTGCTGCGTAGTCATGCATAGCTATTCGCTGGCCTCAAAAAATGTCAGACAAAGGCCATTGCCATCCTCGAGCATACCCGACAAGTCAGCACATTCCACGACAACAAAGGCCGGCCAAATACTATGAGAATACGTCTGTACGTCCGATCGATGGAATCGAGGAAGTTTCATTAACAAGAAGGGAAACAAATTGGGGCAGAAGTGCGATGGAAAACACACACACCAATAGACAAAAACAAACAAAAGAACAACCAAAAACCAGAAAACCAGAAGGGAAGAAAGGAAGGAGAAAAAAAAGCGAAGTGAATTTTTCCATTTCGGATACCCAGGCCACACAGACTTGGATTGTGCCATGAAGCTTCTATTCAATCGGGGGAACTCAACACCGTGCTTCGGTCAGTGACAGCGAGAATGGCGATAGATGATAGAGCTGCTATGGAGAAATCAAGGCTTGACACCGACCAGTCTCTACTCGATACACCCATCGATGCATTGATTGGCCAGAGTCTTCTCGGTGGCTTTGCTGGGGGTGGTCATAGGAATGCAGGCGTGATCAGGAAAAGTAGATAGACCCCAAAGAAACGCGTGCGTCAAGGCCTTTAGCCAGTGCATATGAGTCAATCTGATTCAATTGCGAAAAGAATAAATGGGTGATTCACATCATGCGTCAATCAGTCGGATTAGGGACGGATGGACTTCCAGTCAGACGATGGCAGTGATTACTAGATCCTGACATCCTGCCCGCATAATTAAGCTCCCACGCAAAGATATTGTTTTCCCTCTTTTTTTTTCCCTTTTGCGTAGAGTTTCCTTCTTTTCCTCTCTACTCTATGATCTGGCTCCAAAGCTGGCATCAATAACTTCTCTTTGACAATGGTCCAGACCTAGCCCAATGACGACAGACTATATTCTAACTGGGCCAAAAGCCCGTGAGAATCTTGCTCTCGCCTTCATCCAGCTGAAGAGTAGTCTGACCAGACCCATTCTCCAATCTCTTCGAGTCAATGCGCGCGACAAACTGTATCTTGCGCCTGCCGGTGAAACGTGCCGAGACAAGCTGCCCCTTCTTCCATTCCATGTCCACCACGATGCCGCCGCGGGCACAAACCCCCGTGACCCGCCCGACGTCCTCCCACTCGCGCGATAAGCAAGGGAGGAGATCAACATAGCCGTCTTCGAGGCTCTGTATCAACATCTCGGCAATGCCTGCCGCGATGCCAAAGTTGCCGTCGATCTGGAATGGCGGGTGGTCGCCAAAGAGGTTGGGAAGGGTCGAGTGTTGCAGAAATTTCTGGATAATGGATTGTGTCTGTGCCGGATCTCGGAGACGAGCATAGAGTGCCAGTATCCACGCGGCGCTCCATCCAGTGTGCGCACCTCCGCTTGCCAGGCGTCGCTGCAGGGTGACTCGAAGAGCTGACTTGTGCTCCTCCGACAGGAGGCTGCGGCCTGGGTAGAGACCAAAGGCATGCGAGATATGTCGGTGGCCCGGTTCAACCTCCTCCACGTCTTCCATCCATTCGAGCAGTTCGCCATGCTTGCCAATCTTCGGCTGAGGGAGCCGGGACAGGACCTTGAGGTACCTTTCTGGGGACTGGCCGAGGATCTTGCTCGCCTCAGCACAGCCGGTGAACAGCTCGTAAAGGATCTGAGCGTCCCATTTGGCTCCTGCACAGACGGCGCCAGTCTCCCTGGAGCCCGGGATGATGTACGAGTTCTCGGCCGAGACTGATGGTGAGACAACCCGGACACCGTTCCCTCTCGATGAGGAAATCTTCAAAGAACAAGGCCGCCTCCTGGAGCAAGGGGTATGCCCACTTCAGAAACTCCTGGTCGTGCGTGAAGAGGTAGTGTTCCCAGAGATGGGTGCACAACCACGCTCCGCCCAACACCCAGTACGTGGCCAGGACGTACCGGTCTTGAGGAGCACAGTCACCCCAGATGTCGGTGTTGTGGTGCGCAACGAACCCTCTGCAGCCATACATGTCCTGGGCCACCTGCCTGCCTCGTTCGGCCATGCGCTGGATGTGGTTAAAGAGCACCAAGTGACATTCTGACAGATTGGCGACTTCGGCCAGCCAGTAGTTCATTTCAATGTTGATGTTGATGGTGTACTTGGCACCCCAGATTGGCTGATGGCTATGGTTCCATATTCCTTGCAGCGTTGCGGGGAGGCCGGAGAGCGAAGACGCAATGAGCAGAAACCGACCAAACGAGAACATCAGTGCAATCAAGTCGTTGTCCACTCCACCCTGCTTGAAGCGAGCGAGTCTCTTGTCTGTGGGGATCGCTCTTAGCTGGGGATTGTCCTCTCCAATGCTAAGCGACGTCCTCGAGTAGAGTGATGAGTAGCGCTGCACATGCCTCTCGCGCAGCTCTTGCCACGAATACTTTACCGCCTTCTCAAGTCGATCCACCACGGCTTGACCGGCGTCTATGTTTCTGAATGTCGTTTCGCCCGCGATGAGCACAACGACCGAGTCTCCTGAGATATGCAGCTCCTCGCCGGGAAGGCACTGGCCCATTTCCCCCTCAATGACAACTTTGACGCCCATGGCTGCCCACACAGCAGTTGGGCCTCCCAGATTTGCTTCCAAAATGAGAACATCAGAGATATTCTTCAGGCTGTCGTAGAGACAGTTATGCTCCAGCATCGGATTCTCGTTGCTGCCACGATTGATTCTGAGTTGGAATCGAAGAGATCCTGGGCGGTTCGAGGAGATGCGCACAGCCCCAACTTCGTCCGCTGTACTGGCAAAGTATTCGCGCAGATATTCAGCCCCATCAAAGGTGTAACTCACGCTCGCAATGCCGGTCGTCAGATCCAGGCTACGCGTATAATTCTCCACCACTGGCCTGACGGCTCGCTTGGTCTGGTCCGAGATTCCGCTAAAATCCTTGTTGTCGCTGGCACTCCCATGCCCAAAGGTCATAAAGACGTCACCCAACGGCGCGTAATGTCGGAGACTCGCAGGCAATCCGGTAAAGGTGCGCTTGAGCAACTCTTGCGCTTCCTGGACGTGGTTGAGGTCGAGCAGTCTCCGGACTTCGGGGAGGCTGGCCTTTGCTAGAGGGTTGACCCGGTTCTGCGGGCCGCCGTACCAGACAGAATCTTCATTCATCCACAGTCTGTCCACGTCGAGGCTGCCTTTTATCATGGCCCCGAGCCTGCCATTGCCGATGGGAAGAGCCTCGGTCCATACCTCTGCCGGTTGCTCGTACCAGAGCATGCTATTGTGCTCGGGGGCAGCCATAGTTGTTTATCGATGGTGTAAATATACCAAAATACGCCCACGGGAGTTTCAACTCATCAAGACTGGGGGGTCACTAAGGTACTCTCAGCGCCTTGTATCGAGACACGTCTGTTTTCCGTTTTCTGTGCTCTGTCCTCTATTCTCTATGATTCGAGCCGAGAAAATATCATCAGCTTTTGGGTACTAAAATCGAGCGACTCACTTACTTGCTTCTCGCTTTGTTTTGTTTTTGTGTTTCTCCTCATTCCTCTTCTCCCCTCCCGTCTGCTCTTAACCTAGTGACAGGCTTTGAGTGTGGCAAGCCGGCAAAATCGCGCAAAGTCCCCGACTTCCAGAACGGCCGAACGAGTACCTGTACCTCCCTATTGCAGAAGGGAGAAGCGCCTGCGTCCTCCATCATCATGACAATGAGACCAAACGTCAATGACAATGACCGGTCAGAAAAGCGGCACGATGCAGATCCCAGGAGTTTGTCCGGTTCGGCTGGCTGGCCGATTAGGCCGATCAGCGAGCGAGCGAGGGATGACATTTTAGTTAGAAACCCCGGTCGACGTTTGAACATGGCTCATTCTGGTGGTTCTGCAATACAATAGATACCGAGTATAAGGAATACCAGCCCTGCTAGATAAAATTCTAGGTCGGCATACCTCCACAGACCCAAAGAGAAGTTGTTAAGCAAATCAAGTAACAGGAGGTACTGCACCGACAGACCAGAGCACGGGCCGACGAACGATGGAGAACAGAGGAGAAGCACAAGCGGCGAGCACTGAGATTGGGACGAGATTTGTCGACTCAGGTCGAGCGCAGAGGCAGCCATGCTTCCGGCTCCATGGGCCTGCACTGGTTGCCACCAGTTCAGGGACTTCTTCACCGAGCCTTGGGAATACTTGTGTTGGTACAGAACCTGCATCCTTCTAGCCTTCCGAAACACAACTTTAGTTGTCATGCGAGGCAGCCCTCGCCGGCCCACGGTAGCTACCTTTTCAAGATGCTATACCCGGCGGTACAACACGGTCTGGCCCGGAGACCCGAACATGTAGAAGGGAGCCATTCTGCCAGGATTCGGGAACAATGGAATTGGGGGGAATCCATAAACAGAAAACACCTCGGTGAATCTGTTTCAGGATCCTAGAATTTCAGTCTCGATCAATCCCGCCGTTCGACCACGGTGTTTCGATAAAAGCAATACACAGACAAATACAAGTGTGGTCAAACCGGGGGCGGGCGGGATTTCGAGTGCTGGTCACTGGTTGCTTTGATTACATGTCCTCTTCACACCAAGCGTTTGTCTTGTTCAAGTGACTGATACAACCCTCCTTCTGATAAATCAGACATCACGCCCTGGTCACATACATGTCTGTTTCGGTGGAATACCGTGGCCGTGTGGCCATCGTCACGTTCAACAACCCCAAAAGGCTCAATGCGCTGACCTCGCAGGGCTACTTCCAACTAGCCCAGACCATGAGAGATATTGCACAGCGACCAGACATCACTGTGACCGTCCTAGTGGGCAAAGGTCGACTATTTTCCGCGTACGTTCTTCCCTACCTAGGTTCCCTCGTCCTAGATACTGTAGTTCGAAAGTTGTGTCTTGGGGAAAACAACAAAAAAATCTGTTAATTTATTTGATGACAGTATGGCGAGAGAGAGAGAGAGACAGACGGGTCAGCTAATAGATGAGCCCTTCGTTCAGTGGTGCCGATGTGAAGGACGCACAAACCGTACGCGAGAAGACCGATGCCACTGGCGCACTCATGCGCCAACAGACTCTTCGCAACCTGTCGCACATCCTGGAGGTGACGGAAGCCTTCTATAGCCACCCCAAAGTGCTGGTCACGGCGCTGAATGGGCCTGTGATCGGACTCTCGGCGGCGCTCGTCTGTCATTCCGACTTCGTCTACGCGATGCCAAACGTCTACCTCCACGGGCCGTTCACGAAGCTGGGCATTGCCGCCGAGGGTGCGTCAACCGTCACCCTCATCCAGCAACTGGGACCACGCAAAGCCGCCGAGGCCCTGTTGATGTCTAAGCGCATTTCCTGCGAGGACCTGGTCCGTGTGGGCTTCATTAACCAGGTCTTCGACACCCAAGGCAATGAAGCCGCCTTCTTGAGTCGGGTGCTCGAAGAGCTCGATCGCTGTCTGGGCGAAGATCTCAGCGCCGATGCAGTCCTGCGCGTCAAGGCATTGATGCGGACGCCTCAAACCCCTTTGCTTGCCTCCCAGACCTTGGCTGAGACTTTGGGCGTAGTCGACCGGCTGTCGTCCGCGACTTCTTCGGCCACGAGCCGCTTTGCCAAAGTTGCAAACAAGTCGACTGGGTCGAAGCTTTGATGACTACGAGACTTGGCAGTGTTAGGGCGATAATGGCGGTTAACTCTTCTCTCTATCTGGAGGTATACCGAGAACGTCTTAATATTTACGCAAAGAGACCCGGAAATGCTATTGCTGCTGTCATCGTTCTCCATATGTGCCATTGTACTCTCATTGGAGGGTTCTGACCACCGGTTGAGTGGGCTTGAATTCACCCTTGGACAAAGAGAAAACAGTATTAAAAGCCGCACGGCATAGCAATATTCTGGACATATCCATTTCAACGCCCTAGCGTACATGAATAGACGTGCGTGTGATAAAGATTGGGCTTGACTGTAGACACGACACATGTTCCGTCTGAGCTTTATCACCAATACACAGGGTGTTATGGTTGCGACTTGGGCCGGAAAATGGTCTTTGTGTTGCAATACAGCTTCAGGCCTTGAATGCCCATCTCGTGGCCAATCCCACTCTGCTTGTGTCCGCCAAAAGGCGCCATCGGATTGAGCTCCATGTGGCTATTGATCCAGACACTGCCAGCTTCCAATTGCCCTGCAATGCGGTCGGCCTGTTCGAGATCCCGGGTCCAGACTGATGCGCCCAGCCCCATTTTGGAGTTGTTGGCCCGGTCAATGACCTCGGCCTCGTCCGTCCAGGATAAGATGGGGAGGATAGGAGCTAATATTACCAGCGTCCCATGTCAGCCAAAGTACACAACGCGACGGCGAATTTGGGGGTCACTAGTAGGCCGAAAGGGCAGAAGGGATAGGGAAAAAGAGGACAAGTTCTACTGCTCACCAAAGGGCTCCTCTTGAACGATCTGAGACGACTCATCCGGTCGGTCAATGATGGTGGGTTTGATAAAATAGCCTGCTTTTTCGACAGCTGTCGGATCTCCCGTGACGACGCGAAGGTTGTCTTTCTGGATATTACGCAAGAAGTCTTGTGCTTTCTGGAATTGCATATCGTTTTGCAGAGGGCCCACGAATACCCCTTCCGTCAGGCCGTCACCGCTCCGTAGGGCCTTGGTGTATGCGACTATGGCCTCGAGAAATTCATCGTAAATGGACTCATGCACGTACACGCGCTTGATGGCCAGGCATACTTGACCAGAGTTCACGAAACTAAATGTGGCGATCTAATACCGCAATAGAAGAGTTAGTATTCGAGAGATTCCATCCACTCGTCTGCACAAGGCACAGGAAGGGAACTGAGCTTTTCCCCTCTCACCTCCTTCAAGACTCACCTTTGGTGCTACTTCTTTTATGTCGACACTCGGACATACGATCGACGCATCGTTGCCTCCACTTTGATTCGAACGTTAATGACGCTGGCCCGAAAAGGTGGAAACAAAACTTCACAGTTCTAGTGTCACTCTCTTCAACGTGCCGCTTGCACTGCGCATGATGGCCTTTCCCGTAGCCGTCGAGCCGGTGAAACTGATCTTGTCGACATCGTGATGCTCGGTCAGCCAGGGACCGAGCTGGTCGTCGCCGCTCAAGACTTGCAGCACGCCAGGAGGAAAGAAGCGCTGGGCCAGCTCTCCGATCTTCAGGGTGCAGTAAGGCGTGAACGGAGACGGCTTCACGATCATGGTATTGCCCGCCATCAGGGCAGGCGCAATCTTCTGGCACGCGAGACTGACGGGGAAGTTCCAGGGGACGATTCCCACGCAAACTCCCAAAGGCACGTAGCGCAAAATGCATTGTTTTCTCTCATCTTCCCACACCACTTCGTCTACGATATGTATTTTAGCAGCGGACCGCATTCGATCGACGCCTGCTCGGAGCTCAGAGCGAGCCACAACCATCTGAGAATGGGCTGTCAGAAAAGAAAATCATGACAGAGAATGCGGACCCAGCAGGAGTCTCCGATAGCTCTTACCGGCTTGCCCTGTTCGATGGTCAACAGCCTCGTCAAACTATTGCCCAGTTGCTCAATGGCCGACGCAAAACTTTCCACGGCCGCTTTCCGCTCCTTGTATGGCAACTTGGACCAAGTCTTGAAAGCTCTTCTGGCCGCTTCGACACTGTCATCAACGTCATCTTTCGTCGCGACTGGGACGTCTGCAAGCGCTTCGCCGGTGGCCGGGTTTATTCCATGTCGCTTTGCTGACGTGTCCCTCAGCTTTCCGTCGATCGTGTTGAAGTAGTTTTCGAACACATCGAGCTCTGTGGTACCGTTCATGGTTGTATACGTGAGTCTCTCTACAAACGAAACCAGGAGAGCGCAGTGGTTGAATTATGGACCAGCTGTTTTTCTTCACTGTTTTCCATACGTGTGGAACGGAGAGGAATCCTTTGCTACTTTATACGCAATACGCACCGGATTTTCACACTAATAAAGGGTGGACTCGATGGAATCAGCCAGCCATATGTATGTCAAATGATGTGGGCAAAACCTTATGTCAAGTCAGCCATTGATCGATCCAACGCCCCGAGTATGTACTCCAGATGCCATGATATGCCCTGTGCACGGTCCCTAGTCATACGAGCATAGCGACCACTCGAATTTAGCGCCTAGCCTGCGGTGCATTGAAATCGCCAGTGATCATTTTGCCATAGTCTCCACAGGCGATGGCGGCCCAGCGGCCCGAGGTATTTGTCATATCAAGTTAGCGTGGTCTTTGGCCAAGACTGGATATTATTCGCTCGCCTCGTCTACCCTTGTATGCTCACACCCACGAGGCTGTAAGCCCTTTTGGCATGAGTGGTTATGCCAGTCAGCAGAAGAAATGTCTAGGCTATGTCTGGGGACTTGGAATCGTTGCGGGAAACCCTCCCTAGCATTGCTCTCTATTTTCTAGATGGCGTTGATCCCCATGTCACCCACGTGGCTCTCAGAGTTTGGCCTTGTCCCGTTTCCAATACTGAAGGTCAGGGTGGCCCGTCTCAAACAATTCTTTCTTCAGTAGTAGTTTGGGCACCTTGAAGGTGTTGGTCTTCTTCAACTCGGGCACGACGCGAAGAACGGTGGGGAGTTTGTAATATGACAGTCTGTCCTTCAGGAAATCTCGTAGATCCGGCAACGAGAGTGATTGCTGCCCCTGGAACCATGGTTAGCCTTTTTTTTTTTTTGAGGGTTGCCTAGAGAATTAGAGCGACCAACCTCTTTCAAAACAACGGCCGTTGCTATCCGCTGACCAAGCTCTGCATCATCGACACCGACCACGATTACTTCCTGAACTTTCGGATGCTCCAAGATCTCGCGCTCAATATCAATGGCCGAGATCTTGTACCCGCCTGACTTGATGACTGTGGAGACGCATCAGCTTGGAGTGGCCTTGTGATCTTCACGGTGCTTACTGTCCACAGAACTGCGCCCTTTCAGGAAATAGAGGTCTCCCACTCTCTCTGCAATGTCCCCAGTCTTGAAGAATCCATCATCCGTAAGAGCTTTCTTGGTCCCTTCGATGTCGTTGATGTATCTGACAGCGAAGGGTTATATATGATCAACATTGAATCAATGGGGGGGGAGGACATACTTTGAAAACATGAATGGAGAACGGACGTGGACCTCTCCTTGATCGCCTCCTTCGAGATATGATTCTGTCCCCGGATTCTTGATCCCGACCGAGCCCTAATATCATACAGCATCAGCTTTGGATTCTCTTCGGCTTCCCCTCCACCTCCGACCGGAGTGGCAGCAGGATTCAGTTGGTATCCTACTGGGACGAACGTCATTCCCTTCAGGTTTGAGAAAGGGTTGCCGAATTCCGTTCCGCCGTATCTTTCCAGGATGTGACGACCGTCACACAGCGTGGCCCATTTTCGAGACACATGGACAGGCAACGCCGCAGACCCACAATGAAGCTGGTCGATGCTACAGAGTGCTCGCCGGTATTCTTCTCTTTCTTCAACATCAAGTTTCATGAGGACGTTGTCCCAGTGCTGCAGGAGGCGGATGAAGACCGTCGGCACGGCGGAAAACAGCGTGATGTTTCCACGCCGGATCCGATCCCAGAGACCCGGTATGTCCAGTTTGGCGCTCGTAAACTCCACACAGCCACCCCCTACGAGGGTCGGGACTGTGTTGACCATCAGACCCGTGGCATGGTGCGTAGGGAGGCTTTGGAGACTGGTGAAACCGGGTCCGATGTTGTTCCGCCATCCTGCGGCTAGAGCAATCGCAATGACATTGTATCTCCTCATCGCTGCTCCCTTGGGTCGACCCGTGCTGCCGGAAGTGAAGATGATGAGACCTGGCTTGTTTGGGTCAGGTGCTTTGCCGGAAGAAAAGACCAATGAGCCCAGGTCTATGGGCGTGGTCTTGATACAGCTATCCACAAGCACAACGCGGTAATCGTTTTCAATGCCCGGGCTACCAGTAATACTTCGGCACAGGTCCTCATGGCGTGCGGAACATACCGTGGCATGTGCGCGTGAGGTTTTGGCCGCATGGATGAGTTCCTCGAAAGAGATGTGAGGACCTTGTGCACTATTAGCCTCTGTCGTAAGATCCATGATGGAAGGTGAACCTGAAGAGCTCACTTTGAGGCACAACGATGGCCCCGAGGCACATCACAGCAAAGAACGCAACGACAAACTCGTAACCTCTTGCGACAACGAGCACACATATCTCATCTCCCCTCCGAATCATCTCCATCGAGTTAGCCGTAAGCTGCTGACGAATGAGGTTTCTGGCCGCCACGACATCGCTAAAAAGCTGGTGGTAGCTGATCTCGTGATTGTTGTGAGAGTCCCTCACTGCTGTCGTGTTTTGATTGAGGGCCAGAAAGTACAGCCTGTGGAACAGCAGATCATGAGGAAGGACATTCTCTCCCTCGTGTGGTGGAAAGAAATCTGTTCGGTCAAAGCTTGCCGGATCTAGGTTGGTTGTCACCATCTTTGTAACAGGAGGGACAACCGTCAAAGTGTGAAGGCGAAGTCAAACGCTGGGTTAACGACAACCCAAGACAGGGAATGCTCTGTTGAATAACACGGGAGAATCTACTGAACGTCGATAAAGGGATAGAAATATGGACGCTGCGAAGTACTGCAGTTTATCAGAACAACCAACGGATTGTTGTGCCCAGAAAGCGAAGCGGCGATATTTGGTGGCTGTAGAAAATGCCGAGCTAGATAGGGGAGGTACCCCGCGGCTTGCAAACCTAGTCGCCGCAGACTCGGGATGTAATGATCCAATCCCGGCGGTTGACTTGTGCGTAGCCCAGGATAATGGGACGTATACCCAAGGCCTCCTGCCACTGTTCCTAGTACTAATTTGCGACAATCTTGGGCCGCCCCTCTGCGAGGGATACGGACGATCAATCTTGCCCAGTATTCTGACTTCTACAGGTATCTGTGTGCTTCGTCCATGAGCTTTTCTCTCATCGTGAGGGAACCCTGAGATGATCGTGTTTTCTACGACTGAAGTGAAACCACGTGATGAGAGATAAGACTAATATTCAAATACGCTGCTTCCACTGCCTGCGGCCGCCTATTTCTGACTCATGGGCCCCAAGTATTGAGCCACTTGATCAATCAGATCTTGGCCCGGACCGGCTGGCTCGCTGTCCGGTGGTGAAGATAAGACACTTGCTGCAACTGACGCGATGCTTCGCCGACGAGCTCATTCCGCAAGAGGCCATAGACACCCATCTTAGCCCTCGGAGCAATCTCCCTGGCCTTTTCCACCGCTCGTGACAACAACTGGTCGGGTTCTACCGCTTCGTCAATGACGCCGTCCACAACGGCCGTGTCCGCCGTCCATCTATGTGCTTCCAACAGCATCTTTCTCGCCACCTGGGGGGCGAGCTTCAGCCGGGGAAGATAGCCGATGCCGTCGAAATGCAGGCCTAGATTTACAGGCGGCATGCAGAAGAACCCTCTTTTCCGGTTCATCAACCGATAATCGCAGGAGAGTGAGAACGGACATGCTCCGCCAAAGGTGTGGCCGGTGATCGCGGCGATGGTCGGATATGGATAGTCGAGGAGGGTTGCGAGCAACGGGAAAAATCCATCTGCCGAGGACGTAGGATCCCGCGAGGCTTCCTCGAGGTCGACGCCGGTGCAAAAGAATTTATCGCTGGAGCTGGTGATGATGACGGCGCCCGGCTTGTCAGGGCCCAGCAGGACCTTCTCGATGTATCGAAGGGCGGAGATGATGTTTTGCGCGCTCTCGATATTTAGCCGGTTCTCTGGAGGTTTATTCATTGTAACCACGTAAACCCCAAGCGCACTATCGGCAAGCTCGATGGAGACATATTTCCATTTGGTCAGCGGGGAAGTCATGTTTTGCACGCTGCGGCGATAAAGACCTTTAGAACTGAATGAGAGACTCGTCCAACGGTGGTAAAATAATCAGGTGTGTGTGAAGAGTCAGACATCGAAGATGCGAGGGAGCTGGCCTTCTGCATCTCTTTCGCAGCTGTAGACGCTAGACTCTTGGAATGGGTCATTGGGAACCGTAGCCTAGGCACACTGGCTTTCGGTGATTCGTTCAAGTTGGCATCCTGGCATTGCCGCCCGGCGAGCGGAGTTTTGTGCGCTTCTGCCGAGGTGATTTCAGGTTTTATACTCGGTATATACCCTCATACCACCCCGACGACGAATCATGACCATCGGCCCCAGACAGATGCTCCACGCTCCCCTCAACCCCGCCTTTTACTAGTGCATACACCCCTGCATCCTGCATTCGTCGACGATGATCCCCGGGCGGCCCGCCGGCAAAACGCACGTCTATGGACACCGAGGTCCGCACTGTCCACGCTTGTCACGCTCAGGTGCACCAGATCAACACATTGTCAACTATTATACCTCCAAGCCTTCTTGGTTGACGACGATCTGTCAGGTCACTGTCTTCTCCCAGGATCATGTCTGACTTTTCAGCAAGTCTGAAGCCGGCTGAACCTCCAGCGCCCCGCATCTTAGCAGCAGAGCGGGCAAATACAAACATTGATGTTGGTCGATTATCTCATCATCTTCTGCACCGCAATGGATTCCGCGAGCGTCAAAGGCGAATTGTGGATGTCCTGGAGAATCACCCCCTCTTCTCAAAGAAGAACAACCTGAATATGTCTCGGCCGGAGCGGTTTCACGTGGGTCTGGCACGGGCAAAGGAACTTAGGCGGATTTCTAGGCGCTACGGATGGTCCGAAGACGATGATAGAGTGGCCGAATATCTCCTGGACGAGGTTTCGCCCTTTGCGCTCTCCAATACTATGTTCCTGGCATCGTTGAGGCAGCAATGTGACGATGAGCAGAGGGCGTATTGGTTACCTAAGATCGAGAACTGGGAGATTGTTGGCTGCTATGGCCAGACCGAACTTGGTCATGGCAGCAACGTTCGGGGGATCGAAACCGAGGCCAGATGGAACCCTGAAGGCAGGGGTTACGTTCTTCACAGTCCTCACCTGACCGCAGCGAAATGGTGGAACGGCTCCCTTGGTCGCTGTGCAAATCATGCCGTCGTCGTCGCACAGTTAATGCTCCCAGATGAGAACGGGGTTATGAAATCGTACGGACCACATCAGTTCATCGTACAGGTCCGCGACATGAAAACCCACAAGCCCCTTGAAGGGGTGGTGATTGGCGACATCGGACCAAAATACGGGTACGCCTCTATGGATAACGGCTATATGCTCTTCAAGAACTTTCGTATTCCTTCGTCCGCGCTCCTGGCCAAGTATTCCCGCGTCACCGAGAGTGGAAAGTACATCAAGCCTGAGAAGCCGGCCACCGTCTATGGCTCGTTAACCTACGCGCGGGCGCAGATTATTATGCAGGCGCGGCTTGTGCTGGCCCGCGCTGTCACCATCGCCGTCCGATACACACTGATAAGACGACAATTCCGCGACCGGGATGCCTTACCTAACGCGCCGGAAGAGGCTGTGCTTAACTATCCCACAGTTCAGATCAGAGTGCTTCCTTTACTAGCCACAACGTTTGCTCTTCATTATACAGGTGAAGCTATGAACGAAATCTACTCTTCGACACGAGCGCGGATCGAAAAGCATAACGACTTTTCTAAAATAGCCGAGATGCATGCGTCTTCTTCTGGACTGAAGTCGTTATGTACCACGCTGGCAGCGGATGGAATCGAAACGTGCCGCCGCGCGCTTGGAGGCCACGGATTTGGCGGTGGGAGTGGTATAATCTCGTTGAACAACGACTATCTATCGAAACCGACAGTGGAAGGCGATAACTACATGATCACCCAGCAAACGGCCAGTTATCTCATTAAACGCATGCAGAAGTGTGTCAAAGAGCCTTCTGCCACGGGAACGGATGATGCAGACCGCGCGTTCCTGGACTTCCTGCGAACGAGAGATCGTATCCCTGAGTTTGACGTGCTCCATAGCGACAGAGACCTCGTGGCGGCATTTCAGTTCCGAGCGAGCCTGCTCGCGCACCAGGCGTACCAAGCGCGGATTGAGGAGAAAACACCGTGGAAACGTATGCTTATTCGCCTACACAGATTGAGCAACGCGCACTGCCAAGCCGTCCTTGTGGCCAATTTCTACAACGCTCTAGCGACCCAGACGCCGCAGCTCGGGCAGACCACGCACAACGTCATGCACGCGCTGTTCAGACTGTACGCCCTCTCGACACTTGAGAAACAAGCGGCTGATTTCTTGATCGCCGGGGTGTTGCTGCCTAGTCATCTCGAGGGCTTGTCCTCGCAGCTTCAAACACTCCTGGATACTGTTCGAGTCCACGCCGCCGCCTTGGTGGATGCCTGGGACATTCCCGACTATTTACTCTCTAGTTCGCTCGGGCGCTATGACGGTGACGTCTACTCGAGCCTCTTCCGCGTGGCACACGAGGAAAATCCGCTCAACATGCACACCTTCAATAGCGACTGGCGCAGCGAAGAGATCATAATGGGTGAGGGTGAGGAACATGCTCGCAATCGGATCATGGCCTTGGTGCATGGATCCTTTGGTCACGAACAGAGCAGCCCAGTCACATCCAAGCTTTGATCTGGGCAGGGGTGGCAGGGTCTCAATCATCTGGACCAAAAAGAATTGTCAATTCCTGTGGCTCATTCGTCTTTACCTTGCCTAACAAGGGGTCTGTCCACGGTCCAGACGCCTGTCGCACATCAGTTGTGTTTGCATGACTTTTTCTTGCCGTTGCTACTGTATTGGGTTAGTATAGTTCTCAGACAAAATCCTCACTCATTGGTTGCGGTTCCTGACCCGAGAGGCGAGAAACAGCCGAGTTTCGGCAAATGTTGCATCTGGCCTCGGCAAATCTTTATATAGACTAGCGTCTTGGTGCTTGCTATGAATTTCCTAGGGCTGCCTGTAAAGACTAGCTCGCTCTGATCTGTAGGCGCGGAGCTGGCGAATGGGCCATCACCCCGTTTTGGTTCAGCCAGCAAATGGCAGAAGTACCAAAGTCTTCAATTCTCCTGTCTTGTGCATTGCAGACCATCCCTGCAATATTGCTGCATCTCTGGTCGTTGGCTAATGGAAGTGTCGCGTTCAGTTTTAACTCATCCGTGATTGTCCATTCACCCCGGATTGAAGCCTTGGCGCCAAGTGCGGGGCAGATTTACGGCAGGTCAGCCGACCAGCCACGTGCCAGCTCCAGCATGATATGAATAGCGTCTTTCCTGCAGTTGCTGGCCATTGGAATCGACTTATCACCCACATCGAATATCAGGCGCTGAACTATGGCCCAGCCCTCGGCCGAGTGGTCTGTACTTGCTCCAGAGTCGAGACTGAATCGGCCGAGGAATCCTCGCTCTGCCAAGGCATGTCTTTCGTGCCGCGGCCGAAAGGTGCGCTGCGATGCCGTCTCAAAGAGACCCGAGCCATGCACCAACTGCACCCTAGATGGATTGATATGTGAGTTGGCTCCACGAAGGTACGTAGCCGCTACCCCGGTCGCGGGGGTGGTCGACCTTCCTTGATGCATCTAATTCGATCCTCAACAGGCACTCAACCCGTCGATCTCAAGGAGCTGGCGTACCTACCCGCAAAACTGGTTCTGCGAGGGTCTCTGACTCCGATGGCCACTCAGTACACAACGCATATCCGTCTCGAAGGATCAACCAAGCCAGAGAGATCGGTCCACCCGATGCAGGAGCTCTTGCAGCATCGCCCGCGAACGTGTCTCAGACCCGTTCTGAAGATAGTGTGCAGCCAGACGAGGACATTGAGACAACACAGATCACGGTGCGTCAACCGTTAGGCGCACGCGTCAGCACCGACATGCGCGGTGAAACATCATTGCCCCAGGTCCAGAACAATACCGATATTTGTATGCTGAGTACAGATGATTTCACAGCTGAATCACAGAGGGCTACATTATCCGACTCATATGATTCCTTCCTGCCCACTCTAGACTACGAGTTTTCAGATGAGCAGATACTGGAGCAATACATGAATCTGACAGACGTGTTCGATCCATCTGTGACCGCTGCGATGAGCGTAGGCCATCCGCTTGGACTGTCGCCAGCATCCGTGGAGCCACCTGTTCAACACAGACGTCATGTGTTCAAGTCCCCTCTGCCTTGGGTTGCCGACTGGGTCATGGAGAGCCACAAGGATGACGACGCCTACACCCAACTGGTAGAACAAAGAGTGTTGCACCTGCCTGAGATCTCCGAGATCTCCTTGTCGGTACAATTGTATTTCACCTACGTGCACCACAGGCTCCCCCTGCTCGACGAGCGCGACTTTTACCTTCTGGTGAACGGCACAGAAGATGAGTTGTCGGAGCGACCACTAACTCCAATTAGTCTAGCACTTTTATACTGTATTATGTTCGCAGCGTGCCCGGTAAGTCCTGACACGCAGGTGTCGTGATGAGGAGTGCCGCCACTGACACAGGCACAGTACTCAAAAGTGCGCGGTATGGATCCGTCTCAGATTCGAACTCTACGAGCAAAGCGGAACGAACATTACTCTAGGGCGACTGTATGCCAATTACCTCCCCGCTTTTCAACCCGTGTGCTGACTCGTCCGGGGCCTGAGCAGTTCCTATTCAAACTAGGTTGCGAAAGCGATCCGATGCGAAGAGTTCAGATTTGCCTCTTGCTCAGTACCTTCAAGGCCTATCCAGGCCACTTTGTGGAGAATGAACGCTGGATTATTGAAGCATACAAGACGATCCAGAGCGTCGGCGTGTGGCCTCAGAAAAACTCAACCCCAGGATTTGCCGAACGATCGGAGTGGAATCGAGTGTGCGCATGTTGGCTACACCGGTTTTCGAGTGCTCTCATGGGACTCAGATGGACGAGCAACCCAAAGATGATGGACGCCATTTCCTTGCCTTGGCACACGCTTGGACTAAAAGACTTCGAACGAGACTTCAGTTTCTCGTGGTACTTGAGCGCCGCTGTAAAACAACAACTGACTCGTCTTTTCGTGGCTCGCATCGAGATGCAAGTCTTGTTCGGTCACCTGGGCAAGGTCTTGTGGAGGCGCACTGCCGATCAGCTGGAACTGATAGGAGAAAAGCCTGACTTTACACCGCCAGCCCCATCGAACCCGATGCCTATTGAAGAGATGGAGGCGCGCTACCGTAAATGGAGGTACGACAACACTTCACTTTGCGAGCTGAAACCGCACGAGTCTCTGCCGCGTTTTGAAAGGCGCCTCCTCCGCCTGGAACAGTTGATAACTAAGTTGACATATGAGTAAGGCCACTGACAGAAGCCACCGTGCAAACCTTTGTTCCTTCTGTACTGATTCAGGTGCACTGCGTTTTGCCACTTTCTCGCCAGCTGTTAACATCCGTTTCAGATATGCCATTACCATCCTGTACCAAAACACCCTCATCCTGGAGAGGAGCCTGATTACACCGTGGGCCAGGAGGATCATCGAATCTTCTCGATTAGCGCTGTGGGATTCGATCAAGTCAATGATGGAGATCTTGAAAGAAGTGCGGGATGAGCAGATGATATTTCAACTACCTTCCAACATGTGAGTGCCGGCCATACCACCCTCACATCCGTCTTTTGTCCGCAGACATAGTTATATTGAGATGACGCTCTAGGTTGATCGTGGTCCTCATCCCACTGACCATTTTCTACCTTTACATCCAACAAGCCACGGACTTTGAACCCTCAACAGTTGAGAGTCTCGCCATCTGCTCGCAGCTATCGAAGACAATGGTGGACCTCTATGACGCCACAGAATTTTTCCCCACCATCTTGAAGAACACTGTTGTGCTCGCCCAAAGGTACAGGCAGACTTCATTCGGCTCCTGCGAACCCGAGTCTCTGGAGAATCCTCAGTTGCCGCCACGACCGAAGGACGAGACATGTCTCCCCGACTATCAGCTTTACTCGTTGGTACTGCGATTCCAGTGTCTCGCTCTAGTCCTTGGACGTATACCGCGGGTCGAGGACTTCGTGCAGCAGGAACCACCCAATCGCCCCCTGGCGATAATCTGAGTGGATGACACGGGAAGACCACAAACCCCAGCTCAGCTGAACTCTGTGAGGGCAATGGACTGCGAATGGACTTCAGCTCAGAATGATGTTACAGTTTCGCATCACTCACCATTACAATGGCTAAGTGGATAAGGGCCACACTTGGATTCCAGGCCGAAGCTAGTGCCAGTCAGCAGCGCTGCTACTATTCGGTTCACAGGCGTACGGGTCACGGTCGCCTCTCAGGACGAATGAACCATTCGAAGAGACCTGACACGACTCCACTGGAAATATCTCCCATCGGGTTGACATTATATCCCCACTAGTTCTCAGAAACAGTGCACGCTAAGCCAGGCTAAGCGGAGACAGGTACAGCTTCATCCTCGCGAACCCCTTTAATGCTAGGCTAACTTGATGTGGTATCCTTAGGTGTACCTTGAATATAAAGCCGGCCCGCGACAACGACGAGACCCGTAGCTGTCAACCCTGGTGTCCCGACGTCGGACCGCCAGATAGGGTTCGCGTGACTCTGGCCTAGATGCTGCCCAGGTACTGCGCAAAGTCAGGGGTCAAGGCAATCCCTCGCTATTGGTCCAAGTTTGTAAAGACCCGCCCGGTCGATTTTTGGTGATTACACAGCCATTCATTGGTCTTAAGGGGCAGATATGGTACCGGTTGTCCGGTACCTTACACCTTTGGTGTAGTTGGACTCTCGAGGGATATGAAGGACAAGACCTTTCGGAGTTGTGAGGGTATCCCTGAACAGATGCACTGACTGAACTATGACATTTTGTCTATTGAAATCGAACAAGGCATTCTACCACCATTTCACCCGCATTTTATCTTTCGTGTCGGACCGTCCCCTACTTTTACACATCAGACCGACTCTTCCGATGATGGGTTCTGAGTCAGGTCAAACACAACTTTATGTACTTTCCTCGCTTCGAAATCCTTCCAGGCCTGGGGTGCCTCTTCCAGTGGCATCTTCCTACCACACAAGAAGGCAACCTTCTCTTGCTGCCGTATCAACACGTCCAGAGCCGATTTGAACACGCTTGACACCGGACACCGACCGAAAGCAAGGGTGGCGGCCTTACCGTAGAGGAGCAACCCTGGAATTTCCAGAGTGGCCGTGTGCACACCGATCGAGCTGATCTTGCCGTATGGTCTGACTATGTCTAGCCCGAGCATGAGCGCGTCACTGCGTCCAACGACCTCCACTACCACGTCAGCACCACGGCCGCCGGTGGCAGCCCGGATCTTGTCGGCAGGTTGGTCGTCCAATGCAAGAACAATGGCACCGATGTGTTCGGCTTCAGCTAATCGTTCCGGTACTGAATCTATGGCGTAGACCGTCTTCACCATTGTCAGAGCACTGGCAATGGCGCAAATGCCCACGGGCCCGCATCCTATAATCACTGCCGTGAAATCTTCTCGTTCGTCCGGCCGAAGGTCTGCCAAAAAGCGGGAAGCGGCGAAATAGCCGGTGGGAAAGATGTCCGCCATCAACACCAGTAGATTTTCGTCGACCCCTTGAAAGCATCAACGAGAGAGCAAGGGTGGCGAGGATGTCCATATACCTACCGTCTGGAGATTTGAAGAGGGTTGTGTCGGCCAGTGGTACCCTGACATACTCGGCTTGTCCACCGGGGACCCCTCCTGGCATGCCAAACATCTGGCCCTTGGTGCACCGTCCTGATAGAGATCGTGTGCAGTAGAAGCACTGCGCGCAAGCCGTCGAGAATGGGACGACGACTCTCTCGCCGATCTCGAATGATTTGACGTCTTCACCCTTTTCGACAATCGAACCGACAAATTCATGGCCGCAGATTAGGCCTGGGGGAATGTTGACGTGGCCACGGTAATAGTGTAGATCAGATCCCTGATGTGCTTCATATTAGCTATCTTTCAGGTACTTCCTCTGGCTCCTGTATCCACTTGACCTACACATAATGCTGTGGCCGTGACTTTCAAGATGACATCGGTAGGATCCTGTAGCGTTGGTACCGGTCGATCTTCTACAGCCACCTGCGTGTAGGCGTGTCAGCATGCTACTTTGAGACATTCTGCGCGCGCCCTCGTACCTCGAAAGGTCCCTTGAAGACGACTGCGCGCATCGTCCGGTTTGACATCTTGAGATGTTTCAATCAATTCGAAATAGGGGAGAAAATTCTATGTCGTTACTGACAAAGTCCTCCCAAATGGAGTAAACAAGAGCAGTGTATTATGTACTAAGTACCAGGTCGGGTTCGTTTACTCCCTTCTGGGAATGCGAGAGCCAGAATGCAACCCTTTACAATGCCCCTGCTCGTACGTAGGTTGTTGGTAGGTCGCCATCTTGGGCCTCGGGCTCTACTACCTCTGCTATACCTCGGGCTGCTCCGGGTTAACACTTAACGGTACAAGGTGATCCACACCAAAACTGTGTAGGGGTGATAGAGAGAAACCCTCGGGTCAAATTATGTCCTGATACTACTTTTAGTTCCTTGGCCGTGTACAGGGCGGAACGCTGTTCGTGATATTTATCTAATATCACCCTTCGTACGAGGATTTAATCACGTCGCTCAGTCTAACGAGAGTTCCAACCGTCTACACCGTACCATTATACTTTCTTCGCCCGTACCCCGTACTAGGCCATGGGAGACGCAGAGGTTGTTGCGCCATTTTGCAATGGCCAGACGGAGAAGACTCCTCCTCGGAGGAAGCCTTTGACACCCACCATGACCCCAACAAACCCATCAGAGGACGTCTATATCCCGGAACAATTATTCGGTACCAAGAGACGCCTCAAGGTCATCGTGGTTGGCGCGGGCGTGTCCGGTCTTAATTTTTTCAAACTCGCAGAGGAAAGGGGGGAGGAGCTGGACATCGTCTGCTTTGAGAAGAACAATGACATTGGAGGCACGTGGCTCGAGAACAGATATCCGGGCTGTGCTTGTGACGTGCCTTCCGTGGTCTACCAATATCCATGGAGGCCTGCACCTTGGTCGCATTACTGGTCGCAAGCGTTAGAGATATGGGACTACCTCAAGACGGTCGAGCGAGAAAATCATTTTGTTGAAAAGTACGTCAAGTTGCGCCACGAGGTCCTATCTATGTCTTGGACCGATGAGGCTGGACGCTGGGAAGTCGAGGTTCAAGATTTGGAACGCGGCTCGAGGTGGGTAGAATCTGGACATGTGGTGATCAATGCCACTGGCGTGCTCAACAAGTGGAAATGGCCCAACATCAATGGGCTGCAGTCCTTCAAGGGAGTTCTGCTCCATTCCGCGGCCTGGGATCCAAAAGTTGACCTCAGGGGCAAACGGGTGGCTGTGATCGGTGCGGGAAGCAGTGCTGTCCAGATCATTCCGAGCATATACGACAGCGTCGAAAAGATATACACCTGGGTTCGCAGCAAGATCTGGATCACCAGTACATTCTCTCAGCAGTTCGTCCGCAGTGACGGGGCAAACTATGCATACTCTCCGGAACAGCAACAGATCTTCAGCAACGAAGACGAATACCTGGCCTACCGCAAGATGGTCGAAGAGCCGTTCAACAAACGATTCGGGTTCATCCTCAACGGGACGAAAGAACAAAAAGCCGCTCTCCAGTTCTGCCACGACTACATGACAACCAACCTCCAGTCTCGGCCGGATATCCGGGATAAAATCGTGCCCACAGACTTCTCCGTCGGCTGTAGGCGCCCTACGCCGGGTTATGGTTACTTACAGTCCCTTTGCGGCCCAAAGACGACAACCTATACGCAGGAGCTGATCACCATCACGGAGAATGGCTTTCTCGACCCCGATGATAACGAGCACGCCGTCGATGTCATTATTTGTGCCACCGGGTTTGATACGACATTCAAGCCACGGACCCCTCTTCTGGTCAACGGCGTCGATATGGGCAAGCTCTGGACTACACGAGAGACTGTGCCCTCGTACCTTAGCGTCGGGCTGGCCGGCGTGCCAAACTACTTCATTTCAGGAGGCGCATACTTCCCCGTGGCTCACGGATCGTTCTTCCCCCTGATCCACAAATTCTGCGAGTACACCCTCCAAATTCTGGAGAAAATGCAACTCGAGAACATCAAGTCCGTGAGGCCCAACCTGCAAAGGACGGATCAGTTCTTGTCCCACGCTGATACCTTTCTCAAGCGGACTGTGTGGACCGACCCGTGCACGTCCTGGTTCAAAGGAGGCAAGAAAGATGGAAAGCCGGCATTATGGCCCGGATCACGATTACACTTCTTAAAACTCCTCGAGGCGCCCCGGATGGAGGACTACGACATCGAGTACTGGGTACCTGAGAATCCTTTCGCCTTCCTCGGAAACGGCATGCATATCGCTGAGATTGAGAATCGCGGAGACCTTACCTGGTATCTTGGTAACCCTGCTCACGACGTGGACAAGACCCGAATTGCACAGCTCATGAGCCCCGACGAGAAATTGACAAACGGGACATCAGTCGCCTAGGCCGACTGGAGGGATTAGAAAGGGGTTGAGAGCGTATTCAATTTGAGCGTGTGTGCGCAACATACAGCATGCACAGGGGCTGATCCTACAGATCCATCCGTGTTCACCGCGTTTGCGACTGTTGCTCACAAGCACTTCCCGCCTACATACCTCGTCAGCTGTGAGAAGGACCCCCTTGCGGAACGATGCGGTCGTCCTAGAAATAGCATTTCGCGACGCTGGAGTCAAGACACGACGCGATCACTATGAAAAGCTGCCGCACTACTTCTGGGTTTTGCCTTTGCGTGAGCGATCGTCTTGAGTTTGGGGCCAACCTCATCAAGGGCGTGGAATGGTTAACCACGAATATGTGACCTGAGCGCATTCATCAATCCTCCGAGTATACATGAGTAGGGCTTATTCCTCGGCATTTGGATTTTGCGAATGCGCCAGGGACTCCCGTTAGGTAGAATCTGCCACCAAAAAGAAAAACTTGAAGATAGCACTCGTTTCTCTTGGGCATAAATCCATCTGTTCCTGCTATACCCTTAGCTTCCCTGGTGTCTACCCAAGTCGTCGTCTATCTATCTAGCCAGCCTTAGTGTTGATGCAAGGTCTGGACTTGTTTCGGAGTGGACTGCGGCGCGTGGCCCTCTGGGTATCTGCACAAACACCGACGCGAATTTGATAGCGGAGGGGGGTCCCTGGCAAATATTCTACGTCTTCCTGCCTAGCTTTTTGATACGGATCGAGTTCCCTTTGTGTTTCTGTGGTATCTGTGCTATAAGTCATCCTTGTGACACCTCCTGACGTCGTTGTTCCTCCCGGACTGCGCGTTGTTCGCCAGTATCGACAGTGATGATATGCTGGTCCATATGATTGGCGGAGAGGGCCACCTTTCCTATTTAGGATGGGTGAGCGAAATCGCCGTGGGTATCGCCGTTGAAATCACCGCCCCAGGTGATTTCCCCCCCCCCCCCCCCCCTCTTCCTTCCCGGGGAGGCGGGTCTCGGGAACATATCGGATTGGCGAGTTCGCCCAAAAGCCAAGTAGGTATGCCCTTTACCAGACGGACCCAAACCCAAGATGAAAGTAATCGAATCAACGGTCAAACCTTTTCATGTGTGGGCTTCCAGGGAAGGATGGATCTGTGAACCATTACCGGGCCCTCGGGAAATACGCAGTTCGTGCTGCTAACTGGCGCAAGTCCTCTGGCAGTCGGCACAGTACTCAGTGCCCGCGAGACTAGGAGCTCACTTTAGGGCTTCGAGGAAAGAAACACCGACTATTGGATTCCTGATTGAATAGTGAAGACGTTTGCCCTCGGACTCGTGTATTCGGTGGCGTGGCTTGGGGACCTCGTTTCCGGGACGAGAATCAACGCACAGTCACAGATAATTCTCCTATCCCAGACAAAACAACGTCAAAGGCAAGCCAAAAACAAACCGAAGGAAAGCTAGCAACAGCCAGGTTTGAATGTGATGGCGAGGCTGAGCTTCATTGTGGAAGATCCCTTGAGAGGCTCGTCGACGTGGACTTGGCTGGCAGAGTACCTCGTACCAAAGCCCTCGGTACAATACATACCGGGTCAATCTGCGTATGCGAAAGGGCCGAGAACGAATGGCCCTCGGCCAAATCTGCGCAATGCCATGCTTCGGGGTAGTGGGCGGGTGCGGTTCAACTTGGCATTCAAAGGCAGTTTTGGTCTTAACACCAAACTGTCAAGGACTCGACGGAAAGGGCCCTTCGTTATGCCAGATGCTGTAGGGTCTGGGATATATAGTTAGAGACATCCGCTTTCCCCAGGTTCCCTACTCCGGACCCCAGATCGTCGGCGTCTTCTATCTTCAGTTGAGCAGAGACATTCTCGCACAGTCTAGTTTCCAGGCTGTTGTATGCCTCTTTGCATATCTTTCCAGCCCACACTACCCACGCCAAAGATATTGAATCATGTCTGCGCTGGATCCCACCGATGGCGCGGAAGTCAAGGCTGTCCAGGTCCAGGCCAGTTCTACAATCCATGACGAGGACGTGGCCTCCAAAGAGCAGGGTCTTCCCAACGCATCTGTCCTGGATAAAAAACTCCTGCGCCGTATCGACCTGCATGTCATGCCGTTTCTGTGCATTCTATACGCCCTGTCACTCATCGACCGGACAAATCTGTCCTCGGCCAAAGTCGCTGGCATGGACGTGGATCTCGTCCTGACAGGATCGAGGTACTCGGTCGTGGCCCTGGTCTTTTTCCCAATCTACATTCTGGTGGAAATACCGACCAACTCAGTCCTCCGCTGGGTGGGAACCCGCAAACTCCTCTCGGGGATGATCTTTTGCTGGGGGGTCGTCGCCATGTGCTGCGGCTTCGTGAAGAGTTACGAGCAGCTCATTGGCGTTCGAATCTTGCTTGGATTTTTCGAGGGCGGGTTCAACGTAAGATTATCCACTGTCTCTCGCTTCGCCACTCGCATCAAGAGAACTAACTTTTCACGCAGCCCGCCTGTATCTACATCATTACCTGCTGGTACAAGCGATACGAAACACAACAGCGGTTGGCGGTCTGGTATGTGTTCGGGGCTGCTGTCAACGGATTCAACGGTGTCCTCTCGTACGGCCTCAGCAAGATGGAGGGTGCGGGCGGACTCCGCGGCTGGCGCTGGATCTTTATCATCCCTGGACTTGTCACAGCCATCCTGGCCGTCCCAATCTACTTGTACATTACCGAGTTTCCGGAAAAAGCCAAGTGGCTCAAGTCCGGTGAGCTCGAGCAGATCCAGGACCGGATCCAGCAGGATCGTGGCGAAGTGTATTCCGACCGGGTGTCGTTCAAGTCAACGATGGAAGCTCTGCGTGACTGGAAGTGCTGGAGTCTCGCGCTCTTGTTCTTCTGGGTTGCGACCGGATCATATTCATTGTCCTTTTTCACGCCGTCCATCCTGAAAGGCCTGGGATATAGCACCGCACTCAGTCAGATCTTGGTTACACCGCCCTATCTGCTTGCGGTACTGTGCTCGGTGGCGGCCTCGGTGGTAGCCGATCGCGTTCAGCACCGCTCGCCGTTCATCATCTTCTTCATGGTCATGACTATTGTCGGATTGATCATGATCGCCTTTGGAAACAACCTTGGCTGCAAGCTCACGGGGCTCTTCATTGCGATTTGCGGCAACAACAGCGCGATCCCCGCGGTTATCGCGTTCCTCGCCAACAACATCCCCCAGTCAAATAAGCGAGCCATCGCCGTCCCACTGCAGACCGGATTCTCCGGCCTCGGAGGCATCGCCGGGTCTCTGATCTTCCGGGAACAGGACTATCCTCGATACCTGTTTGGTATCTATGCGTCTCTAACCTCCATGAGTATCTGCATCGCAATGACCCTTCTTATCGTCGCCATCTTCCGCAACGAAAACAAAAAGGCAGAGATGGAAGGAAAAATTCTTCAAGACACACCTGGTTTCCGCTACACTCTTTGAGGCGGGCTGGCTGCTCTCAAGCTTAGATTGAAGGATCGTTGGGATGACTGCTGGAGGGAGGGACTGTTGGACGCGTGGAGGTCCAAAACCGGAAAATATCAGTGGGATGATACTTACAAGGGCTGTTTCTCGCCCTCTTGCGAAGATGAGTAGTCCATAACGAATTCACTTCGACGGCCAGAGTACCGGAGGAAGAATGCCGAGAGAGAGGTACTGACAAGGCCCAGGGTACTGTTGCCAATAGTGATGTCAAATGCTGGTTGTGAGGTGATGTTGAGCTCTTTCAAACAAGTATGTGGTATTCGTGGCGAACCCGGCAAAGTCCTGACAGCAGAAAATCATGATGACGATTACGGTGCGTTGAAGGTTGAACCCTCTGATGGACTACTCAATGCCAGAGTCCTTCTCTATCCGTAGCTCGTACAGGATCGTCTTTTGCATCATGGCCAGGGTTCTTTGCGTTTCGCTGTGGGGAGAGTTGCTACTGAGGCGTCTGAGGGACTTTTCTACATCTTCCATCTTCCCTTGGCGCACTAGCCACTACGGAAGTATACAGGGTCTGATAAGCAGTAGTAGGGACTAAGTGTATAGGTCTACCGCTTCAGAAAGGGCCAGTCAATTAGATCCTCTCAGCTCTGCCTGCCTTCCCAATGCCCCTGGCTAGTCTTCCCAAAGCGGTAAAGACATGATTCTGCACATTACCTTGTGTATACTTTCCGGAGATCTTCACGGAAAAGGAGTAAGCTCTGAGGGACGAAACGGACTTCCTCTCTTGCAGGGGTAGGAATCGTCGTAGGCACGAAAGAAACTCTTTGAACGTTTGAATGAAGCTAACTAGGGAGCGACCGGCGCTCGGCTATCTGATGGCACGAGATGCCAAGGCGCTAACCTACTCTGATGTAAAGCGTGCCAATAGGAATGTACCTAGATCCCACTAGTCCCGGCCCACACTTTAAGTGACGCTATATATGTACTAACCTATTTTAACAACCGTTTGCTCACCACGTTGACATGTCATGTTCAGGAGCTGCCCACAGGCGCAGAGTCTCTGGTGGCTGATGAAAGGCCATTGTGGAGTGTGGACGAAAAGGCGAAGAAGAGGAACGACCACAATCAGGAAGGGATTGAAGGCTGGTTGTGATGAGGAGGGAGGCTTGGTCGAAGGCTGCCTGTGTTCAGCACAGAGATTCATCCGACTTCCGGTTTGACGCTTTGTCGTTTACCAACAGATCATGGCATAGATCTTCGGCGCAATTGTTATAGGCCCATAGTATCTGATCCTTATGTAGGTCGTCGATGGCTTTCTTGCCGATATATTGAAACCGGTATAAGTGGCGGCATTTGATGCACGGTTCGTAGATTTTGAGGATGCTGCCGGCTCCCTTCAGGACGTGGAATGCGCCTCCTTGTTCCCCTTGGTGATTGAAGGCCCTGAAGTGTTGGCGTTTCAGCACGCTGCTCATAGCTTTGGTACAATCCCCCTGACATTCCCTCCACGCTGCCTTCAATTTTGCGAACTTCCCTCTTGCCTTTTTCGAGAACGATCCGAAGCGCTTTCTCCGCATCTGTTTCAGATGCTCATTCACTTTCTTCCATCCCTTCTCTTGCGTTTTGCTTTTCCTTTGTCCCGGCACTTTGAAGGATAAGCTCCATTGGGGTGCGGAAGCTGTGATAATCATGCCATCGGACAGAAAGCATATGAAAACCACTCTGGGCAACCCGCAACAGTTTGTCTCTGTGAAGTGTTTGCCGAACTTAGCTTCGAATGCCAGCATGAATTCATCTATGATCAATCAGTCACCAAGACATGTCAATGATAATGTTGCCGATAACGTACATATGTTTTCAGGCACCTCTGGGATAGCCTTGTAGAACAGTTCAAGAAGAAGCTCAATTGCTGACGAGTTGGGTACGTTGTTTGTGCTCTCAGCGACATCTGTTTGAGGGAGTTTGCTCTTGAGGGAGTTCAAAACATCCTCAAAGCCGTGGATGGTGTTTGACAGGTGTTCTGTTGAAAAACCCGACTTCGAGGCATTGTTTTTGAGTGACTGTGCTCCTTTGAAAACGAAATCGAGGACGTTGACTAGTCGCCGGTATGTCAAGTATTCTTTGAGGCCAGGATTATCTCTAATCAGATCGTTCGCACACTTGGCAATGCTGCACATATTGTTCAAGCCCGCGGTAAGGATTTTGAGATTCTCATCGTTGGAGAGGCCATTACCTTCAGTCGTCCAAAAGTTTTCCACCGAGTTGATAATGCTCTCTGAACAGGAACCAGCCATAATGATGAGAACGATAATGATAATGATAATGCAAAGGATAACGAGAAGGGATGTAGAACACTCGCATCTCGACGCCGGAGCACTTCTTTTGTATACAGCATACCATCCATGGCTCAAGTATGAGCATTGTTCTATCGTGAGACAGCTCACAATCATTATCTGAGCACTCGCTTTGTTGAAGTGGTGGCTAGGATGAGACATCTGCCTATCTCACAGCTTCGACATGCAGATCTTGATCCAGGTCTCTAGTCTCCATCGAAACTTTTGATGCAGCAGGCTTTGTCTTAGAATAACTTGACTCGGAAGTTGCTGAAAGAATGCTTCAACTTCTGGCCTCACTGTCAGCTGTAGGTTGAGAATCACCCCTTTAATCGTGGACCTAGCCCCTTGAGTACGGACTTTTCTCATAGCAGATACGGGAAACTGTCGCACCCGGGATGTGTTCAAGTGAAATGTCTGAGAGCATTAATTTCCTTTCCGAAATATGGAAGACAACCTCAAAGGGTACTGGTGGTGGGAGCATTTACTTTCCATTTGATCTGTTTTAAGTGCACAAAGAGTTTGTTCTTTTCTAATTGACATCAAAGTACTTCGCACCAATTCACTGGGATTCTAGACTAACTTGACTCATTGGGGCCATTGTGGAACCGACTTGTCTAGAGACACTGTTCCAGTCAAACAGTGCCTAGACTTTGATTTGCAGCCACGTGCGGCTTGCACTTGAAGAAAGCTCTCGCCATGCTGCAGATGCGTAGAATCTCAGGCAGGCAATGGTGACACACTAAGCCATGAGCGTCCTTTCACCACTCCGTTTTCTGCAAGATAGCTCTGGAAGCTGGAGTCCTCTGCGATGTGAATTTGCGGGGCCTCGGAGTCTCGAAACCGCGATACCTTTGGAAGGCTGGAGAAGTCAACAGCCGGCCGCCGATGTCGCCGATCGGATCTAGAAACTAGTTTGCCGGCGTCGAGCTCACTCAGTCCCAAGCCTTTGGGGAACCAAAGATCCGCTGACCCCAAACGGAATGCCTCGGCTCCCGCCATATTGTTCCGCCTCCCAAATCGCAAGCGTAGGCGAATGTTTCGTTCTTTGTTGTCTAGATATTCGTATACAGGCGTGTCTGAATGCACATCCACATCAGAGCCACACTCACCAAACCTCTCCCAGCCCAAGTAGCGATCCACCACCATCCAAAAGCTCTTGTCAACTGGATGGAAGACCAGATGAAATGAACTATAACCGTCATGGTCTTTTCCCTTTCCCTTTTTAAAGCATGTTACTCTTCCCACAGGGAGGCCGAACCGCAGCGGGAGAATAGGTTCTTCGGTGTCAGAGTTGCGCTCTACTTGAAGAGCTGGGTTGAACTCATGAATAAGCCACCTGTGCTCCTCGCACTTATTCTCGATAGTTTCTTCGTCAGAGCTGGCTTCTTCGTCAGAGCTGGTTTCTTCGTAAGAGGTTCTTCTTTCGTAAGAGGTGGTTTCTTCGTCAGACCTAGTTGCGTAGGGGGTGTTCATCATAGATAATCTAGACTCCCAGACAAGGAAAAAGTCATGGGTTCGCGTCTGAAGGAGAGGTATTGAACATTCAGATTCGGTTTCTTCCATAATCTCGCCAAGAAATCTGTTAAAATAAATTTGGTTGTCTTGAGTGAAGTCGATCCGGTGAAGCCATTGAAGAAGTTCTTTGAAACAACCAGGCCAGTAGGATGGAAGCCGGTACGCTTTCTCTAGCCTGCTAAGTATCCTTTCGTGCTCAAGTTTGGCCTTATACAGCATCACTCGGTGGCCGGGAGGAGGTATATACTTGAAATTATTGCAGAGACGAGCAAATCTTTTCCCGAGAAATTGGGGCTGGTGAAGTTTGATGGAATTGAGATATTTGAAGGCATCGGGAGGTATGACTGCATCGTCCTTTGCTTCGTCTCTTGTAGAAGCCATCGTGGCTTGATTCTTGCAAGACACGAGAGGATTGGGAGGGACGATAAAGATTTCGACTTGCAGGGTTGGATACGAATGGGATTGAAGTGATCAAGGTATTTTGGCAAAGGTGAGGAGATTACAAACGTAGAGAAGTAGCAGAGTCGAGATCCACGAGCACGAGAAGACAGTAATAATAGGCAATGAAACAGACAGCTGGAATTCCTGGAGTGCCGGATGCGTATGTGCACTTCCTCGAGATAAAAGGAAATGTTTGTTCGCGGAGCACCGCATTCGGCGTGTACATTCCTCGACGCACCATTTCGATCTATAATTCATTCAGTAGAGAGGGAGGTCTTTGTGTTGCATCGCACCGGATCCGGCCAAATCAGGTAGGGAATCATGCGCTACGCCGCCACCGAATTCCAACAAATTCCATTCGTCGCTAGGGGCAACTCAAAGCCGAGAGTTTTTCCTCGGGCTTCAGAGTGGTCCGTCATGGGTTGCTAGGTTGAACGACGTTGCGCTCAGAGACATCACCTTGCAAAGGGGGAATGTCTTCGGGCACTCAACTTGGCTCGTAATCACCTCGGAAATAGCTGTCTTGGTACCTGGGATTTGTAGAGCCCAATGCACCAAAAAAGGGTACCTTTACAGCTTGCAACGTGGACGAACTTGCCACGACTTGGCCCATACCATAATAGAGCGCTCAACTTTGCGGTATCGGGGGCTGGGCACATTTCTGTCTCCAATTGAGCTGGATGCTGAAGGAGGAAGCGAGAGGACTTTTCGTTATAGGAGCATGGACTGAAGCCCTTCATATGATTAGGAAGACGGCAGACGTCTTGTGTTGAGTTGAGTGTGGATTGATTTCCTCATGTTTTGCCAAGACACGTGATCCGTGGAGTCAGTACAGGATCGCAGGCATTTTTCACAAACACCACGCCACCTGTCCTGCGCTACCCCAGCATCCGCGTCTCTTCGCGCAAATCAGCAGACCGCTATCCTATCGCAGTGGCTACTCGGGTAATCTTGTCTGCTAGTCTATCTCCACCATCATTGTCACATTTTGGTTCGGTGATCCTCTACCCACAATCCCGACGGTCAATATCTCCACCTCCTCAGCCAACGGAGAATTTTTGCGAATAGTGGGGATGCCCTGTGAAAACTATCTGGTGGTGAATGATCTCTGGATGGGGATAACTTGGGTGCTAGCATCGTCTCCATACTCCTACTCTGCAAACGATCCTACCATCGAGGTACCTCTTCGCTTGGGCTCTTCTCCCCATATGCCCCATCTTAACGGAAGAATATCCGTACTTCGACGACAACTACCTCGACATGTTCGACTTATTCGTTCCACTCTAACCAGAAGGTCTAGTAAGGAGGCCTCGAGAGGTAGCACGGACACGATTTCGCCATGGCAGCCATCTGTTTTGGCTGCACGAGGCCAGCAATGACGCCCTCTCCGCGCTGTCTCAACACATCTCAGCCTCTCGACGCAACGCCATACAACTGTGCTTTCCATGGATGAATCTCTCCGTACACCCGATCATATACTGGCAAGGCTGTCGCCTCTCGCCTCTCGTTATGAGAGCAGCAGGCTTCAGCTACCAACTCCATCCTCGGCCTGAAACCCTACAAATCCACCGCACCATCGAAACAGCATTTGACCTCGGGTTGAGAGCAATCGACAGCTTCCCCTATTACGAACCTTCCGAACAGATGATCGGTGCAGCGTTGCGCCATTCTGAGGTTACATCCTTATGCAAGAGAAGCGCCTACACTCTGATGACCAAAGCTGGAAGAATTTGCGAGGACTATTCCGACTATTCCCCTGAATGGATCAGAAAATCTGTGGCGCGGTCGCTCAAACGGTTCGCCACAAGTTACCTCGATGTGGTATCCTGCCAGGATGTTGAGTTTGTCAACTTCGAAGAGACTCTTCAAGTTGTGGAAACGCTTTATGAACTGTCCGATTCGGGCGTCATCCGTTGCGTGGAAATTTCAGGTGCTGATATTGACATCCTCGGAGCAGTCGCATCACGAGCACTTGCAAGATTCGGCCGTGCCGTCGACGTCGTGCAGATCTAGGGCCAGCTTACACTGCAGAACACTTGGCTTGGGAAAGGAGGTCTAAACGCGTTTCCATTAGCAGGAGTCAAAGCTGTCTGCAATTCTAGTTCACTCACGATCGGACTGCTCAGGAATGTCAGAGTCCCCGTTGGCGTGCTGGTAAATTGGCACCCTGCGCTGCCAGAGCTGCGAGCTGTGTCTCAGGAAGCCGCAGGATCAGTTCAGGACCAAGGCGATAGTCTGGTATCGGTTGCCTTGCGCTTTTCAATAAAAAGGCGAGTCAGAATGGCCTCAATGACACTACCATCCCCGGAACCATATCGGAATCAGACCTGGGAGAGAATGTGCAGACGGCGAAACAAATCCTGCAGAAGTCTACGATCCTAGCCCCCAATGCCGCAATACATTCCCCCGATGATCTGCTCTTTGAGTATGATGATCTTGATGAGGAAGCAGTCAGTCGAGATAGCCCTCTTTATGAAGGAGTCAGGACCATCCTCGGGCGCTGGCTTGATTACAATTTCTTTTGGCCACAAAGGCCCGAAGCCCAAGTCCAGGCGCAGAGAGAAGACTAGGTGATCTCCTCGAGCATAGGGCTTTCAAGCGGTGTCGCAGCTACCAACTGTTGGCCCAGCACAAAAACGGTGGCTGTCCAGCGATATAAATAGATCCAGCAGGCCGTATACCATGGGTTTTTGGGTAAATAGGACTTCGCCTCCCATGGTACTACTCACGGTTATTCGCAGAAGTCTCAATGCTTTGTGGACTGGATGAAAGTACTTCTGGGAACTGGCAAGACCTGGTTTGCGTCTCTCCTGGAAATTCGACAGAAACCTCTCCGAACAGGCACACGGGTAAACTGGATGACGAACACTCGACCGAATCCTCTGGACATTCTTTGTTTCCTTCAATGGGTTCCTCGAAGTCCGCAGCTATTGCTGGTGCACTCGTGCCCTGGGCCTTCTTGGGGATATATGCCCGAAATTGGTATATTGAGGCTGATTTCGGTCCTGAGATCGATTCAAACCCCATGTCGTTCCACTGCAGCTCAAGAATTCGTCTACGACCCCCAAATCCTCCCGAACCGGATAAAATCTACTACTCATACTGGAATTCCCCGAACCCCTGCCAGGCAGTCGGCTCCAACCCCGCAGCTCTCTGCACTTTCTATCCGAATCTGGCTGAAATGAAGCCTGCCATTTGCCTGAAGGCCAGATACTCCCGCTGCGATGGGGAATGCCCATGGTGATATTCACTAAGCTCACATTTGTTCTAGCCGACGATGTAGAGGTAAACGTGCCTTTTCTTTGCCAGAGAGTTTCAGGAACCGCTGGTCAGCATGATTGGTGCTGAGATCGGCTCTTTGATGATTGAGCAGAATATGGCCATTCATGTCAATATGATGGTGGTCTGAGGAGGCGCGGTCGCAGGCCGAAAAGTCAGAATGCAAGACAACCCCCTGAGGATGAGGAGACACAGCTCTCCACTCCGGTTCCAGTGCCTCTAGGGATGTTGTTGACTCGATTCCCGATATAGTCGACACAGAACAAGACTTGACTAGGGACGGCTTTCAGGCCTCGGAGCCCCATCTTCTTGCAGGGAGATCAGTCAGCGATGATGGATTCAACAAGGTTATCTCGCAACAAGGAGCGTCAATCAGGCTCGGATTGGATGACAATATTTCAGCCTTCGATTTCCCCCACGCAGTGGACAACGCAGGACAAGGTCTCTCTGAGCATCCTTGCTCAGAGCACTCTTTACTTCCACGGCACAGGCCGAGACCTACTTCTTTCAGCACTGCGCAGGTGGGAAGCGACCCCTGATTTGATGATCGACATGAGAGACGTGCACAGGCAGGACCAAAAACTTGGCCATATCTGTGTCTGGAGTTCATCCGACGTTTACTAGACGACCTAATAAGTCAGGGACCAAGGGATTGAGAGGGTTGGGATTGTGACACTGGAGCATGTGGCCTTGTTCTTTGCTGCCAACGTCAAAACCCGGCTCTTCTCAGTCCTGCGCCATTCAAAGGGATTGAGGAACGATAAATCCAGCGACAATGGTCTCTTTTGCGTGGCATGGTAACCTAATGGTAGAGTCGGCCTGAGGGCCGAAACAAGTGCCCCCTGAAGAGAAGCCACCAAGCAAGTCGCTCTACTAATCGTCGTCTGAGGACGGCAATGCCGCTACACTTATCAAGGCAGCACCAACACTTCGACTGGCAAGAAGGGCAAGGTCCAGGGTTATGCATTGCTCTAGGGTTACCGAGTATACAAAGCATTACCCGTGCCGGCGCCCCGAGCGCTTTGTCTAGGAGGCTACTATACCAGGCCCCCACGCCTAGGGAACCAGGGTGTGAGACACGGATGGGATCCCACCCGGAACTAGAACTTCGCGAGACTCGTGTGAGGTCACCTAAAAGTACTAGGTATGATCCGCAAAGATTCCCTACGATAAATCACATTAACTTGATGTTAGCTCGCTGCTGAGGATAGCTACATCTCTCGCTGCTCCTAACCAAACCCACAAATGCGATACCCCTGATGGCTGTGTCGGCGGCTGCAACTCCACTTTCAAGCGTTGAAGAATACCGAGCGCCCCTTGTTCGCGTCGTCTACAAGTGTTTCGGGGCAGGGACTGCACGACACAGATGAAACCAGCCACCAACGCCACAATGCTACATCATCACGATAGCTTGGCCAGCCACCGGCAGATATCCGTGCCTAATGGGTTCACGCTCAAGCGAGGACCTCGAAGATATATGAAAGCATGCCTCGTATGTGCGCGGGAAGGCGCTCTCTGCCACTGATAGAATTCCACTTACAGCGACACTGAGCCATGGCCATAGACATCAGCAAAAGTACAATTGCTCTGTTTCAATCGCAAGACAGACTAGAGCTTCTGAACGACATTGACAAATTTCGCCAACATGGCCTTGTCAACCTACCACAGATCGTCGTGTGCGGCGACACGAGTAGCGGCAAATCTTCTGTCCTCGAAGCACTGTCAGGGATTCCATTTCCGGTTGACAGCACCATGTGCACAAGATTTGCGACGGAGATTGCCCTGCGGTATTCCTCGGAGGAGACCGTAACAGGCGAGGCTTTTATCACCCCTGGATCACGTTCTTCTGACGAACACCGAGTTCGTGTTGGAGCATTCCGAATGACAGTCTCAGCCAATCTTGACACAATTCCGGAGATCCTGCGAGAGGCGCAGAAAGTCATGGGAGTTGATGAGGCCGGAGGCATCAGCCGCGATGTGTTACATTTGAAGCTCAGCGGTCGACCGCTACCAAATCTTACTTTGGTGGACCTGCCAGGTCTCATTCACTCAGCTACAAACTTGGACGACATTACAAAAGTGCAAGATCTTGTCAAGTACTATTTCCAGCAGAAAGAGAGCTTGATAATGACGACTGTCTCCGCCGAAAATCCCATTGAAAACCAAGGAATCCTTACCTTGTCCCGACAGTTTGATCCCTCGGGCGAGCGTAGCATTGGGGTTATTACCAAGCCAGACATTCTGCGGCGTCCAGAAAAAGCGAGGCTTGCTCCCACCGTCCTCGAGCTTGCACGAAATCAACATGCTGCCTTCAAATTCAAACGCGAGTGGCAAATAATGAGATGTCTCACTGATGACGAGCGACAGAGGGGTGCAGACAGGGATAGCATTGAGACGGACCTGTTCTTACAGGATCCCTGGGACGGCTTTGACAGGCGGAGACTCGGGACAAGATCTCTACGAGCCGTCCTATGTGAGTACCTGGAGGAACATATTCTGCACGTATTGCCGGAGCTCATCAAGTCTTTGGAGGCTAAGATTGCTTCGGTGAAGCTGTCCCTCCAGGAGCTCGGGCCTCATCGAGCAACGCCCGACGAACGTCGGCAATACCTCATCCGCATCAGCAGGCGCTATGCGCAGATTGTCCGAGACGCTCTCAATGGCGACTACTCCGACACCTTCTTCGACAAGACTGATGCCGCAAAAAGGCTGCGCGCAAAAACAATGGCTCTTACCGATGAGTTTGAAGACACAATGCGCGCAAGGGGCCACACATTCGAAGTCAGAGGTTTTACATTTAATTCATCGATGCCAGCTGAGCCCGACGAACCTCGATTCATCACAAAGGCCGATGCTCTTGCCAAAGTTGGGAAGCTTATAGAAGGTTATCGCGGTCCAGAGTTACCGCTACTTTTCAACCCACGATTAGTGGGAGAACTTTTCAAGGAACAGTCACAGAAATGGCCCAAGATCTCAGCCAAGTATACTGAGGACATTTGCCATGCGGTTGAAATCTTTCTGCGAAAGGTTGTGGACTCAATTTGTCCCTCCACGTCGCGTATTGGCGAGTTGATACTCCGCGAAGTCTTTCAGGATGCGATTCACAGCCATCAACAGAAGCTGAATGAGAAGGTTTGGGAGTTGTTCAACCCATATACGGTTTCTTTTCTTTACTCGACAAGAGCTCGATTGAGAATAAGCTTAAACCGTGTCCAGACAATCGACGGAACATGTGTAGATGGTGATGGTACGGCAAGCAAGTACTCAGTCTCTTCCCACCGTATGGTTAGAGGTCCTGGCCAGGAGAAAGAACCATGCTTGGAAATACTGCAGATATCAAAGGCCTACTATGATGTTGCGCTCGAGACATTCGTCGAAAATGTGGTCATGCTTGGGGTTGAGTCGTGCCTCCTGTCAAAACTGGAGGAGATGTTCTCACCGGAGACTGTGGCACAAATGAAAGAGGATAAACTACAGCTGCTTGGAGGTGAGACGCCCGAGATGATTAGCGAACGCACCGACCTTACAACGCGGCTGAAGACGCTCGAAACGGCTCTGAAGAACTGTCGCAGGCATGCAAGCCGAGAGTTTGGTCTTGACCTGAAGCGACCATCCGCCGCTGGCAATACGATGCCTATCACAGGAAACACCGCAAGAGCTTCATCCCCACGTACAGAGCAGCAACATCTACCATCAGCCAGTCTCACTACAGCGTCTCCACCAGTTATTCATGCAACAGCACCTCCAGCACTCAAATCTACAGCAGCGCTTCCACCGGTTAGTCCTGCCACCATGCCTCTACCACCTACTCCTACTACAATGCCTCCAGTATTTAATACCGCCGCAGCGCCTAAACCTGCAGCACCATTGAGTCAACAGCTAAGCAGCAGTGCATTGGTGGTACCGGCTACGGGAACCAAGTCAAGCTCACCGAGGCCGACGAGTCCGGGCACTCAGCCGAAGTCTTCACCATTATTTACACCGGTTCAGTCAAGCAAGCAGGCTTTCGGAACTCCCGACCCCGGGAAGTCGAATGTATTCCTCTCAAGTAGTCCTTCTAACTTGTTTGGAGCGGCGCCTACAATCTCTCCCAGCGCAGGATCGTCGTCTGACCCCAGTACAAGAACGTCTGGCTTTAGTGGTTTCAGCTCTGGTAAGCCTTCAGAGAAACCAGCAGGCTTCAGTCCAAGCGGTGGCATCCTTGGTAAGTTGGGTTTTTATCATACCAACATCCATTACGTTCTTGATACTGAATGCTCAGGCAGGCGCTCGTCAGGTCCAATAGAATTCGACGTGCAGACAATCGAGCTTCCATCCCCTAGGACAGGCGATATCTCATTCGTCGACGGAATATTTTCTCTCAAAGACCGCCTGGATCACGGACGAGACTTTTGGCTTGATGCAATCTCGCCTTTTGGGAGTAATGACATGCTGCATTGCCTTGCTGCGTATCGTCGCGAAGGATTCGAAGGCATATCGTTCGAGGTGAGCGTCTACCAGGAATAACACTATCTCTATGTCTGGCCTGGCTTTAACCACGTGCGTTATCATAGGAGCTCCGCCTCCAAGACTACAAGGCGATATTCAGCGACGTAACCCGACTGACCCTGAGAATGATGTTGCCGTCCGGTACGAGTCTACTTCTATATCGAGACTATTTGGCGGAAGGAAGAAGATGGGTGTATCCTACTGCAACTGGGCTTTCTTTCTCAAAGGCCTGAACCTTTTCGTGGAGATAGGAAAGACATCGCCCCCGCTATAGCAGGTTTACTATCCGCGCCTTCAAAAGGAGAAGCCGATTTAATGAAGGCGACATCCACGCTTTTAAGGCACCATAAAGCCAGGAAGTCCTAGCGAGCCGACACGAGACATTGCGGGTGAAAATTGATGCAAGGAGCGGCTCAATCTCTCGCGCTAAGACTCTAAAGGCTGGCTATGTAGAGAGAAATGAACCAATTCGTAGAGTATGTCCTACCTACCTAGCATACCAGTGTTCTGTAGATTGTCGTTCTCGCCTCGCCGTGCGGGACTTGTCCACATTTAGTTGTTACTGCCTTAATGGGATGCCTGAGTAGGTCCTGGCGGGGTCCCACATGCCGCGCGGTATCGTGGGCCAGACTACTAAGTACCGAGTACCACGTATGATGTGCGGCGCCAGACGGTATGACGAGGATGAGATGTAAAGGATTTTTTGGGTTAACCAACAGACCCTTGAAGACAACTACCCCTTTATCCTCGTACACCAACCATCGACTGCCCCTTTCGTTGTTTTTAGTGCCCATCATTTTGGCGCAAAAGGAAAAAGAAACAGAATGAGGAGTGACGACGGCTGCTAGACCTGCCGCCTCCGACGTAAAAAAAAATGTGACGAACATCATCCGGTCTGCGAGGCCTGCGCGACGCTCCGCATCACATGCCACTACAGCGAGGAGAAGCCCGAGTGGATGGACCGCGGGACCAGACAGCAGGAGATGGCGAGGCGGATCAAGCGCCAGATCAGAGAGCAGGGTGCTCGCTCTCACCCTCGCCGCCGAATGGAGCGCGCGAGCAGGAACTCTGACGACAGGGGCTCGGGATCCACCGTGCTCTCGTCTCAGACGGAATGCTGGCGACTTCTTGTCCAGGACCAGCACCGGGAGAGTATCTAGCCACGCCGACATCTGATGTCCTATCTGTGGATAGCGTTTCGTACACAGACGACTACGGAGCTATTGAGCAGCAGTAACCGGTAAAATGGATCTCTCACACTGTTGTGTCCCTTGGTCGTCCTTGACGGTCCAGGCGGGCGCGAAAGCGGAATCATCCCCGGCGCTGGATGGCCCGACGCATGCCTGTTCATGTTCTATCTCGACAATCTCATGCCGTTCCGGTTCCCCTTCTACCGGCCCTCCCTGGCCCAGAGGTGGCAGGTCGTGGATCCTCGATGTCATGATGACCAGCTCCGTGGTGCGGCAGATGGCGCTGTGCCCGAGCTCGTATTTCTTCTCGCTGGCGCTGGGCGCACGGGCAATTGCCATGTGGCGTGGGAGAGGGCTGCTCGCGCAGAGCAAAGACGCCTTTGAGACGCTGAGACGGTCCTTGCAGGCGCTGGATGGGCGGACAGACAACACCGACACGGACATGGATCTGTGTGAAGTGGTGCGTATCCTCGTTGGGGTTGTGCAGCCCCAGAGATTCGAGATTTCTCTGTGTCCAGCTTCGAGAATTACCACGCACACCGCACCGCTACTGTCGCTCTCTCCCATCGTGTCCTCGACAATGCCACGGGGACACCCTCCAACTTCGACGCCGTCATGAGCTGTCTGGGTACGTCTTCGTGGAGACTGCCCTCGCAGTGCGTCCGAGTCCCAAGCGCCGAGCAGGCGGCTTGTAAGTTCTCAGCGGGGGCTGGTAATGTTGGACGACATCATCGCCAGTACGACGTTGCAGAAACCAGCCCTCTACGAGTACCATCGCCGTCTTCTAAGTGACACCGACGGAGGCGACCCTCCCATCGACCTCGAACCTCTCTGCGGATGTCAGAACTGGGTGCTCCTCCAGATCAGCGAGATCGTCGCGATCGACGCGTGAAAAGAAGAGCGCACGAGGGCCGGGGACCTCGACGTCGTGGAGCTTGTGAGTCGTGCCACGCCCGTGAAGGACGAATTGGTGACACGCGTCACTCGGCTCGAGGCCGCTGCCGACAATAGCACCACTGCCTCTGGCGCCTCAAAGAGAGCCTCTGGTCGCGGTCCTCTGCCACTGGATTTCTTGTTCCCAGCATACCCGTACCACCGCGACGAAGCATCTGCACAAACGATATTGGAGCAGACGGCCCTAATCACCCGGATCTGGGCCCACGCCGCACTGGCTTACCTCTCCGTCGTCCTCTCCAGCTGGCAACCCTCGAGCAGCGACATACGGCACCACGTCTCGCGGACCATCGAGCTGCTCCTGATTCTATTGACGCCGCAACACCACACGGTCCCATATCCGTCTCCGTCCGCGTTCCCGCCCGCGTTGCTGCGCACTGTGGTCTGGCCGTTCTACGTGGCCGGCTGTCTCGCACAGTCACCGGAGCACCACGCCCGTCTACGCGAACTGGTCGAGCCGCTCCAGACGCCGAGCGTGTTTGGGACCGTATACAAGGCGCTCGTGATCATGGAGGGCGTGCGGCCGAGAAGAGAGGTAGGGGATGGACTGGCGCCGAGGGATCTGACTGCTTGTTTTGGGCGACAGGGGGAGGTGGTGGTGCTTGTTTAGACGGGACGTGTGTTCGAGGGAATGGGAATGAGCATGGCCGAGTCGGCTGGACCAACTAGATCGGATACATTGCTCGGTTTAAAGCTCGATGGGGTATTTGCAGCCAACCCGACCCAGTACGCCGACGCGGCCTTGCCCATCCCCAGGGTCATCATCATCGGCGACGGCACGACGCTCACGTTGAGGATATTGCCCGTGTATATGAACGTCTTGTTCGTCGGGCCCTTCTCTCTGGGCAACGCAGTCCACCCGCCCACGGCCTGCTGCGCCGCGACACACGCGCACGACAGCGTCCAGAGGCGTCGAGAATATCGAGTCCCAGCGAGCGAGTCATCTCAGAGTACGGTATGTACGCCTCACAAAGAATCGGATTTTTAAAGCATACGCTGCATGACGTCGGTCATCACGAGACTATTCTGGCCTGAACGGCTCCCAAAGTCAAACCAGTAAACATGATTATAAAGTGTAAAAAAGAAAAGAGTGAAAGGAAAGAGATTATACCTCGTAGAAGTCCAAGATCCCACATGCCGCGCGATATACAAAGTGGACCAATTGGTGGATCGAGGAGTGGATCAGTATAAAGTATTCAAGGCGCGCGGTAAGGAATCCACTCGGCGCTTGTATCACCCAAGCAGGCCCTGAGTAGGTGGACATGGATGCGTTCGAACTGGGTGGGTCAAGGTAGATTAGGTGTAGAGGGGATGAATGTAGACCAACTTTAGTAATTTGTATCCATCATGTCCAGTATATGGGCATTGATTCCTCCGCTGGTGACAATTCATGGTACTGTACCGCGTCGACTTCGCTTCGCGACTCCGCGTTTGATATCGTCACCGCAGTGTGGAATGGCCGAGTATAAGACCCTATCCAGATCATTTGCACACATGAATGCTTGGTCGTCGGTCATACATCCTCTCTTGTGGTATCTGCCGTCTGCCGTCAGAAACTCACCCCAATAACGAAGCGCTGTGTCTTGTACCATGTCTTCCACCCCCGAATTGAGCCAGGCCACACACTCCGACCCAGATACGCCATCCCAGACAACAATATTGTGCAAAGGTAAGAGACCCCACCAACCCCTCCTCGATGCAGTGGCTCCGGCTGACGCCAGCAAGAAGATGCTGAACATAACGAACCCCCCGAGAAACCGGGAGCCGTGTACCCAGCCGACACACTCTCGCTGCCACGACAGCACCGTCGGCGTGATTGGCGACTCGTTCGGCATCACCAACCCGGGCCAACGGTCCTGGTTGATCGCGGGCTACAGTCTGACGATTGGCACCTTCATTCTCGTCGGCGGCCGACTGGGCGAAGAGTTCGGCAACAAGAACCTCTTTGGCGTCGGCTGGCAGGAGCCGTACGTCGGTGTTTGTCTGGTGCTCGGGCTCTTGTTCGCAGCGGCCTTCTTCTGGGTTGAGATCTATCATGCAAAGTCTCCGATCCTCCCCCTTGCGGCGTTCAATTCCGACATTACTTTTGTCATTGCGTGTACGGCGACAGGCTGGGCGTGTTTTGGCATATGGGTCGGTGTTTTTTCCCCCACATCTCTAATCCCAGTCTCAAGTCTAGCGTAAATGGTTAAGTTGGTTAACACCCCTGCTGGCAGGTCTTCTACATCGGACGGGTCGCTCTCGACCTTGGAGGCAACACGATGGCAGCCTGGTTCATACCGGTGATCCCGTCCGGTCTGACCTCAGCCCTCGCGGTGGGCAAGTTGCTCGGCAAAGTCCCTGCCTCGTGGATCATGGTCGTCGGACAAGTCGCCCATATGGTCGGCTCCATCCTCGCAGCGGCGCGACCTGTGCATTCGACATACTGGACCTACTACTTCTTCAGCGTCCTCATCATCACCGTCGGCATGGACACCTCGTTTCCCTCGGCCACGATCATCTTCTCCAACGCCGTCCCTCAACGATACCAGGGTATGGGCGCGAGTGTAGTCATGACTGTGGTCAATTACAGCATATCGCTTGGTCTCAGCTTTGCCGGCACGATCGAAACAAACATCAATGATGGCGGGTTGACCGGCGCCGACAAGCTTTTCGGCCACCGCGGTGCTCTTTGGTTTGCGGTTGGGCTAGCTGGTCTCGGCCTGTTGCTGAGCCTTGTCTTTGTCGCGAAATCGTCCTCGAAGGACGGATCCAAAGGACAACGTTGAATAATTCAGGGAAGAAATGCTAGAAAGACAATGCAGGATGCTATGTACCGGCAAGCGCAAATCAAAGGACAAATGTATATGCTGCAGGTGGTCTAGGATCGGGAGGGCATTGTTCGAGAAACTGCCATAGCACAGGCTAGAAGCCAGTCCCGAACACGAGGGCTTTTGCTCTTCCAACAGATACCATGGCTCATGTAGCCAGAGACAGTAGATACATGGCAAATCATCAGGAAGACTCCTGACCAGTGCACCGAGGATCCCAGCACATCTGGTAACTTGTGCTGATTATCTATTCGCGATATAGGAAAATGAAACACACCTCGAACGCTTGGCCTTGGTCTCATCTCCTAACGATCGCCACCGCAAACGCGACACATACGACGTCCGGACATTCGACATGTCACATCGCAACCCATTGGAGCAATCAACAAGGCAGCAGTTTTCACGGGCACGCCAAGTAAGAAATGCAGGTTGCGGGTGAAATTGCCGAGTCGGGTCTAGATCCAAGTTTCCCATGCAGGTTTCCTTGTGACCAACGCAAATAGCGGAAGCGGTGATGAGGCTTTTGATCAACGTCACCAAAGAATCTCCCATTTCATTCCACTTTATCAACTCCCACTCGCGAGATCTGACATACCGTGGACGAAGCAATATGAGTGCGCTGTGTACTGGCAACCCTGTCGGTGGATGCAGTGACTGCTGCGGTGGTCCAGTGGCAAACGCTTCGAATTGGCGTCATCAAGATGTTTCATGCTGTAATGGGGCAAGCCCGGCAGCAAACGCACCAGAAAGCAATATGACCCAGTGCAATGAGGATGATAGATGCAACGGTAAGAAATGCAGCATCTCATGTTGAACTTCAACTTGCTGATGGGTTGGGAGAAAATTGTATCAAAACGGCCGCTGCGATCGAGTGCTCCCTGGCATGCACCAAACAGTGGAATGAACGCTCTGGGGACATGGATAGCAACGATCTAGACGAGAAGACCACATGCCACACTGGCTGCGACCACACTCACCGTGGAGCCCCTGAAGAGATCGGAACGAGCGAGCATGTCCACGGCGGCGAAGCTCATGAACATGCGCATGGAGAGGATGGCACCCACCTGGATGAGCCCTGCCACGTCCATTTGAAAGCAGCCATGGAGAAATATGCCACATACCTGGAGTCCGCTCAGTGCATCTGTCGGAGTATCCTCTCTTCTGCCAGACGAATTGAAACATGTCGCCCATATGCTGCCGCTGGTGACGCATCTGTGGTCACTGCTACTCGTAGCCATCATCTCATCGTGAGAGAGCACTGGTCTGCTTTGTCTCGCCGACAGTTCAAGAGGATGCCGGACGACACAGTCACAATAGGAACTGAGGCAAAATGCTGCGGAAGCCCTGAGAGCATTGATCATGTTGACTGCGAGCATGGGATCGTGCCCAAACAGGCTTTAGAGGATGTTGAAAAGGCAGCAGGACTGTCGCATATCCTTCTTAGCGTCACTGGAATGGATTGCTCTGGCTGCGCGAACAACTTGACGCGAGCACTACGAGCTGCTGGTGGTACGAGGGATGTCAAGGTCACCTTCATCAGTGGAACCGCTGAATTTCGTCTCGACGCCGAAGTCAATACGTTGGACAACGTGATCCGCAGCGCCCAAAGAGCAACTGGTTATAAGCTCGCACGATTCTCCTCCGACACCCAGATCATTGACGTCGTGATGAGTGCCACAAGTGCAAACATATTTTGCAACAACCTACCACCTGGCGTCGAACGATGCGACAGGCTTTCGAAGACAACGTATGAGATCAGCTACGACCCCTGCATCATAGGTGCGAGGGCGTTGCTGGCTGGTGCTGATGGTCAACTCGGTCCTCCTCGCAACGACTCCTACCTTGACGAAGGGAAGCGGAGGCTCATCCGAATCACTGCTCTGACGGCAACAGCATTCATCCTGACAACGCCCGTTGTTGTGCTGGAATGGGGCCGCCCTTCAGGCGTGTCCGAACATACCACTTTGATAGTGGCAGTGATCCTGGCCACGATGGTCCAAGCAATTGCGATTTCAGAGTTTTATATTCCTGCAATGTCGGCCTTGATATACAACAAAGTGGTCGAAATGGACATGCTTGTTGTCATCAGCATTACAGCCGCATATGGCTATTCCATTATTGCGGCTGGTCTCTTCTTCGCCGGCATTGATCTGGAGACCAAACCGTTTTTCGAGACGAGTACCCTGTTGGTCACGTTGATCCTGCTGGGTCGTCTCCTGGCGGCTTGGGCTCGGAAACGAGCAGTGCAGGCTGTGTCATTAAGATCTCTTCAAACTTCAACAGCACTGCTTATCGACCCAATCACAGAGCACGCCATAGAGATTGATGCCCGATTACTTCAATATGGAGATAGAATCTCAATACTGCCGCATTCTCAGATCGTCACCGATGCTGATGTACTAGGAGGGGCAAGTGAGGTAGACGAGTCAATGCTAACAGGCGAAAGTATGCCTGTTTCCAAGACCATCGGGGATTCTGTTGTGTCGGGCACTATCAACGGCAGCGGAAGGTTGACAGCACGGGTATCTCGCTTACCAGGGAGGAATACCATCACAGATATTGCCAACCTGGTCGAAAAGGCACAGAGCTTCAAACCACGTGTCCAAGACTTGGCCGATAAGGTAGCAGGATATTTTGTTCCTGTCGTGTGCACCGTGGCTCTTGTTGTCCTCATTGTCTGGATCCTGGTTGGTCTGAGGATTCACCAACGGTCTGCCGGAGGCGCCATCGGAACTGCTATCGGCTATGCCATTGCCGTTCTGGCCATTAGCTGCCCCTGTGCGCTTGGGCTGGCGGTTCCGATGGTCCTCGTTGTCGCTGGAGGAGTAGCTGCGCGGGGAGGTGTCATCATCAAGACGGCGGATGTCATCCAACGCGGCTTCAGGGTCACCGATGTGATATTTGATAAGACTGGAACGCTCACTGAGCCACGACTCCAAGTTGTGAAAGAACTGACTTGCCCCACGGGGAAACTTGATCGCGACACCCTGCTCCCCGTGATCATGAAGATGGTGAGGAGCAACAAACATCCTGTGTCCGAAGCTGTTGCACAGACACTAGATGCCCGGGGTGTAGGCTACACAGAATTGGACGGAGTCATGTCCATTCCTGGTTGCGGGCTCCAAGCACAATGGCAAGGATTGACAGTCCGAGCTGGGAATGCAAAGTGGCTAGAGATCAGCGAGACACCTGAGGTCGCTGAAGTCACAGTAGAAGGTTTGACAGTCTTTGGTGTCACGGTCGACGGCCAACTGGCGGCAGTTTTTGGGTTGAAGTCTCAAGTCCGTGAAGGAGCTGTAGGCACCATCCAAGAGCTCCACCAACGTCAGATCACTGTTCACATCGTAAGTGGCGATGGGCGTCGTGTCGTGGAGGGCGTGGCAGCAGAATTGAGTATTCCTCTGGACAATATTGCTGCCGAACAGACGCCGGCACAGAAGCAGGCGTATGTGCGTCAACTCATGGATGCCGGAAAGATCACCCTCTTCTGTGGGGATGGGACGAATGACGCAGTCGCCGTGGCTCAAGCAAATGTCGGGGTCCAAATTGAATCTTCCTCAGATGTCACGCGTGCAACGGCAGATGTTATTCTTCTCCGCAATCTCGACGGCGTGGTCAATTTGTTGGATGTGTCCAGAGCCGCGTTCCGACGCATCGTTTTCAACTTCGTCTGGTCAGCAGCATACAATATGCTTGCCATCTTACTCGCAGCCGGGGCCTTTGTGAAGGTCCGCATTCCACCAGCTTATGCAGGTCTCGGTGAGATTGTCAGCGTGTTACCGGTCATTGTTGTGGCATTGACCCAGCCGAAGGTGAAGGGGAGGAACTAGGCAGTGGTTGATCATCGATGTGTTGATCGAGGAGTCTGCTGGTGAAATGATGCTTCCGACCCGTTCCAATCATTGCGACACAGGGGTCATACCCCATTACACTCGTTATTTATCGTATTTGAGGATTGAAGAAATTCGTTGCAAACCTTGAAAAGTGATTGAATCCTATGAATGTTACCGAGTATTGCTTGAGAATCACAGCCCCTCGACTACGTCCCTCGAATGCCAAGGCCAAAATGAGGACCTTAAAAGTTGCTCCAGCCGTTCAGAGTCACTAACTATATTTGACTAGTGCCGTGCTGCTGATTGGATAACGCAACCTCCAATAAAGAGGCGAGATTTCTGATTTGCACAGCCACACAGCTCGACATTAGGTCGACTGTGGCACAACTTTAGATCTGCCAAGATACACCGACCTAAGCCGCTGACCGAGAAATCAGTGAACCAGCGCCCCGTCAGGTCAAACCCTGACAAAGGAAGGACAAGCTCTCATCTGGCACCGTTCGAGACCGAGGCTTTTAAGGCAGCGAGTGCGAGCTTGACATTCTGCTGCACACTCTACCAAGGCCCCAAGTACCGGTAGACCTTCCTCCCCTGCACGGGGCGGCCGCCTGTGGCCACAAGGCCGCCTTGTAGCAATGAGGCTGAAGGGATGCCACCAGTCGACCTTGGATGGGCAGCGGAGGTTAACCCTTTTCAAGCCAGCGCAACTCTGTTATCAGTGTCAAACCAAAACATGAGATGCGTCAGCCTCAATGACTGACAATCTTCGCAGATTTTGCACAGTGATCAATTTACTTGGTCGGCCACAACAGCCCAATGGCGTTTTCAAGGAGAAAACTTTCATCTGTGATGCCGATAAGACATATTTTTCGTCAGTTGCAACGGACTCGGTTCAATTCTACGCTTGCCTCGGATCTGTTCTTCCCAACTACGGGTCGCTGGCTGTGGAACGAGCGTCGTCAACGACTAGCACACACACAGAAATTCGACCTCAGAGCTCTCGAGCATATCATCATACAGGCAGCAGGATCAACAGCTAATATTACTGTTCAATTTGAGAAACTTGAGGAAGGCGCTTCCAATAATCCTCGCCATTGTTGGAGAGCAGCGATTTATCGTTAAGATCCCTGACCCGATTGTCTCGCCACGGTTGGTCACGGCAAGCGAAGTTGCCACACTTGCTTTCTTGCGGTCCGAGTTGGAATTACCGGTGCCTATGGTGTTTTCATGGAGCGACGACTGTGACAATCCAGTCGGTTGCGAATACATCATCATGGAAGAGGCTCAAGGGAGAGCTTTGAGCACCGTATGGTCTCGCCTTGAAATACCAGAGAAACTCGCTGTCGTGGATGAAGTCCTATCTGTTCAAAAGCGGCTCGCTACCACCAAGCATATGTTCACTGGGTATGGGAGTCTATACTTTCTTGATGATGCAGCAAAACTTGGGTTTTCTCAGCATTTCCCAGTCACATCGACCTCTACCCCAACGTATTGCATCGGTCCATTGGCACATCAACATTTTATTGGATCAGCCCTTATAGCCTCCAGGGTGAATTGTGGCCCTTGTGAGTCCCTGTGGCGGATTCACGGTTGTTTGGTTGCTAACTAGTCAGGGCGTACTCCACAAGATTATCTCGTTTCCGTCGCACACTCGTCACTGGTACAAATTGAGATGAACCAAAGTAAAGATATGACCGCTGAGCGAACGTTCTCCTTCCCGATAAACACAGCAAGCAATACGTCGGCTACAGCACTGTCTGATATGCTCAGAACACTTTGCATGGTAATACCACATATTCTTCCACACTCCACAACCCAACATCTGCCGCTAGTGTGGCATAAAGATCTTCACTTTGGCAATTTATTTGTGTCTCCGAAAGGAAAGATTACCTGCATTGTCGATTGGCAGGGCACCGATATCTTACCGTTGTTCCTGGCAGTTCGAATGCCCCAGATTATCGATGTGGAACGCGATGCAATTCTTCTGGAACTCCCAGACGATTTCTCAGAGATGCCCGAAAGAAAAAGGCTTGAAGTTTGGGAGAGGTACCGCCAATCGATGCTTCAGCAGTATTACCCAGCCGATCTTAGGGAGACTGTTCCCGATCTTGCTGCTCTGTTGGAGGACGATCAATTAGCCCCCATTCGAAAGCAGGTTGAATTATTCGCCCGAATCCTTTTCGGACAAGACGCTGAGGCCCTTTTCCTAAGGGAGACTCTCCTTCGGGTTCAGCGCAGTTGGTCTAGCTTCCTTCGCGATGGAGATGGTGCTGTGGAATGCCCTATAAATATCGAGGGCGACGAGTTGACGAACCACCAGAAAGATGGACGGCGTTACAATGAATTTCAAGACCTCCTAAAGGCCAGGAACATCCCAGTTGCTGAAGAGGGTTGGGTGCCGTCGGATGAGTTTACACCTCGGAAAGACGACCTTAAAACTGTGATAAAGGAGACCATCGAGTCTTTGGAGTGTGAACAAGAACGTCTAGAGTTTAGTGACAGGCTTCGCCATTGGAATCTGACTGATTGGGAAACCACATACAATAGCCATTTGATTACGTGCACAGGTGACCTTCAGATAAGCCCCTTGGATTGAGCAGTGTTCTTCAGCTTTGCGTTGACCTCTTTTTTCGGTGTTGCTTGGTCTAACTTGGACTGTGAAGAGTTTGTTGTGGCTTGCTGATCCTTGGTTGTTGGCCTGGACATTGACATTGTAGCTGTCATTGGGCTCATCTTCATCGTGCTCATCTACACAAGGTGCATTTTGTGTAATTAATCTATAGTCTAACAATGTACTCAACTCGCGTCTCTGGCCGCCTTGGTCAATGACACGGACTATTTTTTCTCGTCTCTCAGCTCCCGCAATACGCCGGAGGCATCTTCTGCAGCCTCCGCTGATGGAGAAATGTCCATGTTGTTCGCGTCTTCCTCACTTGCCGCTGCCCTTTTCCTCCGCCGGAAGACTCCTTGAAAACTTCGTTTCTGCCCTGGCCCTGCGTCTGCTGCCCCTCTGCCCGTCCTCTTCTTCTCCGCGATTCGTTCCAGTTTCTCGACGTGCTCCCTAGCGTGCCTGAGATCCCTCTGAATCTCTTCCTCCGATGCCACTTGATACCGCAGCCTGATAATCACCGCGGCGAGGAGGATAATGCCGATCTGAACTATAAATTGCCATTGGCCCACGGCTTTGACCTGCTCGCCCGGTTCGCCGTCGGTATTGATATAATTTTCAATCCACACGATAAAGGCAATGATGATCAAAGGGCCGAAGACCATGGCCCCGAGAAGAACGCAAAGCGTTATGAGGTCTATAAGGCAGAGGGTGAAGGGATGTTTGTGCGCTCTCGTGATCCTTGCCACTTGGTTAAGTTTGACACTTCTTATCGGTGCGAAAGTCGACGTCGGATGCCGCAAAAATTGTACTGTTTTCGAATAGCCGGCCCTGATGTCACCTGTAAACCCGCTGAAAATCTCCTTCCTCCGAAACCAGAGATCAAATGGCCGATGTATGGGTACTCTTGAAGTGCATAAATCCAATCGCCCAACGACCAGAAGAAATAGCTGTGCAGCGGTAAAGAGGGCAATTGCCGTATATACGAGAGGCTGGAATGCATCGCCTTCCCAAGTGCTTCGAGTATGCCGACTATCCCCAGGGGCATCAGTGCCGACCACTGTCGCCCGTAGCCGCGTTGATTCTCGCATCACTTGTGAGGTGTTGAAACACGGATAGAAGCAATTCGTCGAGAGGTTCAACCATCGTTCGTTGTCAAGAACAGACGGACCAAACAGACCCCAGATGGTCGCATTCCAGGAACCGGCCCAGTATTGATCATCCCAACCGTCATTCTGGACAGTATTGCTGTCTTCAATGCCCGAGTAGCAGAAGCGATATTGAGGTGGTGCAAGATTCAGACCTGGCCAAAGCACAAGGACTGATATCGATCCTGCAAGCATAATGATATTCCAGATGAAGATTAGTAGATGGAGGATCCGACTTGTTCGCGCCGTGCTTGACCAGCACTGCAACGGTAATCCCACAAGATATGCCGTGATCACAATACAAGTCACCGCGTCGATATCCAGCTCCAGGTAGTCGGGCTGCACAACAACGGATCTGGTGTTTGCGGCAAGAGTCCGCATGTCATTCGATACATCCGTCAAGTACTCTACATCCAGATAAGCTACCGTGACATTCTGTGGTGAAGGCAGACCAAGGTGAGCGGAAAGCAGGATAAAAGCCTCGAGCGAGGCGGTGGCGGCATATGATACTGCCGCTCCAAAGATGACATGCGCAACCCAGCCGTGGCTGGCTGTGATGAAGCTCAAGGCCAGAAGGACATAATAGAGATATCGTGGAGTCGGCGCGTATATGTCGCTCATAGGATAGTAGCAGGTGACTGGTTGCGCGACGACGGGCTGATCAAATGAGATGTTGGTTATGGCCATTCCTTCCGCCGGGAGAGTCTGGACTCTGAGCGACCGTTTCTCAGATACCCTTTAAGCTCCGTTCCGCTGTTGTCTAGGCATCTATAGGGCGTCAGTGCCCTATTCGATACGCCAAGATACGAGATAGAGTCACTGATGAGACGTCAAGTCTGGCATCCGCAAACTTGAAAATTGAGTGAGGTCGTGAAAAGAAGCGCATACGATGCATCATTAGACTTTTTTCTCGTCGCCCAGATGGAAAGGTCCGTTTTTGACCATCAGCTGAAGCGTATTTTGCACCAAAACGCCGGTTAGAGTTTCCATATTCAAAAAGTCCGTCTTGGAGAGTTCTGGGGACCTAAGAGTCATTGCGGTAGAGGCCGATGAACAGGCCATGACTTGACCCAAGCCATGTCGGAGCTGAGGATGATTGGATGGCGGCGACGCAAGGTGTTAACCTGGTTACGAATTGGCTAGAAGCTGTGACATTTTATGGGTGTTGATCTTTTAACTTTTCTGCCTGGACCATGCCTGGACACGAGCTGACAAGTACCGTGAAGTTCCGGTGCAGCTCGTACTGAATGGCACAAGACTTAAGTTTGCTTTTGTCGATTCGATAAACCATCTTCAGCTTTCTCTAAGGGACTGAATGGTCGTGGGAGGGCGATGAGAACTGCACCGCCACCCGTCGCAAATTGTCACGTGGTATTCATCGATCACATCCTAAGTCTCACAACTCGTAGATAGAGTGTCATAAGCATCGAGTCAACAGACTGCTGGACTTGGGAGTTAGTCAATATATCGTAAAAACCTTGCTCATGTCTGCAGAGTGGTCCACCATTTGTAGGAGAGCCTCTCCTATGTCGAACAGCTCAAATTCACTGACTGGCAGATCTAGGAAGTACAACTAAGCCTTCAGGCCTTCCAGCTGGCCCCGTCTTCGTCTCGACTTCTAGCTGCCGAAGCGATCAAGTCGGAGACTGTGCGGGGATGTGCTGGAGATAAGTCTGAATATGACCGTGGACGATCGTCGCCAACGGTCTGAAAAGGTTGGTAATACAAAGAAGATCAAGCACGGCAACTGTCGGCTTAACTCCGTTGCATGAGGGGCAGAAGTGGCTGCCATCGCGTCGAGTATATAACCTCCTCTTGCGTCGTTATCGTTTGTTTTCCTGTTGTTCAGAAATAGAATCAGAGAAAGGCACAGCGATCTCACCCAAGAAGTCCAGATTCTACAACTCTGTCATTAAGAAGATAAAGAGCAAGATGGCACCGAGTCTCCCAACCCGCCAATTGGGCAAGGATGGACCCCAAGTAACCGCCCTAGGCTTTGGTCTGATGGGTTTGTCCATCTTTTATGGGAAAAAGCTTCCAGATGACCAGAGATTGAAGTTTTTGGACCACGTGTTCGAGTCAGGAGAGGCGTTTTGGGATTCTTCGGATGTGTATGGAGACAGTGAGGATCTGCTCGGCCAGTAGGTCTCCCATTCGAAGATGACGAGTATGGCGAGTCTGCTAAACAATCCCTCCTTTCGTTCTGCAGGTGGTTCAAGAAGACGGGCAACAGGAGCAAGATCTTCTTGTGCACCAAATTCGCCAACGTTCGCCAACCCGATGGGACATCAAAAGTCATCAACGACCCTGCGTATATTCGCGAGGCGTGCGCCAAATCTCACAAACGGCTCGGACTAGAACCTGGCGACGCTATTGACTTGTACTATTGCCATCGTATCGACCGGGAACAACCCATCGAGATCACAGTGCAGACAATGGCCGAGTTGAAAAAGGAAGGCAAAATTCGCTATCTTGGACTGAGCGAGTGCTCTGCCGAGACACTTCGACGAGCTTGCAAGGTCCATCACATTGCCGCCGTTCAAGTCGAATATTCTCCGTTTGCCATGGAAATCGAGCACAACGACCTCTTGAAAACGTGTCGAGAATTGGGGGTGGCGGTCGTCGCCTATTCGCCCTTTAGTCGAGGCTTTCTAACCGGCACGATCAAGTCGCACGACGATTTCGACCCAGATGACCGACGTCGCGTCATGCCCCGGTACTCAAAGGAAAACTTCCACAAGAACATGGAGCTTGTGAATGCCATTGCCAGCATCGCCGAGAAGAAGAACGTAACCCCAGGTCAACTGACGCTGGCCTGGTTGATGGCTCAGGGTGAAGACATCATTCCCATCCCTGGCACCACCAAAGCGAAGAACTTTGACGAGAACATGGCCAGTTTACAGATCAAGTTGACGGCGGAAGAAGAGAAAGAGATCAGACAAAAGGTCGAAGCCGCGGAGATCACTGGGGAGCGGTATCCTGCCGGCATGCTGAAACATCTTTACGCGGACACTGTTCCTCTCAAGTAGCTGGCAAGATAGATCCAGTGTCATGGGAGAGAACAATGACTCGGGATAAACTTTACAGAATATAGCAAATGATATATCGTTGTCCCTCTTGGACGAGGTACTGCAGGAGGAACCAAAGAAAATGTTTTGGTCTGACGCACCATTTTTCAAGTGCATCTCACCGATCCGCTCGCAGGTGGAATTCACCCCGCGATCATTGCCCATCAGCAGCAGCCAGACAGAACATACTTCCTCGTCAACAATTATCCAGGTTGACTTGACCCATACGAACCTCGCAAGAACACAGCCCGTAGCTGTCTTGACTCGCTCATCCCCCAACAGATATCTTTCTATTGTTTGAACAGCCCTTGTACCTCAAACAGAAGGCAACCACTCATCGGCTTGCTCAATGGCAAGCGAAGCCCAATTCGATGCCGCCTTGTAAGCTCCCTCAAACCCTCCAGCTTCGCCCCGCCAGGGAGTAAGAAGACAGGATGTGCCGAATTTTCTTGCTAACGCTTTACCCCTTGTTTCCTTTGCCTGCAGAGACCTCCTCCGCCGCCTCTCTCCACTCAAGGTGTCGGACAACCTGACCTCCATAACCACGCTCGTGCCCGATCTCACAGAAGACCTCCTCTCCTCCGTGGACCAGCCGCTGACGTCGGCACGCTGCAAAAAGACCGGCCGGGACTATCTGTTATGCGACTACAACCGTGACGGCGACTCATATCGGAGTCCCTGGAGCAACGAATTCGAGCCCCCACTAGACGATGCCACATACCCGAGCGACCGCGTACGGAAGATGGAAGTCGAGGCGAACACGGCGTTTGACGTGTACAGGCAGATGTACTACGAGGGCGGCACGGGGTCAGTGTACCTGTGGGACTTGGATGACGGGTTCGCAGGTGTAGTTTTGTTGAAAAAGGCTGTGGGCAAAGAGGCTGGCTGGGACAGCATACACGTGTTTGAGGTCGACGAGAGAAGGGGCAGTGGACGGACATGTCATTACAAGCTGACCAGCACTGTCATCTTGCATCTGGGTCGTGATGGCGAGGGACTCGGGTCACTAACCTTGGCTGGGAGCATGACGAGACAAGTCGAGGCCGACCTGGTGGTGGAGAATGTCGGCGGACAGGGCAAAGATGGAGGCCACGTCATCAACATAGGAAGATTGATCGAGGACATGGAAGGCAAGATGCGAAACATGCTCCAGGAAGTATACTTTGGCAAGGCAAAGGACGTGGTAGGCGACCTGAGGAGCGTGGCTCCGTTGACGGGCGTCAACCGTGAGAGACAGACTCAGAAAGATCTCATTTCCAGTATGGGAGGGAAATGAAATTGAGGAGCATAGCTGATGAGAATTCACTTTGATCAGCCGATTCTCCTAGCCACGTCGAATTACGGGATAAAGGACGACCTCGTGCTACAATGCATGGATGAGGTCTGCCAGCTTTCTCTAAGGGAATGCGGACTGTTCCATTCGAAAGACTACCCACCTCACTCGAAGACCCTGGAGAATGGAGAAGCGATAGATGAATCGTTCTGAGATACTGCCAGAGGAGAGATCTCGTTACTCTTGACTTGGCCAGTTAGATTCTCAAACTCAAGAATTTTCCATACAGTAAATACCACAGGCAGTGGTAGAGAATTAATAAGAATGCCGTGATGCGCGCCTGTCCACTCGACGTTTGTACTTCTTTTTTGCATGAGATCTCCTGTTTAGTGTCGTCACCGGACAGACGCGTGAATATGTAAGAAATACGGAAGCACAGCGTGAGGCTCTGCTGTGTGCACGCAGGCTCTTTCCCAAGCGTGAAAGCGGCCTGTACGACTTGAGGCGGTTTAATTGACACCCCCTTTTAGGAGGAAGAGCCGTGTTGGCTCGGACGTGGAAATTTGATCTCTCGCAATTGCGTGGCCTCTGGTGTGGGAATGTGATCACTCGCACCAGCGTAGCCTTGCTTGATGCTCATCTGTACCGGATCCAGGTCCATTGGCGCAGCAGGCGGGAAGCTAGGCAGTGTCTCTGAGACTTTAACAAGCAACAATGGGAAATACCTCGATGCTCCGCCTCGCAACTGCGAAATGAGGGTGACAAGCTTGTTCAGACATTCCAACGGCGTGTCGTTGCACGGGGTCGATATTTCCAAAGGCATGAGTGGGACACACGAGATCACGTCCGTCAGCGTACAGGCGATGTCGAATAGTTTCTCAATCAGCCCTACTCCATGGACCTCCATTGCGTCTCGTGACAAGGTTGAGATGTCGTGGACCAAGTCCCTGGCGACCTCTATGGGGAATTTGAACGTCATGGAAGAATCAGTCGACGTCGATGAAAGACAACCATTCGTTATGGCCAGTTGCCAGATCATGATGCGTAGCCAATGTAACGTGACCCAAACATCGGCTAGTTGGCTTTCTGTTGTCTCCAAGGCGCGCGGTATCGAGTTTGTAACCTCTTGTTGAAGCTGCGAGAGCCAGGTGTCTGAGCAATGGGTCTTGACTTTGTTCCAAAAAGCCATGAACTCGTCATCGATGCACCGGAAGAGCCCGATCAAGCAGAGAAAGCCAGATATTCTCTCTTCCTCGTGTGGCTCACTGACCGATGGTAGTCCAATAGTCGGGTGGAGACTAAGTGGGCGGTGTCGTTCCATCGCATATGCCCTCTCAGTAACCAGGAGCAACCAATACATTCGTCGTTTATACATGTTCTCGACAGCATCACCGACAAGATACGATGACTCTTCATGCATTCCCAGCAGCTGAGCCAAGGTAACAGCTTCACGCAAATGAAACCAGCACATATTCTGTTTCTCCAGGGTGAAATAGCAGCTAAATAGGAAGAATGAGGTCTGGACGGCAGTCAAAGTAGGAAACTCAATGTAGTCGATGGACTTTCGCACGCGAAGGACGTCATTGAGAAGCTGGTTGGCATAGCCGTAACAATTCCCGAGGGGCTCACCTTCGTAATAGCTCCCTGGCGCAACAGCCAAATTCTTGCCAGGCTGGACCATGACAAAGGCACACAAGGAGCCTACGAGACAGTAAAATTCGGCATCGCTCGCGATCTGGGGTCCCATCTTCTCTATTAGCAGACGACGATTGAGGATCGAAGTAGTCGTAGACATGTCGGAGAAATAGAAATCGACACAATCCACCATGATCTCCTCGCTGAGGAGAACCGTACTGGACAAATGCGCAGACGGCATTGATGTTGATGGGTAACCGAGGTCCAATGAAGGCTTCAGGGTGCGACATGGTGACAGCTGAGGAGTGGTATCAGAAGGAGACGTCTGAGCAAGTTGTTGCCGCTTCTTTGTCTGAGAATTACGGATTTGCGACAGCACTTTCGATCGATTCCCCTTTGGGCCTTTCTTTTGAGGCACGGCAAGATAGGTGCATTCCAGATTGGTTTGGCCGCATGTGCGGCACGGCTGGCCTCCGGAACATCGTACTTTGCGGCGATGACATGCATCACATGCCTTCTTGATCGGGGCAGTGGCCATTTTGAGGGCAGGAGCTCGTCAAATTAGAGAGGTCGGGTTCCTGCATGGCCCGGTGTCTCAGTCGCTGCGTAGACGTACGACGGGTCAGATTGAGACTGGGCCACTGCGTTCGAGGGTGCGTTGCATCGCCGCATGGGTTCTTTTCGTGTCTGGACGGTGGAATTATGCCTGAGCAGCCTGCGGCACATGGCGACGAGAACGGTAACGTGGAGGCAGACCCCGCAAATCCTATTGGGATTGATTTGGCGACTGCGACTGTGAGTTGCATGAGCCAGGGTTTGTTGGTCGGTGTATTGGACTGACTGGACAGATCCAGGGTCATCCTGTGCCGCTTTTAACATCCACGGAAACCAGTCTTTTGATGTCACAAAACATACCATGCCGCTTTTAGCATCGCTCCCCCTCACCTGGAGAATTTCATGGTCCTTCACATCCCTTGCGGTCCCGATTAAGTAGCAACTCGGCAACGGATACCGCCTTAGTTCCTACACCATGGTTCAACATTGCAGGTAAGAAACAACCGCTTAGTTAAGAACAGAGCAAGGCCCATTTGCCCTAAAGATGCCTAGTAAATGCCTAGTCACGGCCGGAATCAAATGCCATCGGTTTCTTCACCTTCACTCCTGCCATACCTGTGGTCTGTTTATCTCGACGAATGTGTCTTGCCCTCATCATCCAAGTTCCAACGCACGAGCCACCAAATCTTGACGTCCATGAGTTGATTGTGATGCCCGTCATATTATCTCTGACATACACGCCTGATGGCATATTCGGGTGATCTACTCTGGATCCACCATGATGCTAAAAACCTCAAGGCGAAGCCCCATCGCCATAAGGTTTTCTCACACATCCAATCAGGGTACCACAAATGGCGTCGGGTCGAGGTCGCCCGTTCGATGAGGAAGGCGGTGGTGATGCCCCGATCTCAGACAGCAGCAGATCGACGGAGGCGAGATGCCCAAGACGCAAAATTGGAGGTGGGCGACGGTGACAAGGCGGGCGACGATTACATGCGGCCGCACATCAAGCTAGAACAAGTCCAAGACCGACCAGTTCAGAGTATCGTCGCATTCCGAGGAAACTCCGATCCATTCAATTCCACGCCCGTCCCCATCACCTCACGTATCAATCAGATCATGGACTTTGAGCGACGATGTGTCTTTCCCGTCATCCAAGGTCCCGGCCCTCGTGCCCAGGCACAGGCCAAGGGCAACATCCTTCCATCATGGTCGACGTTCGCGTCGGACTCGCTGTGCGATAATATCACCGCACTCGCCTTCCTATCGACGCCCTTGACCCTGATCTCCCAATCTTCACCCGACTCTTCTCTTCTCAGACTATCCCTCGTGCATCGGTACAAGGCCCTGAATGCCCTGCAGACGTATGTGCGAGACCAGGGCCAGCCTCCTCTGCATGTCTTGATGCACTTTCTTGTCGCTGAGATCTGGGCAGAGAATTGCGATGATGCTCTAGCCCACCTCCGCATGGCTAAATACATTATGGAGTCCCAAATCCGAGAGAATCCAGCGAGTGTCGTCCCGTACAAATGGATTAGTGTGTTTCAGATGGACATACACCGCGCCGCTTTGTCATTGACGAAGACTCTGCTACCCATGGACCGCTGGGGGACGATACCCTTTGAAGTGCCTTTGCCTATTATGGACGTCTATACGGACATATGTCTGAAGGGGACGCTACGCGCTCTGTTTATGGAACTGCAGCAACTGGGTGCCCTTTATGACTTTTTCGTCCGCGATCCTTCCCACCGACCTACCTCCTGGAACCTCATGCGCATGCGGACACTGTTGCTGATTGGCCGGGCAATCAACCATGCTGTCGATGGTGGCGACGTCTCAGCAAGCCTCGCACTCGCCTACATCCTCAAACTAGTCAGTGGGCTGGAGAACATCCTGGTGGGGGCCACGGCAATATACAAAGCGGGGCCCAAGATGCTGGGCCGTGTACGATCAGCTCTCGGTGAGGAGACCTTGCACCCCCGCCTGAGGCTGTGGATTCTATACGTTGGCGCTCTGAGCGGGGACGACTGGTTTACTCGAGCATTTGACGAACAAACAGTCCTGATGGGCGTTGACACGTGGGAGACGTGCAAAGGGATCCTATCCAAGTTCTATCTCCCAAAGGACGAACCCCAGATCCACTTCCACGCCATGTTTGACTCGCGGCTGAGCAACAAGATTGTGGAACTGACCACTGCGTTCGACGACGTCAAATTGCACGCCGCCGTACAAGAATAAGCTATCGAGCATATTCCACGGGATGCTGGGCGTAAAGCCATTCGGCCATTCTCTCGGATCACAGTCACGGAAGAACGATTCACACGACCACTACACATTGAGAACCACGGAGATGCATTGGGAGGGCGTTCATCGCATTTTGATCATAGGAATGGTTTCAAGGGCAGAGGTTTTTGACATTGGCAGAAATGACGGCGCAATGTAAATCAAAAGACACCGGCACCTCCCCAAAGAAAGAGTCTTGTCCGTACGATATAGATTGATTTATTTTCACATTTGACCTCACTCACCCATGCTGTCCCTGACCTTCGAGGTATAAAGTATTTTACGTTATTAGCTCTATCCCCAATCCTTGATGTTCCACCGCGCGACCGCGCCTCGGCGCCTCGCGAACGAGCTCATAACGCGGGATCTAACCCGAAAGCAGAACCACAATAGCCGCTCGGTATGCATGGGATGCAGATGCGCAAGCGACAATACATGCCTATCTAGGTACCTCGCGAGCTAGTTACCTAATTAGTAATTAGCAATTACCGAGTGGTTATATGCGATGTGACCAATACCCGGTACCGTGTGACGTGTACCGAGTGAGAGTATACCCTCGCATGTACTGTATGACTGAGACAACAAACAAGGCTAGCAGGCTAATTAATTAGTGGGTCGAAGCTGGAAGGGGTATGAGGGTACGAGGTAATTATGAGGTAATAATGGATGAGGGGGTTAGTCACTCATGTCACTTTACCGCCTAACTACCCGGTACCTCTCGCTACATGGGTCGTCACTCGAACACGCATGATACGTACCTGTACTTGTACTTGTATGTTCACAGTACCTACCTACTACCTACATATGTACCCTGAATGCGTACGTAGCTGCTAGTTTACCGAGGTGCCTAGGTAGGTGGTTACCGGCTGGAACAGAAGCACCAGAAGGTCAGCCTGGGGGTTTCGCAGATAGTAGCACTGTACCAGTACCGAGAAGATGAGAACGGTAGATCCATTCAATACCTGTCCATAGAAGAGCCGGACTTGACCAAGTAACTGAGGAACTAGCTAGTTACTGCCCTTGTTGATAACCGAGCACTGAGTGACTGAGTCAAGTCGAGAAACTCCATGTGTACGGATGGTCACAAGAGCTAGCTACTTGTACATGGGCAAATGGATTACGAACGAGGAGAACGGCCGAGCAGCTCCAGCCATTGTCAACATCGCCAGAGAACGCAAGAGAGCCAGTCAAGTCAATGAGTAAGTAATCCTCTTTTCAAGACAAGGAAGTTTTGGAGTGGGATATTCTCCTGCCGAACAAGTATTCTCTTATCGGATACATGTCGCTCGGAGAGGAGGGGTGTGGTGTCGATCGAGTCGAGTGAGGTATATCGTTCGTTGTATAGTCAGAGACCCCTTCATTGGGTACAGAGGCTTTCGTTTTCGCGCAATTTTGCAATCATGTCGTTGAATGAGGCATCGTTCCTTTCCGTCAACTGTGCAATGCCACCGTTCTCGTCCTTGGATGGTCGTCTTGCTGGAGCATTGTCTACAGCACTTTTCTCCTTCCGATTTGCATCTCGCCTTCCAAGAGGTGGCCAAAAATGATTCGAAGCCACCCGCTCGCTCATCGTGTAGCTCGTAAATCAATACTCCACCCCATTCACATCATAGTGAACCGCACACAGCCGCATCCTCTTGAACAGGAATTTACGCTCCATCACCCCAGATACCCACGACACCCATGGCAAAGCCGATCCCGGCAATCCAACTTCGCACCTTCTGCACCTTGCGTTCCCGGACCATCTCCAGCTCGACCTTTTCGCCGTTCACCTGGTTGTCTTCACTACTATCTGATTCCACTTCGATATAACTGCTCTCGTCGCTCGCCGAGGGGCTGACAACTCTCGAGGCCTTCACATGTCCACTTGATCGCGAACTGATGCCCCATGACGGGAAGCGTGAGAGGCCATTGAACCAGTACTCGACACCTTGGCCTCCAATGAAGCTCACAAGGGCGGTCCAGAGGAGGTATGGGTGGCGACCTCGGGGACTTGCGAGGGTGTACGCGGTGATCAGAGATAGAGAGGAGATGGACGCCAAAGTGAGGATCCGCCGCGTCGACTGGGTCTGGATTGTGGCAAGTGTACGTGCTGCGAGCGACGCGGAGGGAAGGAGAGCAAGAGAGGGTAGAGTTATAGATTGGAGAGTGTAGGAGACGCCCTGTCATGAAGCTGTCAGTAATTGATGCGGACGCAGAAAAGGACAAAAGTCGGAGCACCGCACCGTCAAGAGACCAAGGGAGATGGTCCCCACGAACTTGGTGATGCTTATCGGGCAGGGCATCGCTGCGATTCTGTTCTTGGAGGGCGGTTGTGTTCAGGACCACGAAAGTCGAGCGGCACAGCTACTTGGAGTAGTCGAGGATCTCCGGCCGCCGGTGTGCTGATGGCGGGGTCAGACCACCTGTGAGCTGCCTTTTGAGCGGAGTGGACTAGGTGTTTGACAACTTATAACAAGTAGAGAAGGAGGGCGTAGCAGTCACAGCAGATGGGAATGGAAGGGCAACAAGGAATAATCTGGAATGATGGAAGCTGGCAGATCAACGATGTTGCCGCGAAGCTGTGAAGCTGCGGTGCCTGCGTCGGCCGCCAAGACCCAGGTAATTCGATAGCGAGCTCACCCCCTTTCGGGACTAGGGTGATGGCCGTGTGCTCGCCCCGGGCGTACCCCGGCTCGCGCAAGTCAGGGGTATACCGGGTGAGTGAGATGCGGTTTACGCACGGCAGGTCTGGAAACATGCCATGCCGTCTCCGCGGCGTCTTGCGCAGAAAACTCTACGCACGGCCGACCACAGGCATCCTCGAAAACATCTGCAGTATGCTTGGCCAAGCTGGCCGGCCTTTTTTGGGTTCTTGCTGGTGAAAATAGCCTCGATCTCCTCCAAGCTCCCGCCTCTGGTCTCCACAAATATGAGGTAGACGACGAGCACACCGAAGGCATCAAACACGATGTGGAAGACGTAAAATCTCCACGAGACACTGGCTATCACGATAAGGTGGGAGGGTGGGGGGGGGAAACGTATGTGTTGATAATGTGCACGATACTGCGGGCCAGGCTGTAGAAGGCTAGGCTCTTGGCACGAGTATTGTAGGCAAGGACTTCGGATGGATAGAGGGCTTGATTGGGCACCGGTTGAGACAACTATCAGTACACTGTCGTCGAAAGAGGTCCTCCGTATTGAACGTTACGTGCCCAGCAGACGGCGAAGGCCACCAAGAAGATGGTTCCGCTGACAGCCTTGCTGACGGCATGCTGCGCGATACAGGCAGTGATAATAGCCGTGGAGCACGTCATAAGGGTACCGCCAATCATGAGGAGAGTGCGGCGGTTGAAATGGTCAATTAGGTAGAGACTATTTAGCGAGGCGATCATCATGACAGGGGTCTGCAGCGCCTTCAGGAGAAGCTTCGTCTTGACGCTCGTGATGCCGACGGTGGCGACTAGGTAGCTTGCTCAGTTAGCCAGATACCCCATTGAATTTCATTGGCATTGTCTTACCCACCAACGGAAGATAGTAGCTGGTTGGAGGAAGTTCTCTCTCAGAAAACCAGGCTACGGCCACGACAGATAGGAGCGTGCACCAGGCGTGTTGAAGAGTTCCCCGAAATCCCACTATCGCTTGTCGGATCCAGTCTTGAACACAACGAGCAGTACTTCTTACATTTCTAGAGTCATAATGGCGGAATTCTCGTTGCCGTCGCCATGGTACTTGACCAGGATCTCCTTGGCTTTGTCGGCCGTGTCGCGCGCCATCCACCAAAGCGGCGTCTCGGGCATGTAGTAGACGCAGGCCAGGAGAACGAGACTTGGAATAGCCTGCATGGCGAGAGGGAGGCGCCAGGCCAGCACCGAGTCGGCCGGAAGGTAGCTGAGCTCGTACTCGAGCCAGGTCGTGGTGACGGTTCCGCAAAAGAACATGGCTTGATATAGGCCGGTCTGGAAGCCACGGTATGCGGGATACGCCATCTCCACGACGTAGGCTGGACCCGAGGCGTTGCAGATGACGGATCTGAGACCTAGAATGTAGCGGCCACCCATGAGATCAGGGCGAGACTGAGACGCAGCCTAGACGACGGCGCCGATGAAGCAGATGAGCGCCCCGAGGGCCATGCCGAAGCGGCAGCCGAACATGTCGGACAGCTAGCCGGCGAGGAGACAGGCGGTTAGCTGGCCTACGACATAGATAACGACCACAGCGCCGTTGTTTGCGGGCGTCAAATTAAAGAATTCGGCCAAGTTGGGTTCGGCTCAGAGGCCGCCTTTCATCCCGGTCAGCAGACTGACCACCACAAGACCACGAGAGAACGAGGGACGCACCAAAGGTGCGACTTGTGGCCATGGGGATGAGTATGGCGATGTAGCCTCCGGTAGCAAAAGTGAAGCCTCTGCCGCGAGAGCTGGACGTCGCCTTCCACACAACCCGCGAAAAGTCCTGCTTTATATCTCCAAATCCCTCGCCCCAGTCTCTCCTGAGCCGACCCGACAGTGTTATAGCCAGGGTATGCCACATTTTACGGCAATATGAAGATCATTTGATGGGATGTAGGGAAGAAAATTACACGCAAACGACGAGTAATAATAGGCGTATATCGTAATAGGGGGCGGGAGGGGACACAGGAGCTCATGACTAACCGTACCGAGTAGACAGGGTTAATCTTCACCCTAGGAGACTTACAGCCCGCTGTCTCCTCGAGGCTAATTATCGCATTGAGACAGCTGATTAGGGTGAACGACGATCTCCCACCTCCCGTCCAAGTCCCAGAAAAATCACCCTCCGAGCCTCATGAAACACCCAACATCATAGCCCTCGTACGCGGGAGGAGGGTGGCGCCTCCTCCATGTACATCTATTCGACGGAAGATGGACTTCGGCACTCCATCTTCCTGCGCGACCACAGTTTACGGCACCGAAGAGTAAAGCGTACACGGCGAAGAGGCGGAGTTGAAGGGAAAGAGTCAGTCCACTGTGCAGAGAGTATAATTTGAGGAAGTCATCATATCGAATTACACTATTGCTCCCAACACTACGTATAGTTCAGAACAGATCTTTCAGACACATCATAGACTGCCACTTGCACAGCCGGCTGACACCGCGGCATACTATCCATGCGAAGGATGTAGTGACGACACGTCCGGTTGCGGGTGGCGTCCCGGACTTCGAGAGCGAGTACTAACCGGGGACATATCAATGAGCACGCCTCTAACACTTCAAGTCCTTCCACTGCGGTCACATCGGCACTTTATGCAGCGCACCCCAAACAAGCGACTATTGCAGGGGGGGCCAACCGCACGGGCATCTCGGCGATAAAGATCCATCCATACAGAACAAAGGACTGGACGGGACCGTGGATCAATTCCAGGCGCCCACGCCCATGACACTACATTACACCGGCATAGACGAGTGAATACTGTCACACAGAAGCAGAGGCGGGCCGGGAAGGGCCTAACAAATACGGAGATACAGAACAGATATTAAACCTGTTAGGAGGAACCAATATCAAAGCAAACGCAGGAAGCCGTCGTGAGAGGATAGCTTGATTTTCTCAAAGCAAGATATAGGGGATACCTGTACATATAGTCGAACCGTGGTAAGGCTGCTATAGAGTGGCTGGGACAGTCTATGAAAAAAGAAGCAGAAGAAGCAGAAGAAGAAGAAATAGCTGATCAGCCGGCCTCCGTGCCATTCGTGTTGTTCTCCGTTCAAGTCAAGCCCGGACCTGATTCTTACGCACTTCCACTGAAAAGACCTCTACCACACCAAAGTGGCGATTCTTCAAAGGTGCAATGGCCGCTATCCAGACGTGCATGGAGGGAAATGCCTCGTTGAGCCTCTCGAGATTGTCTCAGTGGCTGTACCGAATTGACATATCGACAAAAGCAGCGATAGAGACATTGACCCTGTAGCCACCACGGATGCAAATTTTACCATTTGAGTCGCCTTTTTTTGTACCTGAAATCAAAGATATTAGGAGCATACTGAGATTGACGCATGCCCGAGAGCAGAGCATAGTCCGTACTAAGGAGAGCAAGAACCTGTCCAAACTAAATCTTTCATTAGAGAATCCTTGTAAGCTTGAAAGTCGTCCACGGCTTCTTGTTTAGGTGATAACGACTTGATTCCATCAAATTGAATCTTCTGAACAGCTTTATACGCGTAGCGTATGTTGTTCTCGGGGCAGGGCAGTAATCATCCATTAGCATGAGGGGAGTTTGGTCCGCTCATCACTACATGTGTCATCAGCCTTCGTCTTCAATGCAAAACAACGGAACGTAGCACAGACAGCAGAGGCTCACCAAAGTAATTTAGCCCGTCGGCGGCCGCCACTGTCAGGTATCCAGTAGGGTCATTAGCCCAGACGTCCCTGAGATCTTAGGCGTAGCTGACGACTGGGAATGTCGGATTGTAACTATTGTTGAAAGCAGTAGCGCAGATCAATGCATTTACTGTAATGATTGAACCATCCACAAACTCCAGGCCGTCAGAGTCACTCGTGTAATTTCTCAGTTCAAACAGTAACGTTGTTCGATGCCAATGCCTCCAGGTAGCCGTGTCCCTAAGAATACAAATGAGCAGGAGCAAACAGAGCTTAGGGGTGGCGCTCTTGCCGGGGTCAAGCGACGACAATCAAGTTCGAACTTAGGCACTGGGCAAAGGAAGTCAGAGGCTATGACCTGGGGCTAGCTAGGCACGGAACCCTTGTATTGCAAATCGAAAAACAAACTCATTATTGACACTCGACTTTCTTTCGATAAGTGAGGAACTCGTCCTTGTTCATGTCCCATTTTTGAGTTTCGAAAAGAACGCTGACCGGCCTTGAGGAGCGAAGTCAGCCGCGAACTCGGGTGTGATCCATGTCTTAGATCGATTAATGGCGTATAAATGTTTCACCACCATTAAACGCATTAGATTCCTAAAAGGCAAACTTATTTCTTCGCAAAGAAAATCCGTACCAGGATGTAGTTTGAGTACCATTTGAATAGCGGAGCTCCCCGATCCGATATTTGCTACCACCTTGTCTTGAAAGTCATAGGACGGGGCCCATGAAGCTGAATGAAGTAGCTTACGCTTGAAGTCGTGCAATCGAGGGACGTCTGGCCGCTTCCAGGCACTACCAGAGTCGTTGGTCACTTCATATGATTAAATGCACCATCACGAGCATACTCGAGAAAGCCCGCAGCATTGACGAAATTATTTCTGCTTCGTCAGTCAACGTTGTACCGTCTTGTTCTTTATTGATGGTGGGCGTCCATCTGCCTGATTCACCGTCCCATTGTGCTTTCGTCACATGCTGGTTGAGTCGTACAGATTCAGCAACTCCATACACTTCGGTCCTGCCCTCATAGTATTTGTAAAGTTCTTCAGCGCCGACGTAAGCCCGACTCCAGTGCGGATTACCCTCCCAGGAGTAAGTGTATGCGTGAGCAGGGACATCACAAGCGAGCGCACCTGTATGGAAGAAGTTTGTCAGTAACCTGTTCGGAGAAAGCGAGACTCGTAAAGCATGTACACTCACCCAGGATAACGATATTCCAGCCATGTTCCCGTCACGTCCGCATTCTTTTCTTAAATGACCATTTCAACATCCCCATCAGGAACGCTTTCTTTGTAGAGCTTTACCGCCGCTATACCTGTTAATCCGCAACCCACGACAACGATGTAAATTGGTCTTTCCTTCTCTATATAACTGTTCGTGTATTGAAACGGCGTAGGTGAAATATTGTGAATGAGATCGTCTGGAGATGGTCAACCAAAGTATATTCCAAAGTGTTGAGGCAAGAAAGGTGGCCCTAGCCAGGAGCAGCGATCGATTTGTCGCCCGCGTTCCACTTCCAGGCTGCGCAATCCCCAGGAATTGGCCGGGTTTATGCCAGGCTACCAATGCTCCGGTCTCTGACCCGTGGCGAGATACCCCAGTAATAATGGTCCGAATTTACACGTTAAAATTTCTCTACTTCGGTGGTAATTTTACCCTGCAACCATCCCGCGGTTCACTGGGGCTGGGATAACTAGACATATTGCATAATCGTCTACCAAGGAGTCTGAGAGCAGATCTGGATCACCCCACCGCGTCTACTCCCTCAACGGCCTATTGAGTGTTGACAGCGTCCCGCAAGCCAGTAGAACAAATCGTGCACGGTTCGCATGCCGTTTGACACTAATGGGGTTGTTACAGAATACAGGTGAGCCTGGTCACACAGCAAGGCTGAACGGGTCTAAGCTCGTAAGCAGAGCTGAGTACTCCGTAGGTGCCGTGCTCCGTACAGATCACGATATGGCCCACAGGCTGGAAATGGCCTTTGGTGGGGAGGTAGGGTTTGGACGAATGGGCTGTGTTACCGAAAACACATTCCGTGACTGGTGCGAATCGCACATTTACATACTAGTGCGATTCGCACGCATTAACCTTGCACTGCTATTATTACTACTTGACTATGGGTTCATCCTTACCTACATGTAGTTAGGTCAGGTCCAATCGCGGCCCGGGTAAATAGCTTCCCAGCATTTTGTTATCACTCCCAATCACAGGTACGGAGTAAACAGCATGTGGATATGTAGCACCACCGGGTCGCTGCAGGTTACGCCCGAGCCTCTCCCGAAATCTAAAATTTACATCCAGTTCGAGATTCAGCCAAGGGTTGTCGAAGAGATTTTTTGTTCTGAATAAAGATCAAGTGACTTAGATTCAAGGTGCGCCTATTCAAGGCTAAGGATTATCTGTGAGTGGAATAACTTGATTGATTAGGCAAGGAAATCTATCTAGCGCACCTGCGGATTTGTTGTGTGCCGCGGTGGAAATTATTCTGCTAACCTTCCGATCAGGGTTAGGGCAACATTATCTGGCCTCGTTGTCTTGAACAAGATAGGCATGTACCATCACATTCTTTGTCTCCAGCAACCACACTTTTCAACCTAGAACTCTTCTATACATGTTCATAACTCGACATGCCATTTCCAGTCTCCCCAGGCTTGAAAGTATCGAACAAGGACGTGGTGTCTTTTACCCTCGACAGGCCGACCTATGACAAGGATAAACCGGTACGCTGATGTCTTCCGTCAAGATCGTTCATTCAATGTAATTTTCAAAGCTGATCCCTTGCCATCTTGGTAAAGGTGCTTATCGACCCGGAAAACCCCTCGAACTACATCTCCCACCGAGATGCGACAGATCTGATCCTAAAACTTATCGCTGGTCTGAGAGCTGTTGGGGTGAGACCGGGAGACACTGTGTGCATCCACTCTTTCAACTCTCTCTATTATCCTATCATCTGCCTTGCAGTTATAGGCGTCGGTGCAGTCTTTGTTGGTACGAACCCTGGCTACTCAAGCTACGAACTACTCCATGCACTCAAGATTGCGAAGGTTCGGTTTGTGTTTGCGGAGCCAGCACTATCGATCAATTTTCACACCATCCTCCCAAAGATTCGCCTTTCCGTAGAGGATAATTTGTTCCTCTTGGATGGGAAATATACCTTGGGACCAGGCGATGCGTCCCAAAAAAGCAAAAGTGTCGCCAACGCACGTTCGTGGCAATCTTTGTTGGAACATGGGACGGCAGCTTGGATTCGGTTCGATGATGAAGAGCTATCATACAACACGACAGCGTGTTACTTTTACACGTCAGGAACAACTGGCCTTCCGAAATGCACTGCAACATCTCACCGAAACCTCGTGGCTCAGCATCAACTGTTTTACGAAATGAATCCCCGCTCTTATACGTTCCGTGCAGTACTGTGTATGCCTTTCTTCCATGTGGGAGCGTTGCCGGCGGTGTTGGTCTCTCAGTTCCGGGAGGGTAGGGAGGCATATATTATGCGACGGTTCGATCTAGAACCATTCTTATCGTACCATCCAAAGTACAACATCACTGAAGGTTTCGTCGTCCCGCCAATGATCCTGCAAATAATGAATAGCGGTTTCGCGGACCCAAATTCACCGAAATTCAAATACAGCTTGAGATCCGTCAAAAATATGTACTCTGGCGCGGCACCTTTATCGGCTGAGTTGCAGAAACAATTCCACGGCTGCTTGGCACGAGAGGCTTCAATGACTCAGTTATGGGGGATGACAGAGACATCGTCCGTTGCGACCATTGTTCCAAACCACCTGAACTATGGTGATTGTCCAAAAGCGTGGGAGCCGATATATGGCACCGTGGGAGTTCCGCTCCCTGGATTGGAGATGAAGCTTATCAACCCCGAGGGTCAGGATGTGACTGAGACTGGTCTAGGTGAACTCTGTGTCAAGGGACCGACCGTGGTGCGTGGCTACCACGATAATCTCGCTGCGACGAAGGAAAGTTGGGATGAAGAGGGGTTCTTCAAGACCGGTGACACCATTCTCGTTGACAAGAAGTCAGGCCTGTTCAGAGTTGTCGACCGAAGCAAAGACCTGATCAAGGTCCGGGGGTTTCAGGTTGCCCCAGCGGAGATAGAAGCTGTGATCCTCACCCATCCTCTCGTTGCCGATGTAGGGGTTATTGGACAACGTGAATCTGTGGAGGAGGAAAAGCCAAGAGCATATGTTGTCAGGCAACCGAACGTGGGCCCGACCGATTTGACCGAGGAAGACGTGCAGAAGTATGTAAGAGAAAGGTTGGCGCGCTATAAGTCACTGACTGGCGGAGTACGGTTCATTGATCAAGTGCCCCGAATGGCTAACGGAAAGATTCTCAAGCGCGTGTTGAGAGAAATGGCTGAATTGGAGCGGAAGCACTCGGCCATCAAACATGTCCTCTAAGAATTAATACGGTTCGGCTCATTTGTCAGGTCTATCAACGATTCTAGTCCGCGAAGATCAGGACGAGGCAATACATAGAGGGTCTAAAGGTTCTGCGGTTATTGACAAAGATCTGCTTCATATAGATATCTTCAATGCCATTCGAGATGTTGTCTGATCGTACCACCCCCCGACGTACTAAGCCTTGGTGTGCGATCCTGCTCGAACAAACAATACTCGTCCCAGTGCCTTTGGACTAAGGCCTTGAAACCAATTCTTGGGTTGCCATTAGACATGTCGTCATTCAATTGACCACGGACACAATCATTGTGCCAAGTAACCTCCATCGACAATGAACGGAGCGCCAGTGCACCAGCTTGCCCCATCACTTGCGAGAAACACGGCAACTTTGGCGATATCTTCGGCACGCCCAACAGTCCCCCAAGGATGCAAATCTGCCAGACTCCTCCGGGTTGCATCAGGACCACCAGCTATTTTAAGTGGTTCAAGTAGCGCCGTGTCGGTGAAGCCAGGATGCAAAGAATTGACATGAATGCGGTCCTTTGCGTATTCCAATGCCACGGCTTTAGTCATTTGTAGCACCGCACCCTTGGAAGCATCATAAGAGCTGGTGCCCGCATACCCGACCAGAGATACGATCGAGGCAATATTGACGATCCAACCGCGATCCATGCTGGGTTGATGTGGTTCTTGCTTTAACATTTGTTCGGTAGCATATTTCATACCTAACCAGACACCCTTTGCGTTGACCGCCATATCGGCATCCCAGACAGACTCGGGTGTCTCATGGATGCGCGGAAACACCGTCGGAGTTCCGGCCTCAGCTAAAATGCCTGCGTTATTAACCAAGACATCGAGTCTTCCGAATTGGCCAACGGTCTTATCCACTAGATTTTTCACGGAAGACGATTGCGTCATATCCGTTTGAACGAAAATCGCCCGAGACTGGCGGTCGCCTGCTGACGAACTCTTGTATTCGGAGTTGATATGGTCATGAGTTGGGACGCCGGGAGCTGTGCCATCTTCTGAATGTTTTGCTTTCGCGGTCTTAGGACTCAAGTCAGCGCACACAATGAATGCGCCCGCAGCGGCGTAGGCGATGGCAATCTCGCGACCAATACCACTAGAGGAACCAGTTACTATGGCAACTTTGTTCGCCAGTGCGCCCGAGGGCGCGATCGATGCTGATGCCATGCCGGAGTGTTCTTGGCTTATATTCGCGAGTCGTCGGGGCAGAGTCGAACTTCGAAGGAGAATGGAACACGATGGTAGTGTCACCGGGACGGTTGAGTTGTTGAAAGTAAACAGGCACGTCTATGTACTTGTAGACATGTAGGCAGGTAAAGTGCATTCTTTGTTCTGAAATATTGGAGTGTTGCTTCGACGACAACGCCAGGGAGGGACAAGGTCTGGGGCATGCCACATGCCCGTGTGCGGAATCAGTCTATTTCGTGAACGTGAGGATTGGTGGATCGCCGCCAAATTTGAACCTTTCGATCGCAGACATTATTACTGGTTCGTGGGATTTATGCCTCCCTCCAAGGAAATGTGCGATTCGCACCCGAGAATCGTTGTAACGAACCAATATTGCTTTGCCTGGGCACGGGGACATCCGCCCACTCCCCCATGGGGAGCAGTTGGGTGGCAGGTCCCTGGGCAGCCAGCTGTCGGCGAACCAAAATCTTGGCCTGGGAATTGAAAATCTCCCAGTAATTGTCATGGGCAAGCACACCATTTGCATGCAGGTCAACAGCATAGACAACATCTACAGTTGACGTTGGACGTTAACACACTGAAGTTCAGTGCTTGGGATTAAAAGATATCAATCTGACCCTAAGTCCGGAACCTCCTTGGCATGGCGAGAACTATCGCACCTGAGAATGCCATGTCTCTCTGGCAATGTCCCACAGGGACCAAGATGCACATTCTCAACCTAGGAAGTTTAGATGTTGACGAGGGATGGTAAGGACGGTGTACCTGGGCGACTTTGTCTGACATCGCTGGCTCTGACATTGCAAGGCTTCTTCTAGGTGCCAATGGAGGTTCTTCGAGCAATCCAAACCCCACGAATAAGCGTCGAAAGCTCATGTTGATTGCTGGATTGTTGGAACATCCCACTGAAGGTCTCATTCTTTTCGAGACGGGCAGTGCGGAGGACGTCGAGAAGGTGCGCGCCCTGCTTTCCAGGCCACAAAACAGCAGCTCCATTGACATTCGATGTGCCTGGAGTCATGCTGGGATCTTGCAAGAATTTGCTGCTAACATCTTCAAAATGGCGTAGGAGTGGGGAGCACAAGCAACCGACATGTTTCCACGGACGGATTACGATGTTTGTCACAAGCTACCAGAAGCCATAAAGTCCACAGGGAACGACATCAAGGACGTTCGGGCCGTCATTATCGGCCACTTGCACATGGACCACGCTGGGGGACTAGAGCATTTTTTTGATACAGACGTTCCTATCTATGTGCATGAAGTCGAATTTCAATATGCGTGCTGGGCGGTTGCTACGAAGCACGAAGGGGGCCTGTTTCTGTGAGTGATTGAGCTGCTTGCGAAAGTTCAATCCCCAGAACTTTGCATTCGATCGATTCCTTCAACTCTGAATCTGTCTTGCGCTGCCCTGGCTCAAGTCCAAGAAAAACCCCTTTTTCTATGTCTCAACGCATTCACTGATCACAGATTTTCTGCAACCAAGCCCTAGCTACCTGAGCCTTACTAGATTGAATTGGCAAACGTTGAACGAAGCACAGGTCAATCTGTTTCAGGGCATCACACTGCATCACGCTCCTGGCCATACACCTGGGCTATATGCTATGCAGGTCAACCTCGAGAACGACGGAACCTGGTTATGGACGACAGATCAGTATCACGTTCGTGAGAACTATGACCTTGAACACCCCCATGGGTGGTTGATTAGAGACTACAAAGCTTGGATCAATTCAAGCAGGCGGCTCAAGAGTATACAGAAACGGTTCCAAGCCAAAGTCATTTTTGGCCATGATTATGATGTCGCCGACGCCTTTATCAAAGCAAAGAAGTACTATGACTAGATAGTTATTCTAGGTTGCAACTAAAGTGTTATATACTAACACAAAGTAAATCGGTCTCTGCAAAGAGATGAGATGACCGGTCAACCAGGGGACATCTGCGATACGAGGTCGTGCACAAGGCTGCCTCTGGGAACGATACCAAACAGTAGCACCACCAAACAACCGAAGAAAAAAAAACACCCTTAGAACACAAGGAGGAGTGCGTGGGCGCAGGAGACAGTGCCATCCACTGCACCACGCAGCATAGAGAGTAGCACTCAAACGAGAACTTACGCTGAAAGACGTGTTCTGCTAACAACATACATACATAGAAGCTCACTAGTTCACTCCTTTTGGCTGCATAGCCCTGTTGTCAAGGGTTAACGGGCCTCGGTACATTTATCCGATCTCTCTGCCTCTCTTTTCCTGACTGTGATTCGCAATTTTTCGGGTCCTGAGCGAATCGCACAAACTCAAAACAAGCATCAAGTGCTGAGCGCCCACCAGCTGCGGGACCTCGGATGCTCTATCGGCAGTGCGAAGAAGGTAACTGTCCATCAGGTGTGTTGCTTTTTCGAGTGGCCGTCATCAATGAATAAAGAGATTCTGAAATTGCGGACAGTAAGTGGTAATTTGCTACGTTCGTAACCCGAAAAATCTCAATTTATATCGCGGCGCCGAAGGATTCACTTCCCATACTTGGGTACATCAAACCAGAAACAAAGCCTCCTGTGCAGTTTTGTCATTTCCCAAATTATGGCCATCAAAGTGGACTACGATGCGCTCATCGTGGGCGCAGGCTTTGGCGGCATCTATCAGTCCTATATGTTGAGCAATCTTGGCCTTACACTGAAAGTAATCGACGCAGCTGGTGATGTCGGGGGCACGTGGTACTGGAATCGGTACCCAGGTGCCATGAGCGACACTGAGAGTTACTTATACAGATATACATGGGACAAAGATGACTTGCTGAACTATCCCTGGACACACCACTACGTTAGGCAGCCAGAGATTCTGAAGTATCTCAACCACGTCACCGATCGACATGACCTACGAAAATTCATGCAATTCGAAACTTCCCTTACAAAAGCAGCTTGGGATGACACGAGCAAAACCTGGGTGTGTCACCTTCTCAAAAATGGGCAGACGGAAGCTTCCACCCTCAGAGTGCGATACCTGGTGACAGCGTTGGGGCTGCTATCCAAGCAAAATTTTCCTGCCATCGAAGGGTTGCAAACTTTCAAGGGGCAGCTTACCCATACCGGTTCTTGGAAGCCAGATGTTGAAACAGTTGGCAAGAATGTGGGAGTCATTGGTACAGGCTCGACCGGCGTTCAGGTGATCACCGATCTGGGCAGCAAGGCGAAGCGTCTTGTCTGCTTTCAACGCAATGCTCAGTACTCTGTACCCAGCGGGGACGGACCAGTACATCCTGGGTATCGAGAGCAAATCAATGCCAACTATGACACCATTATAGAGGACAACAAAAAGAGTATCTGTGGGTTCGGGCTGAAGGAGTCAACGAGGTCGTTCAATAGCTTCACTCCCGAAGAACGGGAGCAAATCTTCGAGGATCTCTGGAAGCAGGGCAATGGTTTCCGATTTATGTTTGGAGGGTTTAACGATCTTACCTTCAATCGGGAGGCAAATGAAGCCGCCTGCGACTTTATCAAACGCAAGATCCAGCAGATTGTCAAGGACCCGGTCAAAGCGCGGAAACTACTGCCGACAGAACTTTATGCCCGCAGACCGCTTTGTGATGGTGGTTACTATAAACAATTCAACAGGGACAACGTTGATGTTGTCGACCTGAGAGAGTCTCCGATCGTCAGGATAACAGCGAATGGAATTTTGACGGCCGATGGCGTCGAGCACGAACTGGATGTCATCATCTTCGCGACAGGGTTTGACGCGATCGAGGGAAACTACATGAGAATCGAGATCACTGGCAGCGATGGAACAACGTTACAGGAGCACTGGAAACCCGCAGGTCCTCGGTCTTACATGGGAACAACTGTGGCCGGATTCCCCAACTTTTTTGTCGTCACTGGACCTCAAGGTGCATTCTGCAACATTCCTTCACTCATTGAGAGTCAGGTTGAATACATCACCGAGTTGATTGCCGAGACAGAAAAGCGTCGACAAGAACACAAGACGGGTGTCAGTGTTGAAGCTGACCAATCTAGCGAGGATGCATGGGTTGCTCTTTGCGAGAATCTCTCGACGGGTTCGCTATTCAAGGAAGGTCAGTCATGGATTTTCGGAGCAAATGTTCCCGGAAAAACCGTCGCCACAAGATTCTACTTTGGCGGTCTAGGCATGTATCGACAGGAGCTACAGAAAGTGATTGACGAGGGCTTTCGAGGCTATGTTTTCAGGTATTGATCTGGGCGGCGACCGCAGGAAGAAGCCGACTATAACGGAAGTACCTAGTATTATAATTCCGTGGAACTGCCGAATGAGATGCGGAGATTTGTGCCTCGGGTCATAAATTTAAGCCGGGTATTGAAGGGGGGTTTGTGGCGGGGGGAAGCGAAGCCCAGGATATAAGTCGTACAAATGATTCGTACCCCAGCACTACACTTTCATAAGGCTACGTGCCTACCGTTTCGAATTAACCCAGTCAACATCCTAATCGACACAACATGTCAAGTTGGACTTGTGGACGCACGCTTTCCAAAGAACAGCGAGTGCGGAAGAGAGAAAAAGACAGATTGACGAAACGTCAGCGAAAACAGGCTGAACAGCTTTCGTCGTTGATGATCCAGACGGAACTCTCCAGCCTGCGAAGCTCACTAGACCACGCTGTACGGGTTATCATGCGCAGAGGATCGTCTGCCGAAGTACCCGAGGACTTTGGCGCCCCGGTCCCAACAGTACCACCGTCATCACAACATTCATGGCAGTTATTCCGTAATACAGATATATCCCACCCCCAGCCGAACTCGATCTCCAAGCCTGCTGAAACTATGATCACCCCGGACGCAATTTTACAAGTCGACGAGCTCTCTTCTCAAAATGGGGGCCACACTTCGCCGCATGGAGGAGGCAATGCAAGGCCTGCGGGGTGTGACAATTTGTTTTTTGAATTTCTCAATGAAACTAGTACCTCATTGCTTCAGCAGTTCAACGAGGCTTTTGGGCGTGTCTACAGCATCAGCAGAGATGAGGTGTGTGTAGATGAGCAACTGAACCAGGACGCCCTGATATCCGGCGTCCTGAAAGGATGGGACAGCTTACAATCCCGAAGCCGGCGGTGCCCGGTTTGGGACGTCCTTCGCACCATAGACGAGGGCCTTTTTCTCCTCAGTGACATTTTGAACAGATTGTGCATGTTACGCGCGGTACATTTCATGATCCTGGTGCGTCCTTCCAGCGTATGATACATCTTTGCCGTGAACTACTGACATTACTCTTCAGGTTTTTGTTGGAGCTTGGACTTTCAATGACGTTCCACCATGGTATCGACCTCGGTAAGTGTTTTTCACGACCAGAGTCTGATGTTCCCACGGCACTAACTGTATAAACCGACCATCCCAGCTTCGAGTCTCACACGATCTTGTGGTCGACTATTTTGCATGGTAAGTCATTCTGACAAAACGGCAATCCATCAGGCTTTCTCGATGATCAAGAGTCAGCCGCTCGAGAGATCGGACCCCGTTCCTTGTTCAAATTTGGAAACCCTCTCACTAATACTAACAAGGCCCGGGATTCGAGAACGACTGACCTTCTCCGGTAGCGAAATTCTCAACAACAAATTCTGGAGATATTTTGCGCTTTCTTTCCGGCTCCACTGGCCTGATGATAGACATGAGGCTTATTGCCTTGGAGATGATGGCCAATATCGCTTCTCGGGTTTATTCGAGAAGAAGTTCCGGGACATTGGTTCATGGACAATGAATCTGGAATTCTTCGATGCATTCCCTGAAATGTACGACGACATTATACCCTCTACCGCAGTTCCACTAGGTATTAGCCCAACCATCAATTACAGTGAGCTCTGCACGATGCTAGGCCATGACAGCGCAAACCATAACAACGAAAAGGAGAAGATGAAGGAAGTCGCATTCTATACCCAGGAGGAGCTCCACTAACGCGTCCACCAATGACCTCTACACTTTGAAGCACGGAGAACAGCCAGTTAGTATACACCTAACGGAAGGGTTCTTGAGCCGGAGAACTTTCAAGATCCAAGTTGTCCGGAGTCAGACTATCGGGGCTGCAGCAACATAACTATGCCATATGAGCACTCCGAAGGAGGAGGGAGAGGTCTTTTCGAGCATCATGCATCTGTGGTAACAATGTCTGAAATTATACTGCTTCACCATCTAACTGTCGCCTGTGCTGACCCTTTCAGGCACCTCATTCTTGTCATGTACCGCAATAACGTGTCGTCATGATGAAGAATACGCCATCGTAACCGTGGTGATGTTCTCGCCGCAGTCTGGCCGAGGCCTTGAGTCGTTTTAGCATGTCAAGCCAGGCTCTGCATTCTAAGACGGCCCAGAAGGAACACTCCGCATGTCCAAAGACTTTGGGCTTCACTGGCCTCACTCATGCGTGGGTGGGCTGCGATTGCAAGGACAGGGAATGGGGTAATGGTGATTGACATTAATGGTAAACAATTGCTTCGAGACAAAAAGCCAATGTGGCCCTTTCCCGTTGCCGGTTCATCCTTAGGCTGCTCTCTTCCGTGTGATATGAGACTCATCTGTAGGATGCAGCTCTGGGACAGCGAGCTCGTCACCGAGGATGCCGCCAATCTCTTCCAAAGTTTTACCCTTGGTTTCTGGTCCGTAAAGCCAAACAAGCAAGGCGCCGACTGGGCCAGCAAGAATAAATACGAGGAAGTATTTCCATCCAATGTCCCCAAAGGCATATAAAGCACCGCTGTTACTGAACGTTGGCCAGTTCAATCGAAGTCCTGGGAGACGAAAGTCCACTTATGTGATCAGAGTACATACGCTCAAGTACAAGCATCCGATAGAGAGTGTTACGCCCTTGGCACGCAAGTGAGAGGGCAAAATATCCGAGACATACACGTACGACGTGCAGTCCCAGGTCAGTGCGTACACGGCACAATACATGAAAAAGGCCCAGATTCCAGCAATGTTGGCAGACCGGTTGGTGGTGCCCCCTTACCAGGCGACAATGGCTGTCTGGGCGCGTGACAAAGCTAAAGGCGGAATTCTCCAAGTGCTTCTGCATTTTCGTCTCCGGTTTACTTCACATAGTACGAGAGACCACCACCAGAGAGCTCCCGATGAGTCCTACCGTTCCCAAGATACTGGAATCGGTTTTTCGTTGTGTACTCAAATTCCCAATCCTCCCATCGCGGCTCGTCCATCAACTCTAGGAAGTGGATCGAAGATCCACACCATGGGCCGAATACTTTACCGTCAACTTTTCCATTCTTATACCTATGTGACAGGTAATCAGCACGTGCTTTGTCAGAGTTCCAGGACTCCATACCATGATCGACAGCCAGATGTCCAGACAAGGTCGTTCATCAAAGCGTCCTTGTGCTCCTGAAATTCATCGACCGCTTCAGATTTGGGGTGAAGTGATTTGACGCCAGAGCATTGGATCTTGTCAACTGCCCGGAATGCATATTCGAGGCATTTCTCGAGACAGGGGATCAGAGTTCCATTTGCCAGCGGGAAATTTGGTCCGCCAATGACTGCAATTGATGCTTGTGAGTCAAGTCCATAATTGAGAAGCTGGCACTGCACGCGGGTAGTACTCACTGAAGTAGTTGGGGAATCCACTAGCTGCCACAGACAGATAAGATCTTGGCTCATCCTTCCAAATTTCTCGTAGATCCTTGCCGCCGAAACCATACACCGGGAACGCTGGCTTGTACGAGGTGTCGAATCCCGTTGCACAAACTATGGCATCGACCTCATACCCTTTGCCGCTTTGAGTTTCGATGCCGGTTTGATCAATTTTCAGAATGGGTTGTGTCTCAACATCGACGTTCTTCTCCACGAGAGACTCGAGATACCGATATCCAGGAGTCAATCTGGAAGAAGCACCGCGTCAGTATCGAGCAGAGGCGAAGCTTTCACCGCCAGGAACTAGCCTACCTTCGGCAACCAACCGCAAATTTGGGAATGATCGTGCTTGCCAGCTCAGGTTTTGCGCTTAGGCGCTTGGCCATGGCTTCGCTCATGGTCTTGAATGCTGCCTTTTGAATAACCGAGTCTTTATATTGAACGTCAAAGAACGTATTCATTGCGCCTTCAATTCTTTTCCGGTATGCTCGATATAAATCCGGGTTGTTGGTCCATTTTTCTTGTTGTTCGGCGCAAAATGCAGTTTCGCGTCCTTCTGGGGCGAAGTCGGCAGCAAATTCTGGTGAGATCCACGTCGCAGATCGATTGAAGGACACCATGTGTTTGACGACTACAGTAGGCACTCTCAGTAACATCCCGTGCTCCCTCTTGTAAGGCCAGACAAACTCACCGCCTTGTAGTTCAGGTACAATCTGAATGGCCGACGAACCGGAGCCGATGACTGCCACCGTTTTACCGGTAAAGTTATAGGTATCGTCCCATCTCGCAGAATGTGCCAGGTGCCCTTTGAATTCACCGATGCCCTGAATCTCAGGCCATTTCCACTTACTGCATGCCGAATGTGTGAGCGTGATCTATCGAAAGCGATTTGGAGGATTCGGAGACGACTCACTTGAGAAATCCTGCTGCGTTGATGAGAACTTCCGCTTGAGTGTCAAATGACTTCTTGTTGTTCAGGTCTCGAACACGAAGGTCCCATTGGCCGGTCTCTGTGTTCCACTCTGCGCTCTCAACCTCGTGCTCGAGATGGACGTAGTCATATACACCATAGGCCACAGCACGACTCTTGAAGTAATCGAACAGCTCCACGCTTCCTACGTAGGCGTGGCTCCAGTTGGGATTTCCTTCCCACGAGTAAGAGTAGGCGTGAGCTGGAACGTCGCATGCGCAGCTGAAAGAGATCAGCATCGACAGGTAACATGGCAAACACTTCGATTAAGACTTCCGACGACGGATCTGTCCAATAGCAAATCCTACTTACCCCGGATACCGATTTTCCAACCATGTCCCTCCGACTTCGGCATTTCTCTCATAAATGACCAATTCGACAGGCTTGTCCTTGAATCGATCCTTGAACATTTTTACCGCAGCGATGCCAGAGACGCCAGCACCAATGACAACAATACGGATCGAGCGTGGCTTGCCCATATAGGTGTTGGGATAGGCATATTGTACTGCGTTCTCGGTTGGAAATGCTCCGGATTCGTTGACGAGGCTGTCGTTGCCTTGCCTCTGATTCGAAGCCTGAATAAAGCCCATCTTTGCCGTAGCTGCGGTCCAGCCAATTCAATAATCTCGGCCGACTGGGTAAAGGAAATATAAATTGCAGGACGTATTTGGGAATAGTTTTCGCGAGAATAGTCCTACATAGAAGTCTTCAGACCGTGACGAATACGACTCCCTTGGTTTTGTAGTTTTGAACCCCCCTTCTGGTCAGCCTGCGGAGACAGCGACGAATTCTCGTTGAACAGAAGCGACAACGCGCTCTCCAGATTTAGGAAAGGCAGTGTCACAAGGGTCAGGTCATGATTGCGCTTAATGGGAACTCAGCAACGAGGCTTTTCGCTCGCCTGCACCTCAAACGAATCCGTGCGATTCGCACTCTATGTATTCTTGAGTGATTTTCCCTCGAGTCGACGCGAGATTCCCCTGTTTCCATACGACTCGCAGTCTTTGTGGGGTCGGTGGTGGACGGGGATTGGGGCGTACTATGGCTTTCTTCACCTCAAAGACGGTCGACAGATCCTCGTCAAGAATGTGCTCAGATTACGGCCAGAGAGTGTCCTGATGGCTTCATGGCGGTCGTGATAGTTAACAGTCTGCATCATAACATTGAACAAAAGCCAGTATATCGTGTTTGTTTTCTTGAGTGTTCTGCTATTGTTGAAACACCCCTTGGTTGCGAATGGCCGGCAAGATCCAAAATTATCAGACTATGAGTTTCTACTAGAGAGTCTGCCGGTCCATTGCAAACCAGACCTAGGAAATGCTTGTCGTAAAAAGAAAGCGCAAGTCTTGAGTGATCTTTTTGGGTGATCGCGAGTGTGCCCGCACCACTTAGCGTCCGTTACAACTTAGAGACATCATTCAATACCAAATTCGCATCAGCACTGTCCCAGTAGAACGCGTTGCCCACTTTCACAACAGGCATCTTTGGATAAGGGTTCCATTCGGACTGAACTGGAAAGGCAACGGAACCTCTGCCAACCCAGAGGTCGCCTCCTGAGATATCCATGTGAGTGGCTGTCCGCTCCTTCACGTCTGGCGGCGCTCCCTGTTTCACTGAAGGGATGGCACGTAAGGCGATGGCTGGTTTGCTGGCATCTGTATTTGGTGGCGACGTGTGCCGCGCTTCCGGGGTGAATCCCATCGGTACCACATGCTGCTGCGAGAGTCGGTTTTCACTTCCAGGGTGACCTCGCCATGGGCTTTGGGAAATCCCCATTGTTCCCGACCACCATAGATCGCAGACTCGTTGTCCAAGACAAGCGAGATGACGTAGTCGTACGTTTGACCTTTCCACTTCGCTCAATCCAATGGACGTATTCAGTGTATGCCCCGACCGTGCTCATGTGATAGTTGAAGACGGAAGACCGACATGGTGGTTCATTTTCAATATCGAAAACGTTTGGGATGACTGCCGTCGCTACTTCTGCCGTTGTAGAGTATTCTACCGCAAGCAGAAGAGCTTGAACTATAATGTGTCGATCGGATATGGTGGTGCATGTTGGGGGATCGAAAAGCTGTTCACAGCAAGTTCTCCGGCGGGCATGGTGAATGGTGACGCAAAAAATTACCTTGACTGTGCTTGATTGAGGTCTGTCCAAGTTCTGCACAGAGTGGAAGACAATGTCGCAGCCGCGGTGAAGCTTTTTATCATCTCTCACCTTCGTAGAGACACCCAGGACCAGGGTCTGCCCGTCCTTTGAGATGAGGGCTCAACGACTCCATGGAGACCATGCGGAATGGCAGGCCCAGCATTGGCCAATGCCGTTTGACACGTCCACTGACATTTTCACCATGCATGGCGGCGGCGCTGGCGTGCGACCCGCTCGAGAGAGGAAAGATTCGCGGGCGATACTTTGCGTAGCCCACGGTTAAGCGAATGTGCGAATCGCACAGTGGGACTGCGTCGGCACCGACCATCTTTTAAGACTAGTCTGACCGTGGCGATGGCAGGACCACACTTCCTGAGCCGTCCTAGACAAGGACAAGACCCAGACTCTTTCTGAGGCCGGCTCACGATTCTCATAGCTCTCGCCCGTTGCCGGGTTGAGTACGTAGTATATATCATAGTACTGTAAGGAATAAATAGCCTAGTCCACGTACCCTGTTATTAATCGTAGATGCTAGAAGAGCCACGACTAGACCAGCGACAGCGTTTCACCCCAGCAGGAACCTTGGAAGCCTTACCTCCCGCTTCTGCTTCTGGCGAAACTAGGAGTTTCAGATCATTGCCCAAGCCCCGTCATGCGCCGGGTTCGTTCCACAATGCGGGGTTCGTTCTGGAGGCGGGGTCCCAGTACAGCCGCGACGGTCAAAAGGCTTTCTAGATTTCGCCATGAAGGAAAAAGGGTGACTTTATTGCCAGTCTGCCAGTCCAGTAGTCTTTGGTGCCCCCATCTCAAATCGACGAAGCTGGGGGGAGGCTTTCGACCTTCAACTCGACTCCTCTTCCATCTTCATCTTAGCAGATCCCCTCCAGCATTCCTCTATACACGCATTCCAACCCAGAATTTTCGCAATGTCAAACTGGTCCTGTGGTCGGAGTCTGACGCAGTCACAACGTGAACGCAAGAGAGAGCGGGACCGGGTCACGAAACGCCGCAAGAAGGAAGCGGTCGACTTTTCCGCAAAGATGCTCCATGCAGAGTTGGCCCACCTGAGAAGCTCTCTCAAGAGCGTCATGGGTGCGATGGGTTGCACCGACCCTTCGACCGTGGTAGCCTGCGACAATGCCAGAATTCACGAGACAATGTCCCCGTCTCAGCAGTCACTGAATCCCTGGACTGGTCAAGATGTGGGTGAACCGTTGCGGGACGATCTACTTGCACCGTCTGATACCTCTTCGTGGTTAATTGCGGATACTGTTCTTCCAGCGCAGCCGCTTCCAGAGCAAGGCAGTCTTTTCGGTAAAACGTCATGCGCGGTGGCGCCGTCCCTACATTTACCGGCTCATCCTTCACCAGACCGAGTACGCCTGACGCCGGGCGAGCACATCAAGTACGAGTTCGGCAACGAAACGAGTACCTTTCTTTTGGGACGATTCAATACCGCCTTTGAAGGCATTTACAATATCGATCGTGGCCTGGTTTGTCTGGACGACAGACTCAATCAGAACGCCCTGATCCGAGGGGTCCTTCGAGGTTGGGATAGTCTACAGCCTCTAGCGCGTCGCTGTCCTCTGTGGGACGTTCTTCGCAACATTGACGAAGGTCTTTTTCTCCTCAGCGAAGTCACAACGAGACTCTCCATGCTTCGTGCTGTCCATTTTATGTTACTGGTACGGATTGTCGAAGATCGCAAACCTAAGACCTCCACCCTAACTCTCCTGCAGTTTTTCATCGGTCTGTGGACCTGTAATGATCTTCCTCCCTGGTACCGGCCAAGGTGAGTTTATGGAAACATCATGTTGAGATTTTGTTCGGAGTTGATCCTAGAACAGACCATCTCAGCTACAATTTCTACATTCGACTGTAGTAGACTATTTTGCGTGGTAAGATCGGGCCACCGCCCCTGTTGAAGCCATGTCGTTCGTATATCAAAGCCGTTTCTCTCAAATGGCCGAAGTCGCGGAGATGGACTTTCCATGTCCGATTGTTGCGGAAGCCAAATACAACCGATAGACTGACTTAAATCGAAGAGCTGACACAATGCAGGCCAGGACTTCGAGAACGTTTCACCTTTGCCGACCCACAGCTATTGAACAATAAATTTTGGAAGCTTTTTGCCCTATCGTTCCGGCTTCACTGGCCATATGAGTTGGGCGACATCTTTCGCCTAGACGAAACCGGTCTTTACCAATTTTCGGGTCTGTACGAAAAGACGTTTCGAGACATCAACACATGGACCATGGACTGCGAATTCTTCCAAGCATTTCCCGAAACGTACGACGACATCATGCCGTACGGGGGCATCCCACCAAGCATCGACACCATCCTCAAAGACCACAAGTTTAGGGCGATGCTCCAGTCTACGCTCCAACGTCTGCATTATGAGGAGCATGCCAAAAAGGACGGCGGCCATCTCCCGCGGTATCTTCCACCTGCTGAATTCAACAGCACAGCAAGTGCACAGATCACTCAGGATGTCTAAAACCCCGGGGGGGGGAACAATATTCATATTTGTTTCCCTCCACGGGAGGGTTTTTTGACCAATCCGGTGTATACCGGCGGACGCTCGACTGTGGGCTACCCTGGCCCCTCGTGTATAAACGCCCCTGTACTTTGCCTTGCGCAAATCTTCCGGGTCCTTCTGCCGCTCATGGTGGGGGGGTTGGAACTTCTGTCACAATCGGCTCGATGTTACCATCAGAGATTAATTTCACAGCCGCCTCAATTTCATCCGGATTGTTTCCCAGCGATCCCCTTAGCTCGAACACCCCGAGTCACCAAGTCGGATGAATTGAAGGACACTTCGAGGATCACACAAGTTTTCGAACCGATGGGTGTTTGGATTTGCGAAGATGGATTTTCTGTCTCTTCTTCATCGGCTAACAACCCAGTCTCACACCGCATAATCACCGGGTGAAAGCTCTGGGTCCCCCCCGGGGGGGGGGGGGGGGGATGACAGAATTCCGTCCCCTTCTTCGAACAGTATATTCCCGTGCCGTATCTCGGTTCCACTGACCGCTTTCATCATCTTTTCACGTCTCGTGAGACATGAACGCCACTTCGTTCGTGTTCTCAAAGTTCATAAACCCCGACGGACTCATAAAGGTGTTGCTATCAAAGTCCCATTCGCCACCAGGCCTATAGACGATGCTGAGTGTAAGTCACCTGCATGGAATTCACGAAGTCTAGGCGCTATGGAAGAAGGGAAGACGTACTCAAAGATCGTGTCCGGAAATAGACATCTATCTGCCGAGAGGAACAGTTCACCGCCCAGCAGCGCACTCAGGTCTGGCTCTGAAAGATCCATTGACGAGGAAGTCTGGCCGTGGCTCGCCGGATTGCCCACGGCTGTCACGGGCTGGGCTGGTGTCGGTGTCAGCGTCGAGATGCAGTGGTTAGACCCTGGCGATGTGATACTAGAAGGTCGCGGGACGGGTGGTTGTCTGTCGAATTTGGATTTGATCTTCCGCTTGGCCTCGGAGAAGATATTGTAAGTCATGTCGGCCGCCCAGAAGGTCTTGCCCAGTTCCGCAAGCACGGCCATACACATGTCTAATTGGTAGATGCTGAATTTTTGGCGCAGCCCGTCTGAGAAAACCGAGCCATAGAGGTGGATTTGCATGACGGGGATAATCGCGGTGATTCTAGAGTCGGTAGCCAAAAAGTCAGATGGTTCTGCTGCATACGCAGAGACTCTGGCGTTGAAGAAGTAAAGACACGAGAGACATGTCCAAGACTTACATGATTGATTGACAGCGATCGATGAGGCTTGCTTGCCCCAAAGTTACAAGGACTGTGCTGGCTGCAGAGGCAGAAGCGTACACCTTTTCCATGATGGTAGGCCGCCACAACTCGTACTGTTCGGGGCTGAGGTCTGACGGAGCCTTGTGTATGTACAGTCTGTACAGGGCAATGGAGATAAAGCTGGCACGAACAAATCAGCCTTTGCCCTCAACACTAACACATGAACGGCGGGTTTAATGAGAGGACGCCCTACTGTTCAATGAGTTCGAGTTGCTGTTGGACCAGTCTCAAGGGCTGGTGTATGCCTTGACTGGTGCCGGAAGCAGACGGCATTTGGGCGCAATTCAGCAACATGTCTTGATCACGGGCAATGTCAGCCGTCGAGGACTTTGCTCTGTTAGGACCGTAGTGTGTCCGGTGGATGTTGTACAGTGCCACTGTCGTGTTCAGCATCTTGAGCCAACACAGGGCGAGCGAGGGCACTTCTTGGGGCATGAGAGATTCTCGCCCGGGGGTCGTGTCATTTCCGTACAACAGCATCACGTCCTCGAGGGTCGGCATGGGAACGTTGCAGTTCTCCATCATGATCCGCATCGGGCGCCCCATACCGAAAGAGATCCAAGTCTCTCGGCACAAGCATGACCACCATATCGATCTCCATAGGGCGTGTTGGGCGTTGGGTAAGGTAGCCGTCTTCAAGGATGGGCGTTGGGTATCTTGATGCAGGCCAATGGTATGGCAAAGGCTGATGGCAATGCCTATCCAATGGTAGGTGCCAGTGCGGTCCTCGGAGTCGATGAACCAGTAGCTGAGTAGAAGCGCCGCTTGAATGACCACGATCTTGTCAGTTTCGTAGTCGGAATCATACAATAACTATACCAAGACGCCACGAAAGTTAGCGGGCTGAATAGCTACTATAGTAGTGACAGGGAAGAAGTAGAGAGCAATTGATATCGACAAACCTTTGCTCTCTGGTACAGATCTCTCTTCATTGCTTTCCGCGAAGCATATTTGGCTTCCTGGACCAGTTCAGGGCTTGCAAACTAGATGCACAACAACTCCAGTCAGTGCCATTCGTCGTGAACGTGTTATAAGACGCAAAGGGATTTCTTTCTCACATTTGCGGCGGCAAAGAACATGCTCCACAAGAGGAGCAGGTTCACGCACGGTGCGTCACCTTCGTGGTGATATTGAGTGAGCACCCGGTTGGCATCCACAATCGGCAGCAGTGGATGGACGTAGTGGAAGTAGTGTTTCAACAAACTTTCGCACACCTTGGGACTAGGTAATGAGAAGCAGCCCTTGACTCGTAAAAAGGTCAAGTCGTCTGAAGGAAGCGTGCGAGCCGCGGCGCGTGGCACCAGGTAGTGAGACTGGTGCCCAGAGTTGCAGACATCCATCACAAATGACAGAAGATGCGGTTCGCCTGTGTCGCATTATCTTAGCAGGCGGGCAGGTCACCAGGAGGCTAATCATACCAAGATAAAGTGGTACTGCGGCTTGTTCTTGTTCAATGGGTCGATCATTCATCGCATCCATGTAAGCCGCGACATTGTCACCCTCGTCGTCATCCTGCACTGCCGTTGACGATGTGCAGTTTTGTTGACTAGCAGCGTCTGATGGTTGATTATGATTTGTGGAGTGAGCAGCACCCGTACGTGTCGATGATGTGGGTGTCCGCTCGCTGTGAACTGCTGACGAGGCCTTTTGTAAAGAATCAACCATTTCGGTTCCTTGACTAATGCTGGCCCGGGGCGAGCCAGTCGTGACTGGAGTAGCCGATCTTCGATCCGGTGTTTGTGGCAGTCTTTTTGGTCGTCTCCTTCAATGAATACATCTGCCTGTCAGTCTGGACCGAATTACGAGTTTAACAAAGTCATAGGACTGTCAATAGCTAGCGATTCCTGGGAGAGGACTCACCCTCGGACCTTTGGTGGAGGAACAATACATTTGCTCCCATCTTGACGACAATTCCAGCAAGGAGGGCCGTGTTGAACAATGTTACAGCGCACTTTGCGAGAATGGCAGGAAGAACAGGCAATCCTGGCCCGTTTGCGCGGTGTAGCGTCGCTTCGACCCTCGGTCAGAGGCGGTGGTCTGATATTGTTGGCAACCTCAGCGAGGTCCAGCAGAGGACTGTGATCGACGGCGGTCATGGTCATGCCGTGGGTGATTTATTCAAAAGTTGTGATGTCTCTAGTCTGCTATTGCGTTCGAAGAAATGTCGTGTTGCGACCACAAGTTCATGAGCATGTCGAGAGACGAAAGTTGTCTTCGTATTGCGGTTTGCGGGGAGGCGAGACGCAAGTTCGGTCCAAGCTTGGCGTGGAGAGTGGCGGAGTCAAATCAATGGGCCACTCGAGCCTTTCTCGTGGATGGGAGGAGACAAAGAGGATCAGGGACTACCTCGTACAGAGCACTGCATTATTTCTAGACATGTTTAAACTTGACAGGGTCGCCACATGTCTGGATGGATCCGGGGAGCTCTGCGTCCACCTCTGTTCTGGGCAGTTCTGGACACAAGACTCGTGAATAGAGGCTGGTTAGACCTGAGCTTGATTTCTATTCCCCATGTGATATGGCACCCCCAGTTGAATTAGAGATAGCTGGCTCGTTTGTGTGATATGGCCAGCCCTCGTGTGCCTGGACACTGAAGGACACGGACTAATAGGGTCCTGGTTTGCGATTGAATGTCAAGGATCCATGTACAAGTATATCCCAGATGGCATGACTCGACGTTCAGAGATACGAGCTCAATCGCCTGACTTCTCAAGCAGGACCCTAGTGCTTCGCGAGCCTGTTGCCTCAAGCTCTCAACCCTACAATTAACCAATTAACAAGTAATTCGCATTGCGGCTCCCGGCCAGATTGCCAGTCATGGGGTCATCTGGACCTTGTCGACGGATAAGTGTCGCCGAGCCGCCTCTGTACAACCGGAACAAGATTGCTAGGGGAATTAGCCGAAGCTCCACACAACTTGTAGGAAGAGAGGTGGCGATGTGAGGTCCAAAGGCCTGACTCGGGACTAGTGGGAACCTCCACTCCAAACCGACCCCATAATTCAACCGAGGTGGTTTCTGTCGGTTCAATAGATTGTGCTGTGGGTTGCTCCGAAAAGATTCGCCTTAGTACACAAGGAAAATGGTTCGGTAGAATGACGGGGCCCCAGACTTTGTGCATCACGTGGGGAAATGGGTGATGTTCATCGGGGCGTCTTTGGTAATGGGAGCAGAGTGCAAGGGACACTGGGATACATGTAAAACCAATACGGAAAGACATTGCTGCCCTGGATAGACTTGAGGAGGCAACATTGACCATCGAAAGAAGCTATACAGAGACAACGACCCATCACTCGCAAGACAATCGAAACCATGGCCGAGCTTGACAAGATACTCGAGCGTTGCACGGATCCCAAAACCGGCACTCTCCATGGCGTGGCCTTTGCGGCCGTCGATGCTCAAGGTAAGACGGGCTTTCTCTAGTCTGTGAGCGAGGGCGGCAAGAATGAGGATTGAGAGCGGAGAAGGACAGAGAGGGAGAGTGAGCGATGACTGACACTGTCAACCTTAGGCAACATCCTCTACAAAAAGGCCGCTGGGAGCATGTGCGTCGACAAGGATCCGACCAAACCCCTGACCACCAATGCCTTGACGTGGATGGCCTCGATGACCAAGATGCCCAGTTCCGTCGCCGCGATGCAGCTCGTGGAACGCGGCCTGGTCGGGTTGGACGACGATGTCCGGAAATGGCTGAAGCCGTTGGAGGACGTCAAAGTGTTGACCGGCTTTGAGGGTGAGTTGACTTCCTCCTCTTCCTACCTTCTCCACTCCGTGGTCCATGATTATGTCAAGCGGCTCGAGTCCAGGTTTATCAAAGTGTACACCAGAGGAAGTGCTGACTCGTCGATTGCAGATGGACATCCCGTATACGAAGAGGTCCAAGGCAAAATCACTCTCCGGTAAGTCTTATAAATCAGGTACAAGTCTGCCGTTCTGGTCATCTTGCTCTTGCCGGAGCCGCAGCTGTCGAATCTTTGCTTCGCTGACTGAGATCACTGGGCTCTGCTGGACAGACAACTCCTGTCTCACACCTCCGGTCTCGCATATGACTCGTTACAGCCTACGCTGGGTAAATGGAGCGACTACACACAGAGGAAAGAGACTTCTTTCACTGGGTCTATTGTAAGGATGGAATCGTGGCCAGCTCTAGCAAATCTGCGCGCTCTGATGCTAATGTCTGTTTATTTGCATAGGAAGGTTTGACACACCCGTTAGTCTTCCAGCCCGGCACATCCTGGGTGTATGGCTGTGGCCTGGACTGGGCTGGACAAGTGGTACGTTCATCAGTGCCTCCACCTCCTTCACCACCACGTCAGACAAACGAGGCAGAAAGACAGCCCCAACTCTTGCCTGATGCATGCGTGGCTGACAAAGCGGTTTACCTGTCTGCATTGTCCAGGTTGAAGCCGTAACCGGCCAGCGCTTCGACGAGTACATGCGCCAGAACATATGGTCCAAGCTGGGCGCGACATCGACGACCTTTCGGCCATGGGAGTTTCAGGAAGTGCTCTCCCTCCCACCCAAGCAGGAGATGGCCTACCGCGCCGACGGCCCGCACGGCAAAGGACCCCTCACGCCCGCGGTGTTCCCGCACGCGTACCCGCAGAAGGACGACTGCGGCGGCGTCGGTCTGTGGTCGACCGCGGACGACTACCTCAAGCTGCTGGGGGCGCTCGTCGCGGGCGGAGCGCCCATCTTCTCCCGCCCCGAGACGGTGGACGAGATGTTCCGGCCGCAGATCGGCGAGGCCAGCCGCGCCGCCATGAACGGCTACATCAACGGCTCGTTTCGCGATCTGTTTCAGATCCTCTGGCCCGAGGGCATGGAGGGCGATCACTGCCTCGCGGGGACGGTGCAGACTGAGGATTTGCCGGGGAGGAGAAGGAAGGGGACCGTCTGTTGGTCGGGCATGGGGAATACGCATTGGGTAAGTTCCCGAGTTCATTCTTCCATTTCGTGTTCTCATGGGTGAAAATACCTACGAGGAGGAATTTCACGAATCACACGCTAACAAAACTCTTCTCTATTTGTTGCGTCTAGTGGGTCGACCGAGCCAGCGGCATTGCAGGCCTCATGTTCACGCAACTGCTGCCAACGGGCGACATCAGCGTCCGGGAGACGGAGATTGAGCTAGAAAAGGCGCTTTACAAGGCCGTAGAGGCAAAGTCTTAGATGAGCGCAAACTGTCGTGATCGATATTGGTCGGCAGGCTCGCTGGCCGTGACGAGGATGGAGGATAGTTAGTCACCCCTTTCGTCAATGCCAGCCAGCTTTGTCGAACACACCATCACATCAATACCTGGTAGCGGTATCAAAAGACATGACTTGACTTGACTTGACTTGTATCTTTCATCCCGTCCAAATAACCCTCGATATTGCTGACCACCGGTCCAACAATCCCCAATCTATCGTAGGAGTTGCATACTGAGCTAATCCATTCCGTCTATCTTCCGGGAGATTCTATCCCATAACGACCATCAATCTAGATGTCTAATCTAATGTCACAGCGATACCTCGTTTACACGTCTAAAGCTTTGGCCGCGCACTCTCCCTGCCCGCCTGATCGCGCAACTCCCTGCGCAGAATCTTCCCCACAGCATTCTTCGGCAGTTCCTTGACAAACACCACGCCGCCGCGCAACTGCTTCGACGCGGACAGATGCTTGCTCACATACGCTTTGACCTGGTCGGCGCTGATCTCTCCCGGATCGGCGACGACGTATGCGCGAGGGAGGTCGGAGGTCGGATCACTCGGGTCGCGAATGCCGATCACGGCGGCCTCTTGGATGGAGGGGTGTGTGATGAGGAGAGCTTCGAGCTCGGCGGGGCTGACTTGTTGGCCTTTGTATTTGAGGATTTCCTGGGAGGGTTTCAAGATCAGCAACACAACAAGGTGTCTCGGGGAGATCCCAGGAAAGGAAAAAAGAAAGAAAGAGAAGGGTCAAGACGAAGGAAAGGTGAAAGAGAGAAATACCTTTTTCCTGTCGACAATGTAGAATAGGCCATCGCGCCAGACAGCAATGTCGCCGGTGCAGAACCAGTCCTTGTAAAAGGCTGCCGCCGTGGCCTTGGGGTCGTTGTAGTATCCGTTTGTCACCATCGGACCACGGACGAGGAGCTCGCCTGGCTGTCCCGGCTCGACGTCCCGATAGTTCTCGTCCACTAACCTACATGTACGAACACGTTAAGTTTTAGTCCATTTCCAAACGGTCACCCCTTGAGAGAGAGGGGGGCAGTCCTGGACCTACTCACCTGATCTCAACACCAGGGACCAGTGGACTGATACTCCCCGTCGCGTCCGATCTGCCAGGAGGCATGATCGTGACAGCTCCCGTCGTCTCGCTCAGACCCCATGTCTGGCCAATAACCGTCTCACCGGCCCCTAGCCTCGAACTGGCAGCTTTTTGCAGCTCGCCGTCCATCGGGGCAGCTCCCGTGACAGCGGAAACAACGGAGCGAAAGTGATCCCGAACGTCGGGCGACTTGGAGATGCGGAGATAGATCGAGGGGACGGTGTAGAAGAGGGTAATCTCGTGCTGCTTGACGAACTGTAGCATCTTGTGCCATTCGTATTTGCGCATCCAGAATACCTGCCCACCAGCGTAGAAGGGCGCGATGAGGTACGCGAACAGCCCGGCAATGTGGCTGATCGGTAAGTGAGCCAGTGCCAGGTATGGCGGCATCTGGATGCCTCTTTGTGCCGCCTGTTGTGCAAACTCCCGTGATGCGAGAGAGGTCAGGTGTGTCTCGGACACCAGGTTCTGGTGGGAGAGCTTCACGCCTTGTCTTCTGAGTTAGTATAACACGCGTAGGCATGAGCGATATTTTATTTCTCCAGAACATACCTTTGGGGAATCCCGTGGTCCCTGACGACCAAAGGATGACGATCAGACTCTCTTTCAGCCTCGAGACATCCGTGATCGTCTCCCAATGCAAGCGATTCTCGGTCAGGATACTCCCGGATCCGTTCAGGGGAGACACAGTCCACTCCGGCGTCGACTCGAAGACGAGGATTCTATCAGAAGACAGACCAAATTCCTTTGCTGCCCTCATCACCATGTCCCTGAACTCCGAGCTGCACATGATCAAGCGACTGTCGCATATGTTGAGATACCGTACCAACTCTGCCGTCGTCGACGATGGTGTGGCCGCCGAGTACACTCCGCCGGCGGCAATGACGCCAAACAGCACCGCAGCGACCATGGGTTGCCCGAAGCTCAGCACGGTGACCACGTCCCGATCCGGTCCATTACTTCCGATGCCATAGCGATGGCGCAGAGCATAAGCCAGGCGCTGCGTCAGGTTGCTCAAGTCCCTCTTGGTGATCAGACTGGCGCCCGTGCCTGCCACGCAGTGCAGCGGCGTCTGATCCTCTGCCCTGCAGTCCGGCGACTCTGTTCTATCTTGTCAGCTCGGATTTTCGGCACGAGGTGATGGATATGATCGTTTTCTGCATTCTTACCAAAAAGGAGAGTCAGGAGGTCGAGATGCGGGAAGTCGGGGGATGGAAAATCAGTATTGCGATAGATTTTGGACATTTTCTTTTCGATCTGGTGAGATCAAGGGATGTTGGATAATAGATCAAAGCGATATCTTGCCAGAAGAGCTATGATTCTGTGATTGTCTGTCACGCCTTGACTGGGTATACGACAAGATAATCGACTATACAATAGATGTCCCGATCATCATATCACGGGAGATACCAGGGTGACAGCAACAACAAAGTCAGCAAACGGTCTGGATGGATCTGGATCTGTCGTGTCCCGCCATCATCTGCCACTACTCGGAGATTGTCGATATCATCGGCACTACCGTACGCATATTCGCAGTAGTGGCATAGTAGAACTGGCTCTGTGGACAATGGCAAGGCTGCAATCCCATGGACCATTGCTCCCTCGGCCCATTACTGACGAGGCATGGCATGGCATGGCATGGCACTGTGCATGTACTTCGACTAGGTATGGGGAGACAATCAAAAAAGACCGAGAACGGGTCCTTCTGGCATGGTTAATTTTCTCCCATAAATCATCTCCTCGTATCACCTGAGAAGCCCCGAGCAAGCCTTTTCCCTTTTCTTCCTGTTTAACGTTTTGTGCATCTTCTGTGGCCGAGAGTCTGTCTGATAGACGTGGAGAAGGTGGAGACCCCCCTCCGTTCCAACCACTGCAGAGGACCGATACATAAATCAACCGACGAATAGCACCTCGGCCAGTTTCGCACCAGCTGGCCAGCCGGTAGATTGCGTGCTCCCCTTTTTTTTTTGCCTTTTTTTCCTCTCTTCGGCTCAGATGAGAGAGCGAGGGCGTGAGCGAGAAAGTCAGAGAGATGTACAGGTAGAAAGTCTTTTGGGCCACAATTTGTCTTGGTTTTTGTTCCTTGTGGTTTGCCGTTATTTGTGGGGAAGAAAAAAAGGCCCATGGCTATAAACGACACGCAACACACACACACACACACACACAACCGGGCTGGGGTTTCAATCCTGGAGTCGTGGCCTGAGTGTCTAAGCATTCGGCCAGAAAAATGGATTTGTAGTGTTTTTTCATTGTGAAGGTAACTGATTCATAAAGGGCATATAATATATGCTCTGTATGATTTTGTGTGTTTGTGATTGAAGTCTCTTATATTATACATCCTACCCATAACTGGGGCATCACTTTCCCTTCTCATCATCTTATCTTGCTTCGTCCTCTTTTTGTAAAAGTCTTCCCTCTTATACCTGAAAACCCCTGATAAAGGTTATCTGTACAAGCCATGGCAGTCAACGGCGTCCATCATGCGTCGCCGCTTCGCAATCCAGCCGACGTCACCGACCTGCCTAAGGAGACCATCGATGCCATCGAGTCCAAGTATGAGCGGGAGCGCGACATCCGCATCCGCGCCGAGGGCCAGAGCCAGTACATCGACATTGCAAAGTCGGGCAAGTTCTCGCATTTTTTCCACGACATCTGGGACGACGGGCACAGCGACAACGGCGAGCCCGTGCTCCAGGATGGCTCGTACTGCGAGTTCCTGGTCATTGGGGCCGGGTATGGTGCTTTAACATGCGTCGCGCGCCTCGAGGAGGCTGGCGTCCCTGCCGAACACATCCGGATGGTCGACGCCGCCGGCGGATTCGGCGGCAGCTGGTACTATAATCGGTACCCCGGCCTGATGTGCGACATTGAGAGTTATGTGTACATGCCCCTGCTGGAGGAGTCCGGGTACATGCCCAAGCACAAGTACTCGTACGGACCGGAGCTCAGGCAGTACGCCAACCTCCTCGCGGACAAGTACGGCATGACCGAGAGAACGATGTTCCGGACCTCGGTCAACGAGATGCACTGGGACGACGAGGCCAACGAGTGGCGCGTGCGTATGACCTGGTCACGCAAGGGCCACGAAGACCGTAGCTTCACCGTCTCAGCACACTTTGTCGTGCTGGGCGCCGGCACCACCAACTGGATCAAACTCCCCAAGATCAAGGGCCTCGAGACGTTCCAGGGCCACAGCTTCCACACCGCACGCTGGGACTACGCCTACACCGGCGGCTCTGAGCTCGACCAGAACCTTTCGAACCTCGCAGACAAGCGCGTGGGGATCGTGGGCACAGGGGCGACGGCGATCCAGGCCGTGCCCAAGCTGGCGCAATTCGCCAAAGAAGTAGTCGTCTTCCAACGCACGGCTTCGGCGGTGGACGCGCGGGGCCAGAAGGAGACGGATCCAGAGTGGTGGGATCGAGAAATCCGGCCTAAGAAGGGGTGGCAGAAAGCCCGCCGGCTGAACTTTGACAGCTTTATCGAGAACCTGGACCCGCCGCCGGAGAAGGACGACGTGGGCGACGCCTGGACCAAGTTCCCGGCGTACAGCGCGCTGATGGGCACTCCTCGCGCCATCACGCCGGAAATGGTGCCCGCCTATGTCAAGTGGCTGCACCAGCTGGACATTCCGCGACAGGAACGGATCCGTCGGCGCACAGAGGAGATTGTCAAGGATCCCGCGACGGCCGAGAGCCTCAAGGCGTGGTACCCGGGATGGTGCAAGCGGCCGTGCTTCCACGACGAGTATCTCCAGACCTTCAACCTGCCGCACGTCAAACTGGTCGACACCAAGGGCCGCGGGGTCGACTACATCACCGAGGACGCCGTGGTGGCCAACGGCGAGAAGTACCCGCTGGACCTGCTGATCTTCAGCACGGGCTATCTCACGCCCTTGATCGGGTCGCCCGACTACCGCATCCACGCGACCATCTCGGGTCGTAACGGCCAGCCCATGGCGGACAAGTGGACGAAAGGCGTGTCGACCCTGCACGGCATCACGACGCGCGGGTTCCCCAATCTCTTCATCCAGGGCCCCTCCCAGGCCGGGCTGACGGCCAACATTGTCTGGATCCTCGAGGAGCTGTCCTCGCACTTTGCCCACATTGTCAGCGCGCTGGGCGAGAAAGCCGCCGCCTCTGACACAAACGGCCACGCACAACACAAGCCAAGCAGACATGTATACCCCTTCACCTTTGAGCCCACGGCCGAGGCCGAGGCGGAATGGACTGACCGTGTCGTGAACCGCACGGGCGCCATCGCCGGCATGGGCGGCTGCACGCCCAGCTACTTCAACGCCGAGGGCGACATTGACCGCCTCGTCGGGCAAGGCGGCGAGACCGCACGGAAGGTCGCGGTGAATTCGCACTGGGGCGGTGGGTGGCAGGAGTATCTCGACATTCTGGACCGGTGGAGGAAGGCTGGGGACTTTGAAGGGTTGGATATTCGGATGGAAGCCTGAGGAATGGGTTAGAAGAAGATATGGAATAGATTGAGATGGCAACGATGAAATACAGTATATGAGTGAAATCAAGGGATAGATCTTGATATCCAAATGAAGGAAGACGTTGAATACTTGTGCGTTGTCCCCAGAAAACTGAGTTCCTTGCCTCTTGCGCAAAGCAGACGGAGAATCTCAACAATCGTGGAATTACAGTCGAGTCTCATGGAGCTCCGCCGCACATCTATGACGCCTTGAATATGGATGTGGAGGTCCGAGGGTCTGCTCGGTGAGTTGGAGGAGTGTGAAACTACTGTACCTCGTCCTGGTAAGATGAAATATCTATATCTATCAACATATGACAACCTGTGTGCAATGCTGTTTTGCTCCATCAACGGCGACGGCTCACGATGCCACCCAGACCTTCTTCGCGGCACGATAGCGATCAAAGGTCTGGATCCAACTGCCTGTGACCGTGCCTTCTTCTACAAAGCCCACCGACCTCGCTTTCCCAAGTGCCAGATGGTGATCAAAGTCAAAGTTCATCAGCCAGATGTCCAGGCCCGTCATCAGATCGACCTGCTGGATCTTATTCCCTAGTTGCTTTTCCATCTGCCTGAGCTCTTCCTTGTGCTGTTCGAGATATTGAGCCGGGCTGACATATGCCGGATCGCCCAGAGGCAGCGGCGGAACACCAATCAAGCCAAAATACTCGCATATCGCGGGCCATTTGGCTGACATGGGGTATCCGTCTGAAGTGTCGGCGATATTGTAGAGCTCCGAGGTCCCGGCCTTGTCGGGGTTCACTGACAGGTAAAGTGAAAATCTTGCGACAGTGTCTTGACCGCCATCGTTGGAGAGAGTGTGCCAGCCGTCAGGGTGTCCCGGGTATGGCACCTTTGCACCGCGTCCTTGGACGAATGCAACCAGAGACAGGTAGTTGATGAAGAATCCGGCGAGATTGTAAGGGTTACTGTGCGGTAAGAAACCAACCTGGGGAACGAGATGTTAAGTATCCTTGGATGGAGGGACCAGATAAATCGTACTTACCACAATATCGCACCTGACTTCTGCCCACTTCCATCTCTTCCCCTTCTGAAGGGCATCCAAACGGTCCCGGAGGGCAAAATAGAACAGCACATCCCTGTAAGGCTGCGGAATGTCGTTCATAGCCTCGTCAAAAGGGGCCTTAAACGGCCTTTTAGGCTGATGGATGCCGTAACCCTTATGTAACTTAGCATTCCATCCCTCGACATCTTCTTTACTTGAATTTACCTTGGTCCCTGTCGGCAGAACCACATAGGACAGATTTGGCGCGAGAGCTTCAGCTGCAACGAAACCGCGATCGAACATGGCGACATTGATGTCTTGCTCGGTTGGAAAATCCGGATGGAAAATGTACGCTGACCCGGGCTAGATGAGCACTACTATGATTCCTCGGGCTCTTAGAAGGTTCTTACCGAAATAGAAGATCTGCGTGACGGTGCCAATGTCCGGGACTCGTTCCTTCAGCTGCTGCTTGATGTCCTCTACAGTTCCCCGGGTCAAGTCGACACCCGACACCAGAGCTAGCTCGGGGTTGGTACCTCCAGGTTTCGGCCATTGGGCATCCTGTAAGTCTAATGGACGATTTGTCAGAGCCGTGACTTTGGAAAATGTCCCTTTCTGGGGGTAATTCTTCAAGATCTGGTCAACCACAGCCCACCCAAGGATACCCGAGGCGCCGAAGACCAGTGCGTGGGCCATGACAATGGTGGATGGACTATATTCAGATATACCAAGGGGGAAAAAAGGACGCCCGACAGCTTGAAATGAGAACGAAGAAGAAGAAGAAGAAGAAGAAGAAGAAGAAAAAGACGACGAAGACGAAGACGACGACAAAGAGGAGGAGATATCCCTAAAACAAGCGGTGTGTCACCATTGCTAGCCAGCACGACTACGAGGTACACAACCATGCTGTAGCCCGCCGAGGCCTCGAGTCTAGTACAGTACACGAGCATGCCAGTGCTATTGGTGACTATACCGAAATTTTGGATACGGATCTGCATTATGCTTGGGTACTACCAACGTTCGGGCGTTTCAAGGAAAATTCAATCCCACGGCAAACTGCACCCGATACCCACAACGCCGCCAGATCAAGGTACTTCTATGGAGTTCGCGAACACGGGGTACAGAATATACCCAGGATAGTTGGGTCGGCTAGCCCAGCAGTGGCTAGAAATGGACAAACTTGGCCCCAGTGCCTACTGATGAATGCATGGAAACCGTAGATCATTTCCCCAGTGTGGTGACGTGATACTCTTCACAGGCAGGCGGCGTTCGGGAGATCGGCAAGCCAACCAGACGGACTGGTGAACGGTACGCAAGTAGAGAGAGGGGGGACGGAGTCACACCTTGAGTGTAAGAGAAGCCCTACGTCCCACACATGCCTGTGCAGGTACGAGGAGCACAAGCATGTTTCCACTGCATATCTTTGGGGCCGCCCGTCTCTCGGCGAGCGTTTTCCGTCCTCGCGATGCTGGCGGTGGGACCGTGATCTTTGCTGCCCTAAGCCCCTGGTCGTCTGAGCATCCTTGCAAGAACCCGAGTAGCAGCACTTGGCCCCAGTATCGTTCCAGGGCATTTTCGTCGCGGGAGTGGTCTAGCTCCCGATGTGCGCAGATCTCAGGAACTCCATTGCCGACGTGGGTCCAACGGTCTCTAACGGTCAATGGAATGGACAACCGTTACTTAATACAAAACTTCGTTGGTGTAGCCTCCTATATCTTCTCCGTCCCTTTTTTGAACGCTCGAGAAAATACATCCCTCATTGACTCGACATCCAAACGGCAACCTCATCGATACCATGGCGGTCCCTGCTCTGTTGATCGAAGCAAGATGCGAGTACTGCGTCAGCATCTTCGTCCTTCTGCTGAGGTGGTTTGTCAGATTCAAACTTCGACAATGGTATTGGGATGACCTCTTCGCGGTCGGGGTGGCAATCACCTTGAGCTCGCTGCTAGCTGCGCTGGAGCTGCTGAGTACGCTGGTGTCGTCCCCTATCAAAAGGAACAATGACTCGCTGACCTGGATTTAGGTCAGAAGGGGGCTCCGGCAGGGCTGACTGCAGAGGTCCGACAGCAACTACCTCCAGAACTGGTTGTGCAACTCGAAAGTGGTGCCAAGTTGATGTATGCTGCGTTTTACCTTTATGCCGCCGCGATATGGTGCTTGAAGGGCTGTATGGTTGTCTTCTATCTGCGCTTGACGTATGTATCAACCGAAAGTATGGGAAGATGACTGCTAACATGCGCCATAGGGATGGCTTGCGGCTTAAGAGATTCATCTGGGGCGTCGCCGCTTTGTCTGTTGCCTTCTTTTTCGCCGCAATAATCACCTTGCTGGCCCATTGTATACCCATCAGCCACAACTGGCAAGTTCTTCCTGACCCGGGTGGTACGCATACCCTCTTTTCCTGGCCTTGCATGGCATCATAGCTCATGTTTCTGCAGCGGAATGCTCTGACGGATACAACATCAATATTGTCGTCGCCTCTGGCAACTTTACGTGGGTTAAAGTACATTGGTGTTTACTCCCCGTCGCTAACTCCAACCAGGACTGACTTCCTTTTGCTTCTGACGCCGATCCTAATGCTTCGGAAAGCCCAAATCCCCCTCTGGAGGTAACACGATCCAATATGAATGTTTTTTTGGTTGAGGGACGGCATTTCTGACTAGACGCAGAAAGATCAGAATTGGCTTCCTACTCAGTTTGGGTGGGGTTGTGATGGCCTTCACTCTCCTACGGTGCATCCTCACCATCTACTCCCCCAGGACCATCAATCAAAGCTCCATCTGGGCCATGCGTGAGCTGGTGAGTGCTCTCTAGTCTGGCGAGCATTGGGCTGGATCCATGGAAGAGGCTGACAATTTCCCAAATAGCTGGTCGCCGTCTTTGCCGTCAACGCCCCTATCCTGAATTCCCTTTTCAGACGCAACACCTGGACCGGTAGTTTTCCATCGAGTAGCAAGAACACAAAAAGCTCGCAGATGCTTGGAAGCGGCGTGGATGAGCAAAGAGACCGTGGCTCTTCAAGGGACATCTACAAAATGACCGATATCGAGGTCAAGGATTCCGGGAGCGACAAAGACCTCATCCAAGATGAGTACCGGCATGGTCGAGCGCATGTTTGGGCAGGACCTAACAAGAACATGAGATACTAAGGCGGTTCCCACTGTCGGCCACTTGTTTGCCTCTACAGGTACAACAGAGGGGATCATGCAGGGCCAGTTGCGTTGTGCGATGCGACTGGGGGCCGGTGACGGGTTTGACATACTCGTACCGAGTACATAGCGTCCATGAGAAGGTCACAAGGCCTGACCACTGCAGGAGGAGCCATATAAGCATGGAGGGAAGACACGCTCAAAGGCGGCGGGAGATTCTCCTGCGCCTGTCGTTGAGCTGTAAAGGCTACTGACTTTCAGAGTCATCTAAAAAAACAAAAACTAGGATTTAGCTAGTGCTGTAGGTTATCGACGAGGATTCATAACGCCCAGTCTTATTGTAAGGTTGTTGCCGGGAAATCCGCCTGCGGCGGCCCTGCGGCTTCGGGTATGGTCGCGGGCTGGGCGCGCCGCCGCTTTTGACGTCCATCCCCTGCGCGGTCAAGAATTTCTGAGTAAAGTCTTGGCACCAAAAACCAATGGTTTCTGAACAACACCGGCAACGACGAGGCCTAACGACCAAGTGCATAAAGATCTCGGCAGGTTTCCAACAGGGACCTACAGCAAATATTCGAGCGGCGAAGCCTGCTAAGCTCCGCATTTTAGAATTGCCCTTCCCGACCGCCACGTATCACTCCATCTCCTGTAGTTGAGTGACCAGGGCTTTAATGAGGGTCAATGTAACTGCAGCATGCATCTGGATCTCTGGCAGTGACTGGTCTGGCGGGATATGGAAGAACTCTGCTCTGCGAGACACCCTCCTATCGTAGCAGACAGCAAGAGAAGAGAACAACTCGAGCTCACAGAAAGACGTCCCGGCATCGTCAGACCTTCCAGAAACTACATCCTGTCCATTCATTAATCCTACGCCGCAACGATTGCATGTAGAAGACTCACCGGATGCTCCCTTGCGACCATTTCGGCAGCTTTGTCGACATCGAAACACGGACTCAACGTCTCGGGTAGGCCCTCCCATAGACCTCCGGGACCCAGCTGTCCTGGCGGAAACGTCTGGCTTTCGTCATCCACACCTTTGTAGATGTCTTGCCTCGCAATGCTCTCGGTCCAATACCCAAGCTTCTTCTGTGTACACTTGCCAATATGAAGCATGAGGTCAATGTGAAATTGGCTTGCAGGGGGACAGAGGAGGTTCTCCAAAGACGGAAGGATCACTGGACCAGAATCTCCTTGGTGGTCTCTCGCGCGGGTACTTCAAGATCTTCACCACAACACCACTGTCTAAAGATACCTCTGCCGGCAGAGAGTTTCGGACGGCTGGAGATGGATTCCCTTCTGGCTCTCCCTGCCGCCTGGTTAGCCATGGTCCCAGTCCTGCCGGCCTCGGCGTACTTACGCCGGCCCCAGTCACCACAACATGATATACTTTTTGCGGCATCGCTGCTCCTTCTGAACGCTTTCGAAGGCTAGATTTCCAGCTTCAGAGCCCGTAAGGTTGTCGAAACATGTGCGGACAGATCAGGCGGTCGAGCCTAGCCTAAGATAATGGTGTGGAACCCGATCGTATCTCGCCAATGAGAACGTTGTTATCGGTGCCGATGAATAGATTATCGCCCCATGAGATGCCTGAACGGTGGCAGAGAAGATCCGTGAGAGTCAGGTGGTTTTGTAGAATATCATCGTTGATGTGGAAAGACGGCAGAGCGTCCTTGACCAAGGTGTCCCAACGAGCCTTCTTCTCTTCGACCAGTATTCCGATGGCTGCCGCAGTGACCGCTTTGGTTAAGGAGCAGACGGGGAGAACAGTCTCATCAGTCGGCGGAAGACGTCCTTCTACGTCATGGTAGCCGTAACTCGCATAGTAGACCTGATTCCCATGGTGCATGACATCCAGAGAAAGCCCTGGTGTCCCGCCAATGCGCATTAGCTCTTCCACCTTTGGACGAAGGGCATCAAGTCGAGAAGATAGGCTCGCCATGTTTCTAGGTACCCTGTCGGTGGTCGGTGTTAGTAGTGCAGAGTGAGGTTGCGCAGTTGCGTGAGAGTAGAGCAAACGTACAAGGGGTCCACGAACCGCCGCTCAGAGCCTGGTAAAGCCTATTGAAGTTTGACGTGATTGCGACTGTTATGAAGAGGAAAACAATCGCAACCAAAACGGATTTGTTGTTCCAAGGGCACATGCGTGTAATGTGCAGAGAATCTAGTGATGGAGGAGTTAGACGGTCAAAATCCTTTGAACGCGGCGACGACGACGGCGGTTATCGACCCTCAGGACACTGAACGTGTGATTCGAGGCCACAGCCTTGCAAGACAAGGGACACTCACCGGTTTGAGACGCGCATACCCAAATTCCGGTAACCGTCATTACAATTCGTGATCAGAGCAAAGCGATTAGTAGAAGTAGGGCGGCACGGGGCGGGCGCATGCGTTCTGTAACAGCCGTCATCCACATCGCTCTTTTCGGCCAGTCATCCACAGAACCTTCCATATATAAGAAGATGCAGGGTCTTATGCGATTAACATATGGACGAAGCTGTATTATAGCTTCTGTGTCAATCTTGTCCTGAGATACAGCGATTTGGTAGGAATTTGTTGAACTGATAATAACGGGCGCAGCAGGCTGAAGCACCTCTTTCTCCAACCTGTGACCTCCACCTGCTTCAGGCGTTTGCTCAAATTTCCTTCTGTGAGCAGCCTCAGCCTCACTACGCGAGCTGAAGCATCACGCAGATCTGTTAATGAGGCTTAAGTCTAATGATTGCGGGCTATGTTTCGCTGGTTAAGAGCCTTGGCAGTGGACGCAGCATACTTTTACTCTCTGGACAACTCCAGGGTTACGGCGTTGCTGGTTTTGCTCGGGCGTAAACGCAAGAAGAAACCCAACAATGTATCTCAAATACCAATCATCACATTGGACGAAGCAGTTCAAAACAGGGATCTTCAAAGCTTCCAAACCGCTGGGGAAGCTCTTGCCCAGCAATTCTCCCAAAAGAAAGTCCCAGCGCTGGTGTCAAAATACCTCTACCCTAGCCTGGACCATGTGCGATCGTTTCATTCCGGAATCTCGTCTGCAACCCAGTACGAGCCAACCGCTGCGCTGGTCTGGGGCGTTCTTCTCGTTGTGATCCAGGTAAGCCTCGCGGGACAATGAGCAAGCTGTTTTCATCATACTTACGCTCCCTCCACTCGATAGTGCGGCTGTATCTTCGCAGAATCCATTGAAGAGATCATATCTCAGCTCGGCGCCCTTCAAAGCCTTCTACCTTTCCTCGAGAGAGATCTGGGCCTATACCCAAATATCAAGTCCGTTGAGCTCAGCTTGCGGGCCATTTTTGAGGATTACATTGATTTCTGCTTGGTTATTGTCCGACATCTAGCTGGGAAGCCGGTGTGTACGTGCTGAGACTCATCAAACCCCATACCGCAGCCACATGCTGAACTTATATCTGGTGGGGGCTCTGCTGAGAAACTTTACTTCTTCGCTCCGCAGAACGCTTAAGAAGGCAAAGGACAAGTTGAAGAGTGATGTTGCCGATTTTGACCGTGCCGTTTATTCTGCGGAGCGCGCTCGAGCCATCCAAATCGACGATGCACTCAATCACAACAGCTGTTGCTCCGAAAAAAGAGCTCGGATATCGTTCGGATGCCCAATCGAAAGTGCAGAACCCCTTTCAGCACACGATCATTGCCCGAAATCCTGACTTCACCGCCCTTAGGCATTGGAGATAGTGTCTTCAGCAGGAATGGTCAATCGGCTGATGAAGGATCGAGCCGTTCCTTCCGTCCCAGGGCCGGACTGAGGCTAGCCAATTATGCCTTGGGAAAAGCTCTCCGTGACTATTGTCTCGATGCCACTTCTTCACATTGCCATTCTCAGCAAGTTGTCGATAATGTTGTCGATAATGCTCGGGCGAAAATTGAGCCGCCGGCCTCTATTTAAGGGGCCGTATAGCCATATTTCCCCTTGCTTTCTCAAAGGCAATCCTCACCTAAACTCCTTCTACCTACCACTATAGTGGTAGGTAGAGATGCGAAGCAATCATGAACAAACGAGGTTGGAAGGCCGGGAGATGGCTCGCTCCAATGAAGCAAAATGGGAAGATTCTCATGAGCCCGTCTAGATACCAAAGCTGCGTAGACCTGATACAACGTAGCATAAGAAGAAGAGGAAGAGTAGGAGGACATGGGAGAAGGAAACTCGGTTCGAATCGACTTTGTGGCAGTGAGGAAATCAAGAAGGACCCGGCTTTCTGATCTGCGGAGCGCCATGGTTGGGTTGGTGTAGACTAAGGCACCATTGCTTTCGAAGAGTGGGACGGGGTAAATTGCCCGTAACCGCTGGTGTACGGAGTTAAACGAGTACTAGGTACTACCAGGTAGGTTCCTTTGGCGGTTTGGCCACGGATCATGCTGAACATAATACCGAGTACTAAGTACCTCGTAGTCTAGGCAACTCCAGATCCCTGAGCCTATTTAGCCTTTTGGTCCTAGAGTCCCGTGGTCGAAACAGAATTATATACGAAGTAAGTAAGAGAATATACGTAGATGAACTGGGGAGGCGGACCTGCGTTGGTGTTGGAGGAGGAGTGGTGCTCCGTCGGTAGCTACCTCGCTACTTGACAGAAGCCCAGATCCATCTTGTTTACTACGATCGGGGAATAATACAAGGTACTCGATGCCGTGCTTCATGGTCACCCTTCATACCATCATCATATCATATGGTCGGATCGTGACCTTCAGATTATGGTCGCTCGACGAGCACGCCCTCAGAATTCAACGTTGGTCCTGCTGCCTGCACAATATTTCCTGCCGCTCGTTTCTTCCAATTCGACAGCGGGTCAGTACGGTAGACATCAGATGTTTTCTCCGAGTAGACATTCATGTATGCAGGTACAAAGCCATATTTTCCCTTGTCAAGACAACCCTCCCATGGATCCCGACAATAGATTACGATTCATCCTTCGAGTCACCAACAAAGTCACACCTTTCCACTCCTCCGATAAGCAGTGAATCGAGGACAAATCTCCCGCCTGAAGCTACTCCTTCTCTAGATCACTACCTACTTCTCATCGACATGCCTCAGCTCGACTTCCTCCACCTCAAGACCCTCGGGCTTCTCGACAATACCCCGACCGTCATCTGTCAAGTGCACCACGACCATATCGCCGAACAGCGCGCCAAGTTCCTCGAGCGATTTGAGACGGGTCTCGGGCAGGAAGAAATAGAACAAGACCTCGCAGATCAGACTGAGGCCGGCGAAGACGAGATACCATCCCCATTTACTGGCGAGTGACAATTTCGTTAGCGGAAAGATATCCCAAAGTGGGTTAAACTGTCAAGGGTGCGGGAACGCAAGAAAGCTAGAGAAAATCAGAAAACAAGGGACAGAGAAAATGCTTACATGGTCTGCAAAGCCGTCGGCGCGGGTGTCGCGAAAGTGATGAACCCGACAAAATAGCCGCACATGCTAATCCCCATGCCCCGAGCGCGGATGGTGGTAGGGAAGATCTCGGCGGTGTAGACAAAGGACGCAGCATCAATAAATTGGTAAAAGATGACGAACATGAAGACGAAAAACACGGCTGCTGAGTTGCCGGCCTTGTTGTCGCCGTCGAGGTATGTTCGTTGCAGCATTGCCTCGGCGAGAAGACAAGCCGCGACGCCAGGGAAGCCGATCACTAAGAGCAGATGTCAGTCAATCATGGGTCGTTCGTCAAGGCTAAGAGAAGAGGAAGCCAGCCACAAGAATTGAGTTCCGCCAGGGGTCGAGATACTCACGGAAAGATAGTCTCCGTCCCATCCTGTCAATGACGAACAGACCGACAACGACCACGCCGACAGTGCCAACGGTGGTATAGGTGGCTGTGTGAGAAGGATAAATTAGCCCACAGTTCTCCTCATCAGACTTTTGAATATCATGTCTGACACACCGTTCAAGATCAAGGGCATGTCACCCGTCATGCCGAGATTGCTGAAAATGAGAACCAGGAAAGCAGCGGCGCCGTTGATCTGATCGAGTACCAGAATAGTTAGCGATACATCACCTTACGCAAGAGTCGGAAAGATGGCATGGAGACTTACACCTGTGGCTTGAGAGGCGAACCTGGACGGCCGTTAGCTCGAGAACATTGACGGATACGGGCAGGAGACGACTTACATGACACCAAATGCCAAAAAGGAGCGTCGTCGCCACGACGGTTTTTTCAACATGCCAATATAGCCCGTGTTCATTTCCTTGTCGTGCTCAACCTGACGAGCAATCTGGATGTACTCGGCCTTGGCTGATGAATCTTCGGGGTCTCTGGGATCGGCATGGAGTCTCTTGAGGATTGTGAGTGCCTCTTCGTTGCGGCCCACCCAGCATAGATATCGTGGTGACTCTGAAGAACGGGCACGTTAGCACGGTTACAGTCAGCAGGTAAAGAGGGAGGTTGTGGCTGACCAGGGATGAAAATGCAGCCGATGAGCAGAAGCAATGGGCCAACCGTGGACAAGGCAAGAGGCAGTCTCCATTGCACGGTTTCATTTTTGGCGTGATAGCAGCCGACCGAGATCCATCCCAGACTGCAGGTGTATCAGCAACAGAACGGCATTTCTTTCTAGGGCGATATGACGAACCCGACATAGCCACAGGCCATACTGAAGACATTGACAGAGCCCAGCATTCCCCGTCGATGCGGAGGGGCCACCTCGATGATGTAGACGACAGACAGACAAACGACGATGCCGAGACCAAGGCCATGAAGCAGGCGGATTGTGATGAACATGGCCAGGTACGGTGAACCTGCAGTCCACGCCGCCCCGATGAGAGAAATCAGAGCCGCGATGAGCAGGGCCCTCTTTCGCCCTACCCAGTCGGCCAGGAACCCTTGCAAGATGGCCCCTATTCCAGCACCAACGGCAAAGAGAGAGCTCGTTGCTCCGAGGACACTGAGAGACACCATCAGCATCGTCCCAACGCATACTACTGCCAATTCCACTCCGGAGTGACTCACCTAGCGGTGTAACTGCTGTTGGCTGTCGACAAAGACAAGCGTCAACATAATTTCACGACCCAGAAGGTATTCAGCGGCAAGAACTCACGATCAAGATTGAAATACTTGTAAAACCCAGGCTGGCCTATACTGGTGGAAAAGCTCGCAAAGCCAAAGCCGTAGGCGAAGCCACCGCTAGCCACGACCAGGCAGACGCTGAGATTGTAGAGTGTCAGATTCATGGTGGGTGGTAAGGGCAACAGAGTATCAGAGTTGCCAAAAAAAAAACAGAAAGACCCTGTCTTCAAAGACTCGAGCTGAGATGAAAGGGAAGGGAAACAGCTTTCTTCCCCGGATCCTGGACGAGTATCTCTGAAGATATACAAAGAAAAAATCACCGGGCCAGACTTCTTTTCCCGGGACGAACCCCAGATTCCCATCCACGTTTTTTTTCCCCTTTGAGAGTTTTCTATACAGCCGAAGAGTGGCGTGGGTCAAGTTTCTTCCCAAAAAGGTGTCAGCTCCACGCTTGCCCCGGGCGTTTCTCTCCAATGACCCCAGATTCCCAGGGATGGTCTTCGAGGTGCATGGTGTCTTTTTTTTTTGCCGAGACCGACTGACTGAGGGGGGACAGTTAGCTTTTTTGCTGGAACCCTGATAGCACAGTCGCCCAGCTAGGTGACAGGTTGCAGGACGAGCGTGCGAACTCAATTGCTCCGACCGTCAGACGACGAGAAACCTGGGAAAGGGAAGCAAGAAATTAACCTCGGTTGCTAAAGCGGGTTGAATTAAGCTATTCGTCCCACCCCTTCGGGGGCCTCTAGTTCAGGCGTGGACTTGGATGGAGGAAACCTTCGTTTCTGGCTCAAAGAACTCTGAGACACGCCCAGCCGGCTCGCTCGTTCGAATGGTCCGACCGGAGGAGCGTTCCGTTTGAACGAAAGATTCTTGTCTGCTAAGAAAATAATACACCGAGGTGGCTTATTCGCTGTTCTACAAGGATGAGGAGTATCCATACCATCCCATATTAGTCATTGATTCAGCCTCGCCACTGTCAACTGCTATCGTTACTAACCACTCAGGAGCCAGCTAGTCATTATTCGCCAATGAAGCTCACAAATAACAGGTAACAAGAAAAGTACCGACATTGGGTCTCGATTCCCAACCGGCACTCAACAGACGAGCAAGGAAATGATGAGATCGGAAACCACGGCACTCATAGATCCAGGTAGATGGATGTTGATGTAAATGCACATCTTGCACATATGTCAATGCATGCAGCACAGTAGACTGACTAGCCAACTAACCAACCAGTCTTTTACCAGACGACTGGGAAAGAGCGCCCTAGAATGGCTTATAGTATCAAAGTCGAGTATACCAGCGCATGGCAGCAGACGCCTGCAGAGGCGGCACTGGCTCTGGCTCACCAAGAGCGAGAATCTCCGTTTCCATTTCCATATGCGCAAACTCAGACCCAGACAAACAAGACATCAAGGCCCAAATCCAAATCGAGATCCGCCTCCCGGCCCAGAGACCTGCTAGATGACGGCGTGGTGGTACCGGACTTCATCAAGCCGCTGTCCAACAAGGTCGGCGAGGACGACAGAGACTATCTCATCGCAAAAGGCGTCTTCCAGCTCCCCACGGCCGAATTCCAATCCATCATCTTACAGCGCTATGCCGAGTATGTCCACCCGCTGCTTCCACTCCTCGACCTTTCGGAGGTGTTGGACACCGTCAGCGCCGCTGGCGGACAGGTAGACAACAAGGAGAAGCAGGTTTCCCTCCTTCTATACTGGTCCATCCTATGCGCCGGCCTCGCCGCGACCGAGCGACAAGTCATTCTGAACCACGGCTACGGGTCCAAAGCCGAAGTGAGGTATTCCTTTTACAAAAAGGCAAAGGTATGTACGTTCTCTGACAAAGACTCTACCCAAATGGTTAGCAAGGGGATGAACACCATCTTCTCATCTGTGCGTATGTGTGTCTTATCTGTGGCTACCCTAGTAGATCCTGTTTGATTTGGAGTCTGAACTCGATCGCATCGTCCTGTGCCAGTCGGCCGTGCTCCTAGTGAGTTGGTCTCAGGATGATCATCGGATGGACTTGGTGCATTGGATCGGCGTCGCCATCAGCCAGGCATATTCGCTCAAGCTGCATCGCGAGGAACACAACGCCAGAGCCGATGCGAGTGCGGTCGACCACCTCCGCCGAAGGATCTGGTGGAGCGTCGTGATGAAAGAGTGCGACGTCTCCCTCGCCATGGGATACGCGCCACGAATCCACCTGGCGAACGTCAGGATGCTGAACATGCAGGATTTCAGGGATGAAGACGACGCCCACCTCCTCAAAGTCCCCGGCGTGTGCTCGTTGTCACAGATCACGCGGCAGCATCGAGCTCTCTCTCTCGATTTTCTGCAGCCGATATGCGTTCACAAGGCGAAACTGGCCGCGTGCGTGACCAGGATCTTCGACGCCGTCCAAGCCAACAGCTCGGTCTCGTCAACTGACGCCTTCGCCCGCAGTGCACTGGCTTGGCAGCTCGACGCTGAACTGCGGGAATGGCGATCGGGACTGCCTCGGGCATTGACCCGCTTGAACACCCGCACGTCGTTGACGATGAGCAAGACCGACAAAACGCTGGCACTTCACTGGGCGACAGTGGAACTGGTATATTGGACCGCGAGGATCACTTTGCACAAGTCCGCGGCGTCCGAGTCGGAAACACACCTCCATGCTGCCAGGACTGCAGCGAGAGAGATCACCGGCATATGCAGGGCGCTGCTGGGGAGTGGAATGGAGCAGCACGTCCCGACCGTGGGCGTCGTGGCCGTGCTGGCAGCCTTCTCCGTCCACCTCCGCTGCAGTCGCTCAGAACGAGACAGTGAACGGTCCAGTGCGATCGAAGAGCTCAAGACGTGTGTCCGCTTCGTCAACGGCCTCCGGGACCTGAACTATACGGCTCAGAATGTCTCCAGGATGATCGAAGACGCGACTCGCGAAGCTGAGCTCAGGCTTGGGCTTAGTTCGTCGACGGCGGCAATGTCCAGGATCGATCCACGCCCAGAGAGTCCAGCCCATGCATCTATCATCTCAATCTCGCGTGGCGACCAGGCAGACGCAGCCTCATACGCCCTGCTCCCACTAGAGCAGGGGGGCGGGGATGGTGACCAAGACCCAGCCTTGCCAGGAAATATGTCCCACCTCGACCACGATGACATTGGGCAGATCGCACAAGCCACAGTTATCGGGGCTGCAGGTTTTTATGGCCCCGAAGACAACCTTGTAGGCGATGATGGCACGTCGAGAGTAGGACCGTGGGGTCCGGCTTTCTTTGAACCCGCTGCTCTGATCGAGATGGAGATGGACGCGCCCTTTGAAACCTTCGGCGTTGAAGCTTGATCAACAAGAACAAGATCTGCGTATGGTAGAGACTGCTTGGGCCTAGGGCGCCAGTTGCTAGGGTCAGTGGCAAGGGGGCCAAGGCCACAATAACACGGCTGAATCTCAAGAGCAATCGTGCTTTGCATGCTGCCCGATATATCGGGAGGGAGAGACACGCAAGGCCCGTTCCGGTCCTAGTCTTGGACGCATGACTACATTACCAGATGCCATGATCAATAATGTCCTCCAATAGTGCGTCTTGGAAAATGTGCCCCGTCTTCGACCCTGTAAAGGGCTTTCTCCCTAGACAGCCTCACTCTACTCGGTGCTGTTTTAGCGGCCACAGTCCAAGAGTCGGTGTGCAGAAGATATGCAAACTAGGTCAGGAAAGTCAGGAACCAGCCAACGGCCGGCGAGCACAGCCAGATCCAAAAAGTCCCTCCCCTGGCACTTCTGTCCTGTCCTGCCCAGCCATGCGTCCCTCGGACTTAGCATGGACGATGCGCTGGCGAATACTCGTCGCTTCTCAGAAAAGGCGCAGCCCTCCCAGTCAGGCTGAGAATGTGGCGTTCGACGCCGAACCAATCAAGCGGGATATCGGTGTGACGACTGGTGACGAGCAACGATCTAGGCCACATCAAAGCCAGACTTGGGGGCATCATAAATACGAGGTTTCCAACTTCCAAGGAGCAAAATGCCTGTCGAGCGGTCAAGCGAAGGGTAGCCCACCCCTATTTTCTGGCGCCCCGGTGGCTCAAGGCTGTCTGTGATGGGGATCTGGCCCACGAAAACAACTATGAGTTTCCTGGTCTCAAGTGAACAAGCTCGCCTCGAACACGAGCATTTAAGGGCGACAAATTTCGCTTTCTCGGCGTCGACGCCTCATTTCACGCTGTCGCGTGGTAATAAGACAGGCTGCTCAGCCAGAGAGAAAGCCACGGAAGGTCCATGTTTTCTCATCTCGATTCCTGAGCTGCAATGGCCTCACAGGGCGAGGCATACGATATGGGTGTGATGCGAGCCAGCGCGAGACAGGCTACGAGCTCGCAGGCGTCGTCACTGCCAGAGGAACCAGGGAATGAACGTCCGCAGCCTCATGCCGACACTGCAGAGCCCCCGCGAGAGTCTGAAAATACGGAGCGCTCCGATGGAAGCGATGAGGAGATTGTACGAATCGCCCCGGTTGCACGGGACACGACGTCTTTGAGGTACGGATAAGAAATGGCAATGTCAAGGCTGCAACTGACGACATGCTAGACGTGATCTTGGGGAGCGTCATGTCAACATGATCACCTTCTCTTGCGTTATTGGCATAGGTCTCTTCCTCCAGAACGGCAGAATCATCAACCTTGCAGGGCCGGGAATGGCCTGGTTGGCATATCCACTGATGGGGACGATCGTTTGGTCCGTGCAAGCAGCTCTCGGGGAGATGTCTGCACTTTTTCCAGTGCCTGGAGCGTTGTTTGAGATGCCTTGCCGGTTCTTGGATCAATCGATCGGATATGCTGTAGGCTGGATGGCATGGTGAGTCTTTTCACATCTCCAAAGCCCTGCCACTGAAAAGCAACAGGTTTGCCTGGGTCGTCATCATTGCGGCGGAACTGCAAGGAGTGGCAGGCCTCTTCCAGTTTGGGTTCAACCCATCCGACCTGGAAAGGTTGCATTATCCAGAGCCAACACTGAAGTGGGGAACAAGTGGTGTCGATCCTGCTGTTTGGATATCAATCTTCCTCATCCTTATACTGGTTGTCAACCTCCTCCGTGTGCGGTGGTTCGGCGAACTCGAGTACTGGATTGGCGTGATGAAGATGCTGTTCATCGTTGGGCTGATCCTCTTCAACATCGGCATCAACATCGAGACAGGAACCCATTTCCGCTTTTACAACAACCCATGGGGATTCATCTCGCGCGCATGGACAACACCAAGTGGTGCGGTTCAGACTGGTGGCTGGGCTCATCTTGCCAGCGTATGGACGGCAATGACGTTGACCATATTCTCAATGATCGGGTTCGAAGCCGTCACCATCACCGCGGCGGAGAACCGAGAGCTCCGAACATATGAAGGGGTCAAGATCTCCAGCAGGAAAATCGCGATTCGGATCATCTTGCTCTACAGCCTCACCACCTTCACCGTCGGCCTGAACGTGCCATACGATGAGCCGCTGCTGGCAAATCGAGACATCTCCGTCCTAGACAATGGAACCCATTCAGCTTTCATTCTTGCGGCGATTCGCGCGGGGAAGAAGTTCTGGCCAAACTTTTTCAACGGCTTCTTCATCCTGTCGGCCACCTCTTCGGGAATCAATTCATTATACTTGTCATCGCGCATTCTGCATGCCCTTGCCCTCTCCCAGGGTGCGTGGCCAAGATGGCTGAGAACGCTGCAGAACCGTCTGAAAGAGACAGGATCCCTGGGAGTCCCTCGCAATGCGGTATTGGCAAGTTGGCTTTTTGGCTTTCTCGGGTATTTGGCAGCAGGTGGCGCCCCATCACATGTGAGTCCATATATCTCTTGTCTTTTTGCGTTGCAAGGCTAATACTGAAAAGGAATTGGGTCGGCTGGCCCTCAACTCGACAGTCTCCATGCTCATCGTGTATTCAGTGATCTGCGTGACTTTCCTGAGGTACAAGACAATGTGGGTGTTTTGCGACTTCTGGCCATGATCTCAGCTAATATTCGACAGCATCAGACAAGCCTCCGCAGGTCAATTCAGGGATACAGATTTTGTCGACCCCCAGCAGGATCTGAGGGCGTACTCGAGGAGAAAGCATTCACCCACCTACCCGTACCGATCGAATTGGCAGCCGTTGCGAACATGCTACGCCCTCTTCGGAAGTACCATGATGCTTTTGCTCAATGGATGGCGGTCGATCAGTCCGTTCAGTGCGCCGGATTTTGTGGCTTCGTACATCAGTGTAAGTCGGCTATTAACATGAGACGAAAGAAGGTCCAGACTCTGACTTTGTATAGATTGTCATATTCATTGTTCTTTGTGTACTCTACCGTTGGCACCTGCACCGTCAGTTTCTACCTCGTCTGCGGCCGACGATGAACCTAAGATATCCTGTTGAAATGGATATCACTGACCCAAGAGCTGGTCGAGATAGGCTTCGGTTCGGAAAGGAGGATAACCTGCAAACCAGAGCTATCAAGACCGGACAATGGCTCTGGGTATGGCTCAAATGAAAAGTTCCTTGGTCCTCTTAGTTGTTTGGTGGTTTGGGACTTTGGCCAGGATCTGCTACCGCAGGATAGAAATTATCAAGGGCAATAATTTGCTGGTGTTGCTGCGCAGCATCCGACGCGTCGTATTGAGTGAGGTAGCCCTGCCTGTGCCTAATATGAAACATGGTCACATTACTTGCACTAGATGCTGCAATTTGTATTCCCAGGCGCTTGCTGTTTTTCTCAAATGGACGGAGACCGCTTAATATCGAGACATGCTCCGCCTCCCATTCATTCCGGCTGCTGGACTTGCGAATGAAATAGACACTGCCTTCCTCATTGATAACAACAAAGCACGGAGTTTGCCCAGGTGTCGCAATGGCACAGTGCACGCGGGCAATAGATAATCTCGGCCCAACAATCGGTTGAGGGTCAGCTTGGGGACGCGGCTGCCCTCGATGGCGAGGCATTACTCTCTCAACTGCTGGTTGGTGACTATGAGCAGAGGCTGTCCCGACGATTAGTGTTGTCTGTCCAGAACTGTGAAGACACGGCAGTGCCGTCAACCCGGGGTCTAGTGATTCCTGACCTGTGGTCAGTTTTGTCTATAATGTTAGAGCGCTTTCGCGCTGGGAAGGATAAGCCGTCTCTTACCACTTTTATATCCTTAACAAAGCGAAATGGATGGGGAATTTTCCCGTTGGGGTGGTCAGGGATGTCGAAAAGCGAGAATAGAGTACTTCCTGCCTCATCCTGATACTGTGTTCCTACAAGGACTTGCCGCTGATCTGTCGAAAACGATAACATCTGCGTGCGCACTTTTGCGGTTGCCCAGAAAGCCGAACCCGCATTCTCACTCTCGTTCGCATGATTTGATCGTGGTATCAGTGATTGACTGCAATAGGAGCGTGACCAATTCTCTATGTGTGTTGAGATGATCCGCAATTCGTCGATTGTTGCGATAGCTAGCTTGGTTCCGTCATAGGAAAAGGCCAGGCTTTGTGGAATCTTGGTGAAGGGCATTTTCCCCACCGACACACCGGTAGCATCAAAAAGAGACAACTGCAAAGGTTGATAATTCTCCTGATTGACGGTGGCAAAGTGAGAGGCACCGGTGGCCGCTAATGTAATGTCATGCATGACCTTTTCACCTTGCCAATGAGGGTTATCACCATCCAACGCCCAGCGCGCTATCCTGTTTCGAGCCCAGACAATCAAGTTTGAAGCGTCTGGACTCAGTGCGGACTGTAAGTGAGGGCTATGTTGAAGCATGTGGGATTTGCTGCGCTTGTGTATACCCATCTTGGCCATTGCTGAAGGTGTGAGGGATGAAGTCTTGTCTGTGAAAGATCCTAGGCTCACGGAAGAGGGGTAAAGAGAGGGTATTGACGGGGTTGGAGGTGCAGGAGCTCGTGGGTATGACCTTATACTGGCTTGATCCAGCAAAAGCGCTTCTTGATTCCTGACTGGACGCGCCGCCGATAGTTGGTCGGAGGCCAGGGGTGTATTCACCCTATTGTCCGCAGATTCCTCCAATTCGACCTCCGGTGCGACCATTCTTTGCAGAGGCTCGTAGATTTCACACAGCGGAGCAATTCTCCTGGCTTTTCGGACAGTGCTGTTGTCTGAATGGGGAAAGGGGCAATCGAAATAGACGTCGATTATGTGTTGACTGGGTTCGGGTACCTTTAAATTTTAGCATCAGTTCTCGGCGAGGTCGTCATTGCGCTTACTTGTCTGCCACTGGACACGATACAGTCTGCGAGCATCTTGAATCCGATGGGATGCAGATCACTGCAGCTTAGAACATACGTACCTTGTGAAAACATCCTATCTGGAACCTCAAGCTCTTGTGACGGGGCGTTATCGACCGGCAACGAGGTCCACGTTCGGACCTGCTCAGACAGGTGGTTGTAGACCCGCAGTAGAGGCGCGTCCGCGTTAACGACAGTCAAGTTCCTATGCTCGAGGTCCTCAACGATCTGTAGATAATGAGCTGATAGTGTACTCATATTCGATGAGACTGCCTGAGCACCATTGGCACGGCCCATCCAATTGACGATTTCGGCATTTTCGCTGGAAGAGGGCCAAGGCTCAATGTAGGTCAGAAAGTTCGACAGAGACCGTCCTTCGTCGGCGCTCTGTAGGTCTTCACAGTATGCATCAAGAGTTTTGCACTGCTCAAGCACTGTATTGAGCTCGTCCGTGACGGGTGTTGAGCCAAGGTTTCGTATGGCACTTTCCGAAGAGTCGGTTGAAAGCTCGGGGTTAGAATCATTCTTCGCGCATCCGAAGCATGCGGCGATCAGCATCAATCTTATGTCGGCCAGAAGTAGGGCACTGCGGTACCCGTATACACATGCTCTGGCAACACATGCAACGGCCTGAGGTACACGCGTTGACAGATCGAACGTGAAGGCGAACTATAATGTCAGCGCGTCCTCAACCGGGATTGAAATGTATCATCTTACATTGTCGCAGTCGGTTGCATCCAGGACGAAATGTCCGCCACAAGAGCTGTCAGTATTCGTGCTTCCCAGGAGGTCTTTAACTGCGCCTTTGAGGATGGCCATGCACCAGTCTCCTGCGAGCCCACACAGAACTTTCAAGGGCCATTTATCGATGCACATTTCAAGCCTAGAGACTTGCTGTCTTGTTGTCGTCATCCGATTGTCTTCTCGCTCAATGGTGAGAGTAACTGCCAGGACTCCCGAGAAGAAAACCCGTTGAGAAAGCTCTAGAACTCCACGACCTGTGCTGTTGACTTGAGAACTGTGGAGTAATGCTGCTCCGGCCTGACAAAGACAGTCCAGACAATCGAGAATGTCATTGATTGAGAGAATGAATCGGCTCGGCGGGTCGGAGCGGATGCGGGAACGTTGGATGTCAATGATGGTTTTCAGAAGGATCATGTCCTTGATGTAAGCTTCATCGACGACTTGCGAGCCCGGAAGACTCCTTGACCATAGGCGACCGAGGGCTTCTCGAACGAGAAATGCATGGTCCTTCCTGTTGACGAGTGCAGCCCACAAGAGAGCAGCGTCGTGCAAATGCGGCATGATACATGAGGCAGTGACTTCACAAAGCCTCCAAGGTGCGGGAAACAGATTTGCGACGTGTGTAACAAGGCTGGCCGGAGCAACAGACAAGATCCGGCAGTGATGGGAATAGGCTGGCGCAGTTTAAGAAGGGAATCCTGATAGTGAGGGCGGGGGGTGGTTGGACCTGGCTATCGAAAGCCCAGAGCGTTAGGCTGATGGATTGCTGGCCACTGTGGGAAGTTTGTCGCTATTTGCCTCGTGTCTTGTGCCCTGTTGCCTGGCATGGGAGGTGTTTAAGCCCTTGTAGCGCCGCCAGGATGTGATGAGCTGGATGGCCACGCCACGTGAGCAAGCCACAGAACCACAAGAACCCCTTGAGCGACCCTGTGTTGACACCGCCCAGCTGGTTAGGATGGAACTTTCGCTGCGGTGGTATCAGTTTTGCGACGGACGATATCAGTGAGATTTTCAGCGTCCATGGACCTCTCAGTCGGACCATTCTTTCTGCGGCAGCCAAAACGAAACATCCACGACATCTCAATGCACCTGTGGGCGGCTTCTGCCTCCCACTGTCAACAATCCTCAATCTCCTAGACTTTCTCGACATGGCGGGCGCAAGCCCAACCAAGAATCCATGTCCTTCTTGACGACCCAATCACCGCAATGGTATATGGTGGCCGAGAAGAATGGCATTTCCAAGAGCAGGCCAATGAGCGAGGCTCCTTATGCTGACATCCACGTTCCTATCACAGGCTCACACAGTGAATCGATCGAGTGCTCTCTCTTATACCTCGCACCCTCATTCGCTCACCAACACAGCAGCAATGACCAGATCATGAAAGCACCGGTGAAAGAGAAGGTTGTCGTCCAGAGATCAAGGTGCTAGCATGGGGCAAGGCGGCTTGTGGGTCGTTATGGGTAGCATTGGCCGGCGACTATCCGACAATGCCGCCCGTCGAGTGGCCTGTTCTCTTCCACGACGGGATTCGCAGCAGAAACGGGATCATGTGGAGCGGACGAGTCTTGTGTCTACTATCTGGAGCACTGGTTATTGGTCGCAATGCTTTAGCATTGGAAAGACGTTGCTGTGGGCATGAATACTCTCGAGAACATCCTCAGCCAACATGCGACTCTGTATGATCCCGTTCGAGCAACAAGACCTGACTAGCCATGCCGCGACCTTTTAAAAACAGCATAAAGATTTGCAGCCCAGCGTGTATCCCATTCCACCCTCCCAAGGGCCTCTCAAGGGAAAGGCTGCCCAACAAAGACAATGCTGTTAACCACCTCTTGAAGGCCCATCAGCCAGCACGCCGGAGCATATTATATAATATCACAACCTCGAGTCCCTGGTCCTCATTTACAGCTTCGATCCCGAATTCTTTTTCTTCGAGCCACCCACACCTGTAACCTCCTTGCCACTCAGGATGAAGTCTGGATACTCAAAATCCGATCCAGGTGACCCGGAAAACGTGTGCCATGCGCCACCATCGACAACCAACCTGTCTCCCGTGACATAATTTGCCGCGTCGCTGAACAAATATACCGTCGCGTCTGCTATTTCCTTGATTGTCCCCCATCGTCCCAGTGGGATTTTGCGCCCCACCTTGGCTCCCGTCTTATCATCTCGTCTCTTGTGTTCTTGGGAAAGTCGGTCCATTCCTTCCGTGCCTGCAATCGGACCTGGAGCGATAATGTTACTGGTGACGCCGAGGGGACCGTATTCTATTGCCACGTTTGCCGAGAGGGCGTCAACACCAGCTTTTGCGACAGCGACGTGGGTTTGCATGGGCAAGCCGGTGTAGTGGATCGTCGCGGACACGTAGATGATCCGGCCGCCCGGTCCTGAAGAATCTGATTTCGGAAGGGAGGACGACGAGTTGTACTTCTTGGCAGAGGCGACGAGGTGGGGGAGGCAGAGCTTGGTGATGTTGTAGGAACCCAGGATATCAATGTCCATGACGGTCTTGAAGGCGTTGGGGGAGAGTTGGGCGAGGGGAGCCAGGAAGTTGCCCGCAGCGCCAGCACTGTATCGCAGGCTTGTCAGCAAAAAGCCTCCAATCGATAGGTACATCCACAAAGGCACATGAAAGCAGATTTTGAGTAAGAGAGAGAGAGTGTGTGTGTATGTCTGCGTGTGGGGATGGATGCAGCCCTTACATTAGAAAGTCAATGCCGCCGAGCACCTTGACACACTCGTCGACCGCCTTGCCCAGGCTCTGAACGTCCCTGACATCGACGCCGCCGATCCCCAGGACCTTGCTTCCCGCGCGCGCCGTCTCCAAGTCCTTGGCCACCGAGACTGTCTTCTCGACATTCCGCCCGACGATGCAGGCATTGGCGCCCAAGTGGACGAGGGCACGCACCTGCGCGGAACAGATGGATCCGTTGCCGCCGGTGCAGAAGACGACCTTGCCACGGAACAGGTCGGGCTGCCATACGGAGGAGACATACTCGTGCTTCGGAAGCGGCATCTTGTCTGCGTAAAGGGGGAGAGGAGACTCGGGGTTGGAAGGGGAACGAAGGAGGATTCGAATGGAACCCGCTGCGCTGTGCCCGGGATATCTTCGGCTTCGGTGGTGGACAACAACAAATACTGAGATAACAGGAGTGAATGTGAAAAAATTGGGAGATGTGTGAAGATGGTGTGTCGATGATCCTATATAGAATTGAGAACTCACAACGGCCGAGTCGTGTGGTTATTATTTGGAAGAGACCAACGGCCGTAAATGGACCCTGTCCTTGGTAGTCAGACCGATCGAGGTACGAGGTTACAGTTGATACCGAAGGGGCGGAACCGACGAGGCTCCACGCGGGGGCCGCACAAGATACCGAGGCTGGCAAGGCTAGGATCAATGTTTACTAACTGCTATGTTTCTGCCAGGCACTCGCGGACCAGACTTGGGTGAGCACGCAGAAAACACCAACAGCTAATCTAACCCATCTCGACGGCATGTGGTGGATTCAGGTGCCCTTTTTTTTATCATAGCGTCTGAATACCTCGCTCCCGCAGTTCCCAGAGCTCATTCCCCTGGTTCCCAACCATGTAGGGACACCCCATCCAAGACATCCCGCAATTCTGCGTTAAGACCCAACCATCCCTCCTTCGGCCCTTCCTGTCGACTCCTGTCCCCTGATTCGTGCAAGTCGCAATCGCCAAGATCGGTGCCAGGGTTCTCAGCAAGTCCCTAACTATTTTGCCAATTCTCCAGCGTGGCTGCGTCTGCAACGACCCATTGCGGCTGGGGTACTGGAGTCAGAGGTGTTCCCGTACCCATGCCTGCGGGTTGTCCCGTGCTGCCCGATGCTGTCACAGCAGCATTGAAGTTGTTGGTCTCGCCATTAGCCATGGGATACGCTCCATTGACACCGGCGGCCTCTTCACCAAAGACAACATCTTCCGAACCATCAGCTATTCGCAACCCTGCGAGGCCCCATCCAAGGGCATCCAGTTCCCGTTGAAAGAAATCGCGTTCATCATCGTCAATGTCGTCCAGTCGAACTTCGCTCTCGTCGATATCACCCTCAATTGTTGGTTGCGAGCCTTTCTTCCCTTTCCTTGTCACGTCGGGATATCTCCTTTTCTGCCACCAAAAGGTTAACCCCCTGAGCGCCCACTCGAGCGGCACTGCCTCATCGACCTCGCCCTCAACGTTGGCATCGTGCATGCCTGCCAACCAATCATCCCTCAGCTCTGGCCTGCAGTGCAAGTAGATCGCCGTAATAACTCGCATGTTGCTTTGCCGCCATTTTCGGCCGCAGTAGGGTACTTGTGATTTGAACAGCTTGAGTACATATAACCGCAAGGTCGGGTCCGGGACACGTAGTACTCGGCGCAAGATTTGGGAGGACTTGAACTGAACGAGAAACAGGATGCGGTGAGATTTTCCTCGTGTGAGCTTTTGCAGGACGCGGAGAAGATGGATGGAGGTCTGGAATTGCCGAAAAGAGTAGGTGGTAATCGGACTTGTTGGGAGAGGACCAAGCGGGTTCCCAAGCTCATCGACCGAGGGGTGGGTGTCGGCATCTGAACCTGGCTGCGCCTGTTGTTGTGGATTATTAGGGTCGATAGGGGCTTGGGGATCGGATTGCGTTGTCGGTGACCTCCTGTGGCGCGAAATAGGTGGTGGAACGGCTTCATCCACATCTGAAGCTTCTGATCTTTCGTCTGGGCTCGTGGGTGACAATGGCGGATGGTCTGAGTGAACGTGACAATAGTGCCAAACGCTCAGATCATCCCTGTCGTATCTGAAAGCCACGAGATCCTCCAGGTTTTGATGCGCAAAGTATTTCAGCGTAAGCTGCACGTAGTTAGAGTCCAGGAGGAGCTGGGTCATATACTCGAACTTCAGAATATGAGACACCTTGAACCACTTTAACAGTAGGAATAAGGCGCCAGATACTGCCTGTTGACTGATCTCTCGAGAGCGGATATTATCCAGATCTTCTAGAGTTATTTCATTGGGACGAGGCGGCGGTGGTGGCATCGGTAGCGTCTGGTTCTGGACCATGTTAGAGTTCGACTTTGTGCGGTTCAGGGCTCCGATTTGGCCCGGCTCCTGGACACCCCCATTGCGAATAGCAATATCTTGCACATTGGTGAGCATCACTTTCATCATCACAATGACCAGAGATTGCAGATCCGGAAGGGCATGGTGGAAGAAATCGTCCACTGCCAACATACGGGAACGCAGGTCTGGGTCTTCGAGGGTCTCGAGTTCCTTCTCTTCCTCATTTCTTTCGTCTTGGTCCTCTGTGGAATCATATTTCGTTTCTCCTTTCCACCCTCTTTCAAACTTCATGAATAAATCTCGCTCTCTCCAAAGCTGGCGCATTGCACGTGTCATCCTCATACGACTTGCGAACAATTCTCCTGCCTCGATAATAGAGAGAGGGACGTCACTGCCCTCCCACTTCTTGCCCACCATCATATCCTGAACGCTCGTCGAACCTTTTCCGCCGATATTGTCGCTGGTGCTATCCAGTGGCGGGTAAAGGAATGGAAAGTTCTGGTTGGTCTGATAGTTCTGTTTCTTACCAGCCTTTCCACCAGGGCCAATAGGCGATGGAGGAGGTGAAGGAGCGGGAGTGGCGATGTGCACTGGTTGATGAAGGATCGATCCTCGAGTTGCTGCACCACTCATGCCACCTCCCGCAAACCCTGGGATGTCACCCCGAGACTGAGTCGATAGTGAGGGCAACATGGTCTTCTGCTCAATCTCCAAGGGTATTATGGGCGGTGGCGGGTTGTATGCCGGGTATTTCGAGGTAATTTCCTGTCGGAAAAGGTGATAGTCTAATGGGGATGCTGTAAGCACAGGGTGAGCGGCTTCTGCAGAGAATGGATCCGCACGGGGTTGCAATATGCTTTTGACTTTTTCCAGATGGCCCGAGACGTTCCCAAACAAGAGTAGAATCGACTTCCAGAACAGCTGCAACGCATGCATCAGGGGTATATTGTACAGTTCGTCCCATCGTAAACGTGAAATCATGCCGACAAGAAAGACTAAGAAGTTGGGTTGTAAGACTGAGATCGAATGTCGTAGGGCCTGTCCAGCGGCTGTCTCAATGCGAACCCGGGAAGACTCGATCAAAATATACAAGCAAGAAAGACATAAACTGAGTTCTCGGTACTCGTTTTCTCCGAACGCTCCCTCGGTTGGTTCTTCACCTTCGGCGGCTTGAGGATGGTGGGCCAGGTCTGGAGCCTTTGACGCATGGATCAAGCAACTGTAAAGCTGGGGGATAACCGAGCACTGTTCCATTATGTCCGCACCATTGTGCATCCATTGGACCTGCGCCACATTACACCGGTCGTCCTCAGACTGAGAGAGGGACTCTTCATCGGCAACAATCTCTTTCGTCTCCAGTCCAGAGGTGTTGCTCCACGCCCCCATCAATATATAGTAGATGCAGCACAGCGCCTCGATGCGTAGATTGTAATCCTCATCGTCCAGATCACTGACAAGACCCGAGACGAACTTCCGTCGCTGGTCTTGACTAACAGCAATCCATTTTGAGTCGTCGGAAATCGATTCTGATTGGCAGAAGATTTTCCACCTCTGCTCGAATGCTTCAAGAGACGTTAATAGATACTGTCGGTCCTGCTCAAGCTCGGTGTAATGAAACCACTGATCAATCTCGCGCTCAAAGTCCTCAGCATCCTGATAGTGGAAAGCGTAGGGAGTTTGTTCGACTTTTGGAAATTGCCCCACCAGCTGCCTTAACTGTGGAAGGCTTAGAGAGTCTGTGGGATCTGGCTGTGATGGTGGAGCTGGTGGTGGTTGTGAGGGAGGTGGAGGGGGAGCCGCTGCTGAACCCTCACGCCGTAGAATTGGTCGTTTAGGTTTCGGGTCTACCTCGTCAACACTGATGTTATCCATGATAATCCGGCGCAGCCGGAGGTGCACAGTAAGTTGCGAATGAGAAGCTATATGAAGAAAATAACGAGACCGCCAGATGGAGTGGTAAACAAAGGTTGACGGTCAGTTCATCAAAGGTCGCGACTCGTCGATATGCCAAGCTTTGGTCTGGGTTGGCATCTTGCCCCCGATGGGGACAAGTGTGATGCCGCCCTATGATTGCCCCTGATTTGCCGTGGGGGTTGCTCCGCTGGAACATGAGTGCATTAAAGCAGCAGTTTATTGACAAAGACCATGTGATGGTGAGCCGATAACGGCCCTCCCCACACTTCTATCACACACCACAAGCCACTCACTACCTTTCTCGGTCAAGGCTCTCGACCATGTTCCACTCAGGGCAGTACCTTTCTGGAAATAACCCTGATGTCCAAGGGTGATGGCATTGTTTGGCCTGATGCGACAGTGCGGGACAAGAAAAATTCGATAATATAAACGCCAAAGGAACTAACGAGAGAAAGCAATTTAATGAGCATATTGGAGATCATACTCTCTATTTCGGACTTGAATGTCTCTGTGCCTGGTATCGCGACTCTTCGGGCTTTCTCCTATAAGACAATTGGGATTGTTGGACTTGCAATATCGTCGGTCCTGTAAATGGGGTGGTATCTCCAGCAGGGAACAGCCGAAGACAAGAGTCCCAGCCTAAGGGTCCAGCTTAATGTTGGCTCACAATCTTCAACCACATCTTTGACAGCATGTCCGCTATCCTCTGCAAGATGTAATTCACAGACTCAGGCTGGTACGGAGGCAGCAATATGTCCGTAAGTTTTGAAAACATGCCAGCGGGTCTTCCATTAGACATTCCCTCGAGATCATAGATCAAGTCGTCACGAAACAGATGGCATGCGCCATGAGGAAGTTACAAGGTGAGCAGGATAAAAGCTGTCAGACCGTGGTGACCTCCAAGGGAGCTGTGGGTAGTCCATGCCATCTTTTGTAGCCGATGTTGGAAATACTTTGGTCCTTTTACCGCTGCCATCGAACAGGACATCCATCCATCGCTGTCGTCCCCTCACGGATACAGTGCAAAGCACGTGGAAGCACTGTCAAGATAGTGGGGGAGGCTTCAGTTTTGTTCGTAGCTGCGGGTTGGTATCTTCATCGACGTCTTCACGAGCAGCAGTTTGTCAGCTCATACTGCGGATGCGGTTGTCGAACTGGTCATCCAGGAAACAGTATGATATCACCGTGGATATCAGACGTCCATGAGATTCGAGTCAGCAGAGGATAGGTTCCTGGGGTCATCGGAGGCAGTTCTAGATTTCCGGCTCTTCAACTGAGGGATTTTTCGTTGACGGTGTCCTGGCCACTGTTACGCTCTTCTCTTTCTGCTTGTTTCATGAATTCTTTCGCCTGCGTCAGAAGCTCTTGTTTCATTCCCAATTCCACGGCGTCACTCGCCCGGGCATTGAGCCAACTAGGGTCGAGAGGACCACCGCCCACTCTGGTCAAGTTACTGTCTCCACCCGTGGCTCGGCCTCTTCTTGTATCTCTGTCATCCCCGGATCGGATTAGGTCGGCCTCTTCCAAAGCATAGACTTGACGTCGAAGTCGGACTTCGATCGAGGAAAGGGTAGAGAAGTAGGACTCGGCCGCTGCTGAAAATGCTTCCCGGGCGTTGACCGATGAGCGTAGAGCCGTTTCCTGCTTTCCAGAATTAGGCGAGTTCGATAAAATGCCAACAGCATCGGAGGCCGCAGACAGAAGGGTAGAGATAGATCGGTCGATCTCATTCAATTCTGCAATTCGAGTCGCAGGCGTAAAGGTGGTGAGTTTGCTGTCGCTGGGCTGGTCAACCTCCATGGCTGCAATCGCGAGACTGACTGTGTAAGCGGCGTGTCGATACTCTGTGCATTCTCTCAGCTTTACAAACCTGTGATAACGATCGTGCTCAGAAGGAGTCCGTAGAGCCGTGAAAGGGCATTGTGAATTGGGACAAGGCAGTGAGGCCGCTCAGGGAAAGTTATCCGAGCCCTCCAAATTTGGCGAAGCCGTCAATATCAGAATCACGTAAACCAACACCAACTTCCATGTCACAGTCCAGACTCTTGCATCACCTCACCACCCGCGATCGCCAGCTCCTGCGTCTCTAGTCACTCTCTTCCTCAGATATAGTCTGACTCTCCATCATCCTAGACAAATTTGTCAGTGCATGAGCGAAAATCAATCATGTCGGCGCCCAGCCCAGCGCCACGGAGCGCAAGTACTGGGCCAAATGGTCCCCTGGTCACCCCTACCTCTGCTCCTCTGGTAAATGGCGTCGGAAATGCGCCTGGCCCTGCGCCTTCAGCGCCCACAGCTAGCGCAACAGGAGGTGCCGGAGGAGGAATGTCGCAACAGAACCTCAATCAAATTGTGAGCAGTCCATTTTCTCTGGTTTTACAGTGTCCCTTTATCTTCAATGTTGCCGTGTCTTTGATGTTGTTGTTGAAGAGGATCACACTTTGCCGTCGACCCGTTTGGGCGGTTGAAATGCTTGGCAATTATGGTCAGCGACAGCAACGGGAAGGTGAAGCAGGTTGACTGTCACATGGTCGCACCAAGGGTTGATGGATTCATGCCGCACTTCTTCCCAGAAGGACTTGGTCTTTGTCTACAAAACAATCCATCAACCAGACATCAGCCATCTTGCTTCAGGAGCCTGCTAGACACGTCGGAAGTCGCTGTGACCTACCTGGACACCACCTCTCAGCATGGATCTGAGTCCTCGACCACGAGGGAGACCACGTAAGAGACGCAAGCCACACGAAGCCGATCTCGAAGCCGCAGCACCTGGACCATCTTCGGTCAACCTGTTTCACCCTTACGCCTATCTCGAGGATATCGAGAAACAGGAAGAGGCCAAACGTGAGGCCGAACGTGATACAAGCCCGGATTATATGCCTCGTTTCTCTGCTGCATGTTCACGTTTTCGTAAATTGCTTCGGTGACAAGTTCTAACGGCTTTTTCAGGTGATTGATTACCTCGCGAAGAAAGGCTACCACAGAACAGAAGCCACTCTCCGAGCAGAGTCGGCAAATCAAGAAATTCCCAAAGATGCAGAATTGAAACCAGCACCTTCGGGCCCTCCACGCTACTACGAGATGTTTGCTCGACTACATGCATGGACAGATGATGCTCTCGATATCTACAAACCCGAAGTAAAACGCCTGCTCTGGCCCATCTTCGTCTACTCATACCTGGATCTGGTCAAACTATTCTATCCAAAGGAAGCCACTCGGCTGTTTCAGAAATTCTCTGAGGATTTCAAGAAGGAGCATGAATACGACCTGCGAGGGCTCGAGCACATCACGTTGTCAGAACATGGCGAAGACAAGATTGCAAAGATTTACCGAGACAATAAATACCGGCTGTCCCTGAGTAACCCTGCCTACGTCTACTTTATGCAGTTTCTCGAGAGTCTGCCACAGGTGGGCTACAAACTGTTCATGGCGATTGTGGAGAACCATCTGGATCTACGGCAAGTCGAGCGCGCAGCGGACGATCGCTTCAGTTTCGCGTCTGTAATTCAACGAGGAATCGACGGCCAAGATATGCCCGCCGAGGATGAAGGTATCCCAGGACACAAACCAGGAAATGCGATATCATCAACAGACCCGAATGTGGGAAACAATCTCGCGACCCTCAAACTTGGCAAATTGCCTATGGAAAAAGATGCCGAAGGAGACGTCCGTGCTGAACTTGAAGAACTCGATTTGCAGATGCCCCCTCAACCGGGACAACCTACATTGGTTCAAACTCACGAGCTGGTCAACATCAAGCAAGAAGACGAAGATGAGGGACCGAATCGAGCTGAAATTCCGTTCCCAGCATCTACTGCGCGAGACGTTGCCATGGAGGTCCAAAAGATTCGTGAAAACCGCGACCGTCTCAAAATCGAGTCCCGTACTGGTGGGATTGGGCCAGGGCTAAGCGTGGTCATGTACACGTTCCATAATACTCACGACTCGATCTGCTGTTTGGACTTTAGTGGTGATCAGAGATTGGTTGCTGCCGGCTTCTCAGAGTCGTACATCCGTGTATGGACGTTGGATGGCACAGCACTCGGGCCCCCAGCGCCGAACGGCCAGCAGCAAAACTCTCAACGTCTCATTGGTCACTCTGGACCTGTGTACAGCGTCTCCTTCGCTCCCGCAACTTTCAAGCCTACCCCAGATTCCGCAGACACAGATGCAAAATGGCTCTTGTCATGTTCCGCAGATGGCACGATCCGTCTTTGGAGCATCGATCTCCTTCAGTGCATGGTTGTGTACAAAGGTCACGTCGGCCCTATCTGGTCTGTCGTCTGGGCTCCATTTGGACATTATTTCGCATCATGCGGCCACGACAAGACGGCAAGAATCTGGTTCAGCGAACAAATTCGCCAAGTGCGGATTCTAGCAGGTCACGACGACGACGTGGATGTGGTAGCCTGGCATCCCAACTCAAACTACGTGTTTACTGCCGGTTCAGATAAGACGGTCAGAATGTGGAGCTTGAATAACGGGAATGCCGTCAGAATGTTCACAGGCCACACGTCGGTCATCACAGCCATATCCTGTTCTCGAGATGGCAAGATTCTTGCATCGGCAGATGACACCGGTGTCATACTTTTGTGGGATCTGTCGCCTGGACGACTGCTCAAGAAAATGCGCGGCCATGGCAAAGGGGGCATCTGGAGTCTGAGTTGGTCTGTTGAATCATCGGTGCTGGTGAGTGGCGGTGCGGACTGTACTGTTAGAGCATGGGATGTTACCGGTCCGGCGAAGGAAGCTGCTTCAACCTCCACTGCTGCCGGCGGGGCAAACACGAACAAAGCAGGTGATGGTGCAACATCCACACAGAGTGGAGGTGTTACGCAGGATGGAGCTCCAAAATCCGCCGGCGGTGCCAACGCTCCAACGTCGAATCTCAACCTCACTTCGGGCACATCGACTGGCGCGGCGGGTGTGGGCACCGGCGTTGGCAGTACGGGCGTCAGTGGTGTTAGCGTCAGTGGAATCCAGGGTGGTAAGAGACGCGGTAAGGACGCGGTCGTGACCAGCGATCAAATCAGTGCGTTCCTCACCAAGCAGAGTCCTGTCTACACCGTCAAGTTCACCAACATGAATCTTGTCATTGCTGGAGGCGCCTACCTCCCGGAGCAGGCCAAATGAAGTTGCATGACAAATACGGCGGCAACGTCGACTCACAAGTTGCTGGGCGATTACTACGGAAGTGGAAAAGAGGTACATCGAAAGAATTGAACATATTGTTCAGTTGTCAATAATGTGGCGAAACACGAAACGTCGGTTGGACGAGGCACTACACCGTGCTTTCAGGTTATGGCATTTGTCAGGGTGGCTGGAAATCGGGTGCTGGGGAGTTTGGAGAACATGGCGAAACGGGCGGTGGGCGGCAGGTGGCATGGATCGTGTGTGGCTGCGTGTGCGGCTGCGTTTGTCGTTAAATGCATGGATGGCTAGGACGGCAGCAGAGCAAAACACGGTGGCATGAACTCTTGCATATCGCGACGGGCTCTATGGTTCTACGGTTCATTCATCCATGGTTGAGATTGGGCAAGGAGAGAAGACGAGATGAATCCGAGCTGAGCTGAACTGAGAAGAGCTGAGCGGTGTTCGTTGGCCGTGACACAGCAAAGTCATTGTCACTGAGTTGGAGCTTTGCTTGGGGGTGTTGGGACTGGGTATTGGGGCCACATGTCCTGATGGGCGATGGCCAAGAGCTATCTTTTTGCGACCTGCTCCCCCCCATTCCTCGAATGATATGATATGATAGGATAGGATAGGCCTGACCTGGCCTGTACCGGGATTTAGGTACTCTATGCGTGCAATGCATGCTTCAAGTGTAAACAGATCCAATCAATCAATCAATCAATCAATTAATGAATCAGCATTCATGATTCAACCATTCAATTCGTCTTCCGAGTAACGCTACACCAAGCCACTTATATCCCCCTCATCGTCGAATCCACATATATGTGTAGTGGGACATATGTAGATAGAGAGACAGATCGTCATGGCGACGATGGCAGACGCGGTATGCATGGTTCCTTACCAACCTAGCTGATTGTGGTATATTTTCTTCTGCCGCAACGCAAGATTACCGGGCTCCCCCTCCTCTTCCGCAAATTCCCTGTACGTCTTAGCGAATAACCCCCACATCCAAATTCACCTGCACCGTCACATTCGTGTTTCAGCGTCTAAAAACCCACGCAAACGGCAAGCCAGCCTGGCCCCGCAGCGCGGCGACGTAGTACAGGACGCCAAAAGCCGCACCACCCAGATGTGCCGCGTGGCCGGTCGTCGAGGCCCGGTCGTCGAGCCGCGCCGAGTCGTAGACGGTGTAGAGCACCATCAGCAGCCAGACGGGGACGGGGACGACGCCGAACAGGAGGACCTTGAAGCGCGGGGTGGCGAGCGAGACGGCGGCGCCGAGGCCCATGACGACGCCGGAGAGGCCGAGCGCTCTCGTTCCTTGCGGTTGTCGCCGCTGCCGTTGCCACTGCTGTGTCTGCTGTCTCTGCGCAGCCTGGTACAGAAACGCCGCGTTGCCCGACACGGCAGAGCCCAGAATCAGCACCGCGTACCGCACGGGCCCGATGCCGTAGGCGAGGAGCATGCGCGAAAACGTCGAGAAGGCGAACAGATTGCCCAGGATGTGGTACGTCTGGACGTGGCTGAACGCCGGGGTGACCAGGGTCCACCACCTGTGCTGCTTGACGTCGTCCAGCTTGACGGTGAAGTGCGTGACCAGGTCGTCCAGCATTTTCCGCCGTGGGGAGGAGGGCGCACTGGGTAGTGGTCTTCGGGCACCGTCTGGATACTGCTGCGGTGGTGGTGGTGGTACGGGTAGATTGCCCATGCTCCAATGCCATGCCGTCCAGATACCGAGACAGGTAGCGATGCCTTTTTGCGCACACAAATGCGTGGGGGGCTCGAGTTAGATTTTCCGAGTATACCAGGAGATGATCGGGGATGGCCTCCCAGCAGAGATGGCCACTTACAAGAATACATAATCACCCTGCTGCCCAGAAACCCTCGAAATGGAAGCTCCGGAGGCAATGGTCCTCGCACCTTCGACGAAATCCCTCTGCGAGTCCTCTCCAGACTGCGCAGCGAGTATCCCGGCCAGTCGAACTCGTTCAGCCTCATTGTCAAAGGCTGGTTAAGGAACTGGGTTAGTTGCATGATGACGAGTAACAAACTAACCACCAATTCGATTCGCGGTATGACCTAGGATGGATTCTATGCTAGCGGGGGAACCAGCACCACAAGAAAAAGCCGCTTCCATAATTAGAGCAAACAGCTGGGGTCAAAGGTCAAGTTTAAAGTAGCGCCCAAGAAGGCGGTCGGGAGTCATTCCTAATCGGGACAATATCTCAGCCTCGCGCAGCCTCGCCATCAAGTCATGGCTGGTTTACTCTCAAATAGCAAAGACTCCCTCCCGTGTGCTTCTAAACACTGTAAGCTCTATAAAAGACTGAAAATATACATACGACACTAAATGTATACAAACAAGACTCTTGTACGGCGCCATGAACTCCCAGAAACGATAGACACCAACTAATACCAGCCGCACACGAACAAGATACAGCCGTTTCCCCTTGGAGATGCTCGAGACCATCAGAGCAAACAAAACGTCCCAGACGATATGACCTACTGCAATATCCCGCTCTGTCAGCTCCTTGCAGTCTCAGAGGAGCCCGGTTGTCGGCCTCCCCCTGAATCACGCCTTGAGGGCTATTCTGGTACAGGTCTTCGACCTGCCTCCCTGGTGCCCATCCGTCACCCGGCTCCGACTGCCTTGCCTGCGACTCTACCGCTCATGTCTCAGCAGACTGCCTCTGTTTATTACACTGTTATGATGCGAGTTTGCAAACAGTCCAGGGGCGGGACTGCCTTGCCGGCTTCTTGTACCTCTACCACCGTGCCCGTCTAGCCCGGGACTGCCGGGCGGTTGCGCACTGGACCCTCGAGTCTGAATGCCACGATTTCGCTTCAAGTGGCGATTCTCATCTTCTAGCTTTCGGAGACGCGCATCCCGCGATTTGCATTCCAATTCCAGTTCGCCGATCTTGTCGAGATGTTGCTTGATAGAATGCTGGTGGTTGGTCTCCTTGAGGCGTCGTTTCTCCGAGTCCGCCAGCTTGCGCAGGGTTGCAATCTCTTCTTCCAGGCCCCTGATTTGGTTGGCAAACTCGGCAGCCTTGTTTGATGCCTCCTGGTATTGAGTCCGAGTGAATTCGAATTCGTTGCGGTTGTTCTCGAGGGCTTTCTCCAGTTCAGTATTACGCGCACGGAGCGTGCGAGCTTCTGCCCGGGCGGCTTCTACGGCCGCCGCATCGCCGCCGCCGGCCTCGATCTCCGCCCGCGTGTTAGCCAATTCTTTCCGCAAATCGTCATTCTTCCGCTTTAGAGTGGCATGCTCCTCTGCAATTCTTTTGTTTTGGTTTCTAGTGTTTTCCACCATTGTTAGGGTTTTCTTGTTCTGCTTTTCTAGTTCGTGGCACTTCATCATTCGTTTCTCGTAACGGTGTTGTAGGCCGGCATGGTCTTGTTTCCACTGTATCAGCTGTTCCTGCAGATTGTCTCGATCCTGTTCCGCTTTTCGTCGGGCCTCTTTTTCCGATTCCAGGTCTGCCTCCAGCTTCTTGATTTGATCTCGGAGTTGTGTAACTTGGTTCGGGTCAATCCTGCTACTCGACTCGGTCGAATCGCGAAGAGGCGTAAGACGTTGTCGCTTTTGTAGCGCCGGGAGAACCCCGTCGGCCTCCAGCAAGCGTTTTCTGCCCGAGGGAGTGTCGGCACGGGATAGAGGAGTCCTAGATCGAGTGAGGGGCTCCCTTGGCGTCCCTGCCCTGGTATTAATGCCACTACGCTTGGGAGGTGTTTCTTTGTAATCTGTCAACTGCAACGGCGGCATCATGCTGTTCGTGTTCCAGACGGCATCAAACTCGGGCGAGATAGCGGCCTGCATGACAACGCTGGCAAGAAACGCAAGCTTCCGTTCAGGGCTCTTCTTAATAGCCCGCTGGAGGTCGGAAAAGTCCATGGATCTGCCCTCTGGTTCATCCGACGCACGAGGTAGATATACCGGCTTTCCCCCAAGATTCGGCCATGCTTGAAAGGTGGCTCGGACCAGCGCCTTCAACCTCATGGGAGATGGCATACTTTTTGGCAGACAGCGGTCGACGTGCTCAGACGAGTTTGCAACCAGCAAATGGAGGACCGGCATGAGATTAGGATGTCTCTCAGAGAAATGCGCCCGTATGCGTCGGATCTGAGGATCTTGAGCGTCGAAAGAAGCATCAAAAGCGATCATCAAGATAGGCCTGCTGTAGATGGAGACTTGATGTGTTGACCATGTGGTGACCAGTTCAACCTGGAAATCTGTACTGAACCGATCTGGAACTGGTGCCTTGGAGCGGCTCATTCGGTCCTGTCGGTTCACAGCGACTTGCTTCATCTTGAGATAATCCTCAATGAGATCTTGAACCGGGCCTTCTCGAGCCATGATGATAATCGAGCACCCAATGTTTTTCATGATATCAACGAGGTGCCCAAGAAAGGAGAATTTCGAGCCTGCATAGTTTGCATACGCCGCATGTTCCTGCGAGTTGCCTGGGTAGTGGGTGGGTATGCCCGGTAAGCCAAGATCCATATGTGTGACCGTGTCGTGCAGGTGGAGGATCATTTCATTCATTTCGTTTCTTTCGTGACTATGAGTGAGAGATCGGCTTGACGACCCAACGGAATCGTGTCTACCAAGAAACTTCTTGATGGACTTTTCTTTTGATTTAATAATGTCCGAATATGTGGACTGTATCCTGCCCTCGCAGGGAAGTGCTATCGCATATTCGGCGAGACCAAGTATGGGCACGCCAGTTGGGAGCAACCCTGCCACTTGAGGCACATCCCGTTCGTTTTCGACGGATTGCTGACTTGAACTTGCCTTGGATTCGGATGAGAACTGCTCTCCGCTGGAAGTGTGTTCTTCGTCTTCTATCGAGGCTTGGATTGGAAGTGCACTTCCCCCGAGGGTATCATACGTCGACGTTGCGGTATCGTCAGCACGGTCAAGTTCAGGCTCCGGGGCATCCACCACCGTGGGATTATTGATCGTATCGATTGGGAAGTCCATGTGGCAAGGACTTTGTCTCGAGTCAGGAGTTCCTTTCAGGCCAAGATACGTAGGGTCCAAAACTGGCGCGCGAAACGCGAAATTGTAGCACACCCGGAGTTTCTCTAAATCTGGAGGAAGACGTTCTCTGGCCAGAAAATCGGAAGATCCAGTCCCACTGTGTGACTGTTGCAGAGGCGATGTCTGTGTTGCAGAGTCGACAGGTGCACCTTCAACAACGCGACTATCAACAGCAAGTTTCTCAGCGGAATCTCGACCTTGGGGTCCTTTCGCTGGGGATGTTGGCCCCTCAGGCGGGTGCCCCTCCTCAGCCGACGGGGCAGAGACTCTTGGATGCCGTTGGGTATTGAGCCCTCCGTCACTCCTGGATTCCTGTTCTGAAGCCCGTGAACAGGGACGGGTGGGGTTAAGGGCGGAAGCTTCAAAACTGCCAGAAGGCGGGTGCGATATGGGCGCCGGTGGTTCGGGTGTTCTCTTGCACGACGATGGACTGAAGTTCGTTAGATCTTCTTGTCGTGATCCTGAGAGTGTATGCGGAGGAGTTGATAGCCTGGATTCTGACGCCGATCTCGCCGCTAGCAAGCTTTCCGGCTCTGCTTGCCGCTGTGATCCTGTCGCTGCGCTTGTCGCTGCGCCTAGCTCTGCGGCCGAGTTTGTCGCTGGCTCTGGTTTCCACGGTGGTTCTGTCTCCGCGCTTGCACCTGCAGTTGGCTCTGCTGCGGGCTCAAATGCCTGAACTGAATCTGTTTCAGGACCTAGATCAAGTGCAGATTCTGCCCTTAGGTCTGATTCTGAGTCTGAGTCTGAGTCTGACCCCGGCTCAAACTCTCCGTCCGACCCTGCGTCTGACCTTGCCTCGGACACCGGCGCTGGGTTCGAAAGAGACTGAGGGACACTGTCTTCTCGCGTTGACTCGGATTCTGGTAGGATTGACGGAGTCGAAGGCGTATCACGCGCACTGATTTGGCTCTGTAACCGAGTCACACGTCGTTGACCAATTTGACTGTTGTCCTCTTGCACTCGACGGCTTGCGCGGCGTTTGCTCGCTGCAGTCTTTCTACTCGTTCCTTCTTCTGGGTGTTCCGTATTGCTCTTGCTCTGCCGGGCGTGTTCGCTCCTTGCCTTCCTGATAGCCCAATAGTCCGCGATAACCTCTTCTGAAAGGGCGTCGGCTTGCACCTGTGACCCCAATTAGAGTGACTCGGCAAAAGATGCTGCATTTCACATACCCACTCTGGCGCGAAGGCCTCGTTGGTCTCAGGATGATCTGTCCACTGCACCTTGAATTCAAAAGTGTTCTTCTTGCGACCCCGACGGTGGTTCAACACCGTCTCGATAGGCCAACTACCCTCGCCTGCTTGCTCGAACCTCGGGTACTTGGCCCGCAGGCGTTCGCACTCCCCGGGTGAGGGATCTCGTTTGGTGTACTTGGGCTGCTTTTGGCGCTTGGGGGGTCTGGCGTCTGCTGTGCTGGAGGTGCGGGCACGCTTCTTCATTATACTCAGTGGGCGTGGAAATTTGAACAAAATGGGATCATGATCAGCCCAAAGATCATAATGAGCTGGAAGAGACGGCGGAACCAATGAGCAATGGGGAAATGCGTTGTGTTTGAGTACAAGTACACGACTTAGACTGGAAGGTTGTTTATGGATGGTTTGAGAGATGCAGCCACTGGAGGCCGGCGACTGCGGTTGGCAGCCACGGGGTTGCGGTATAGGCAACTTAGCCGAGCCCATGCAAGATCACGGCGAAGAAATTTGTGTGCGCGAGGGACATTGAATTTTATCGTCTATATCAGCTGAGGTCCACTCTTGCAAGAGATGGTCCAAGTTCGAGCACATTTCCCCTTCATTCAACAATCAGCTTGTTCAAACATGTCCAAGTCTCTATCCTCAGCCTGCTCTCGCCATTTCACAAAATCAAACCCCAGCTCCTCTATTGTCCTCACATGGACTCGAGCCTCGCCCTTCTCAGTATATGCGGCCTTGATGTCAGGAAATCGAGACCTCATCCAGACTTGTCTCTGATCCCACCGTGTGCCCAGCTTCCCTGCGCCGTCATTCTGCAGTCCGTTCTTCTTTCTCGCTTGCAGCGCCCACGCATAGAGCTCGTTGACCTGCTTCGCATCTTCGGGAAACTTCTTGACATGGAAGTACTTGCCATCACCTTTCTTGTGAACTGTTTCGTGCTCCCAGTCTCGCATCTTGGCTGGTGACGGCAAGTCAAGTCGACCACTCCACACCCGAGCCACCACGGCAGCCTGATTCTGGGAGAGTGGGAAAGGAATAACCTTTAGATTGATTACGGGAAATGCCAGCGTTGGATGGTCGATGCTGAACAAGTGCTGATATGTGCCTCTTGCGCGGAAGCCGTCTGTGACCAGTGGAGGCAGCACACTGGATAGAAACGGGTATGAATAGAAGTATCCGGTCGCAAACACAACAACATCGACATCCTTCTCAATGCGGCCACTCTTGAACCGCACCGCTTTGGAGGTGTCGTGGTCAGGGGGGAGAAACTCGACGATTTCGTCAACGTCTTCCCTGTACCCCCCTCCAGGCAATACCCCGAACGCTGACACTGATCTTGATGAAAGCAAGACAGGTTTCTGACAGTACTTCCCTATTTGTGCGGCGATATCCAAACCTGAAGCGGAGTTTCCGACCACAATGACTTTTTGATCCCTGAAAACTTCGGGTCTCCGATAAGCTTTAGAGTGAATAATGGCTTCAGGGTACGCCGCATTCCATTCCGCAACACCTTTGATGGCTGGAACATATGGGACGGTATAGTGTCCGTTGGCCACCACCACCGCGTCGTACACAGTTTGAGAAGCTTCTTTCGTGAGGAGATTCTGGGTCGTCAAATGCCATCTTTCACGCTCGTTACCGTGGTCTTTGACGGGCCGCACATCTATGACCGCTGTATTGAACCGAATCAACTCTCTGACTTCGTCCGCGTAGTGGTCCAGGTACCTCAACACAGCCTGATGACTCGGGAACAGGGGTTCTTCCTCTGGAAACGGCATGTCGGAGAACGCCATGAGGTGTTTGGGTATGTTTGTTTCGAGATAGTCGTACAGCGGCGACTCAAACTCTAGCGAGTTTGTGGTGTCGTCGTCGCCATTCTCATTCTCATCTTGTGTTCTTGGTATTAACACCCGCTGCCCATAGAGCGGATCCGTCTGTGGTATGGGAATCCGCTTCGACCGGTCTGGCAACGAGAGATTCCAGATCCCTCCAACCCGTCCGCGCTGCTCGTAGATGTCGATTGTCGCAAACGCGTTTTCGGCAACCAAGTACTTTGCGGACGAGACGCCCACGGGACCGGCTCCTATGATGGCGATGCGCGATATCGGTGGTATTGCAGAGCTCGTATCGCCGGCATCGCCCATTGTTTATTGGAGACCAGTTGCGATATGTATACCTCGTACCGACTACACGTACTAATATTGTGTTTTGTCGCTTCTTGAAGTGAAGTAACACAATGCAACGCAAAACGCTAGCGTCGTGGCTGTGGACTGGACACCACTGACTATTAGCCGATGAGACAAAGCACCAGCCAAAAAAAAAAAAAGAAGTTACTTGTTCTTGATAGAGTACATAATGTAGGGTGATAGTGCTCAGCGAAATCTGCGGGTGTTTACGGCCGGTCGATCTCGGATGTTCGTGGCTCGCTAAGTGGCAAATGAACATGTACATATATAATTGGCTAGGCAGATACCCATGTACTGTACGAGTGAGCGTATCAAACCATCCATGGACGACGGCTACGAAAATTCTATACCTTGTACATACCAGGCAGACATTGTGTCATGGATCCTGGGAATGGGAAAGCGGGGGAAATAATGGTCGTACCTGAACCCGAATACGATACGTACACGCGACAATGACGAGAAGCTTTAAGTTTGATTTCACCGTCATTCAACCCCCAATGGGCTTTTACCCTCTTCCTTCCCACATTACTCGATAGCGTACTCTTCCTCAGCACGACGCCAAAAAGAGAGGCTGATATTGACTGCGTGATATTAAATCTCCCCCACCACTCAACCACCGACTAAGACAGGGGCAGGGCAGCGCATTTCTACGCCTCTACAAACAAAGAGTCCGACAAATGGCCCCTCGGACGAGGCAAAGAACCAGATCGTCCGCTGCAACTATAGCTATAGCCACAGAGAAAGGCACGAAAGCGAAGGCAAAATCCAAATCAGCGGTGGAAAAGGAGTCCTCGCACCTGGAGGAAACAGGGAAGGGTGAGGCTCGTCCTGACGAGGCTCTGGGCGACGAACCAGATCCTACAAAGACCAAGGAAAAGTCCAAGAGCACTACGAATACAAAAACCACTCCTGCCAACACCACCAACAACACTCTCCCTCCGACCCTTAATCTCGTCTTCCCCACTCATAACTTCACAGAATTTACAATCGCCACCCCCAGTTCAGCCGCCAAATCGGCGAAATCGCCATCAACATCGACCAAGACCACCCCCTGTCAGCGCAGCCATGCAGTGCCTCACCCGACATCACTAATTTTCACGCACGGCGCAGGAGGCGATCTCTCTGCGGCAGCTATGGTGAATTTCTCCCGCGGCTTCGCGGGCACGGGCTCGGCGGTGGTCATGTTTCAGGGGAACATGAACGTCAAGGCCCGGGCGGGGCTGTTTGGAGTGGTGAAAGAATATGAGATTGAGCATGGGTCAATCATCTCGGCTGATCAAGATAAGGGCAGTCCCCAGGGAAAAAGCAGTGTGAATGTGTCAGGGAAGAAGAGAAAGGTCACTGCGGTCAGCACTAGCACTTCCACTTACTCCAGCTCCCCTTCCACCTCAGTGGCCTATGGCGGACGAAGCATGGGTGCCCGTGCGGCTGTGATCGCATCACACACAGACCACGGCATCAAAACGCTCGTGCTAGCCTCATACCCGCTCGTCAGCCCTAGCGGGGCCATGCGCGACCAGATCCTCCTCGACATCCGCGCGGACGTCGACCTGCTGTTCATCTCCGGCGATCACGACACCATGTGTCCACTCGACACCCTACAAAACGTCCGGGCGAAGATGAAGGCTCGCACGTGGCGAGTTGTGGTCGACGGCGCGGATCACGGCATGAATGTCCGTGGAGGCAAGAAGCTCAAGGAAGGGACGGAGAGGGTGGGCGAGGAGTGTGGTCGGATCGCTGCAGAGTGGTTGCGGGAGAGGGACCTGAATAGGCGCGAGATGACGGTGTCTTGGGATGGTGAGACGGGGTCGGTCCGCGGGACGGTATGGGTAGGGCGGCAGACTGGGTCGACACAAGAGCAAGGTGGGACATCGAAACGAGCGAATAAAAAGGACGATAGTAGTTCTGGAGACAACGAAAAAGTGGACGAGCCTGAGAGGGTCGGAGTGAAGCGGAAGAGGACCAAGAAGTGAGAGAAACTTGGGGGGGGGGGGGGGGGGGGGAAGATGAAAGCGATTCGAAACAAAAAGTCCCGAGCATCGCAGCAAAGAGCACTCGAGTGGTCACTTGCCCAGCGGATCAGGATGGCTTGCACCGATACCTGCTATATTTTCTGGAACAGCCGCTGTGAAACTTTCACAGGAAGTGAGCTTAGACAGAGCAGCAAAGTCATAGGAGATTTGTAAGAAATAATGTAATTCTCCCGAGGCGCGCAGGGTCGGGTCCGGTGTCAGTGTAATATTATGATAGGATATTCTGCACGAGCGGCGCTTCATGAGTAAACAAGTAAAGTCTTCGAAATCCACAGCAGGCAGTTGCCGTAGCGCTTGTAAATTTCTGGGAGATATCCATCATAATTTCCAGTCGATGCCTATCGCTTCGTCTAAAGTACAGTTCAAAAGTTCAGGTCGCGTTATTCGTGCAATCAAAGGCACCCTCCTTACCCACTAAGTAGGGAGAATGCCCAAGCTATCTATTCACTTCCCCGTCCTCAACCGGATCGGATCAGATTGAGACACCGACTGATACTGGGTGTGGCGCTTATGGCGGATGAAGAGGATGCTGGCGACGGTCACGGCAGCCATGATCGCGATGCTCCCTATCGCCAGTCCGCCAAACAGCGCTGGGCCGATGCTCTCCGAGGCGGGCTGACGGGGAGTCGCGGGGAAACTGGGGGTGAAACGTGTTGCGGTAGAGGTCCTTCCCGTCGCCGAAGCAGCGGATGGAGCTGCAGAAGATGTAGCCATAATGGTTGACCCCGTCTCGACGACCGTGATGGAGATACTCGCTCGGAGCACCGTCATGATATAGTTCTTCTTTGTGGTGCATATCCACGCTGTCGAACCGCCTTCCAACAGGAGTTGTCCGCAGTATGGAGCCCGACTCGAGCTAGAGAAACTATCAGTCAAGCGCAGATGATGGGCTGAGCTTGGGGGGTTAGAGGCTTTACCAGTCCAAAGTATTTGGTGGCTCCTCGGTCGTCGTGCAGGATGATATGTCAGGGTCGCAGGTTTCAGAGCTTGTGTAGTCCCGACACGTTGTCGCTATATTGGTGCAGTTGTATGGCAAGCAGCATCCCACGAAAGAATTCAATCGCGCACAGGTGCGTGAGCTCTGACAAGTAAGTGGTATATCTAACCGGTCTCTCGAGTCAGTACTGTAACGAATCACGAGAAACAAATACTCCCGTGTGTCTGTGAAAATGGCACTTCAGGTGAACTTACCATAATCTCCAGAGAGGAACCCACAAGTATCTTTTGGAGCTGGTGCAGAGGTCGTCGCCCGAGGTTGCAGCGATGTCTGATAAATGTACTCTGCATCGTATGGCGGCAGTCCTACTCCGTCGCCGCATACAAACTGTGGCAGTAATACGACAAGGAACGCATAGAACAGTAACAGCGACCTCTGTAATTGACTGCTACGGTCGAAGGACATTTCTGTGCCGACCAATAGAGACTTTGTTGCGCTATCTGTGAGTTGCAAAGATGTATATCGACAAAAGAAGTCAAACGAACATATCCCAATCTAGAAAGTCACGATGAAGAAAGAACTTGGCTTTCAGATAGCAGATTCTCATGAGCCCCACGAGACTTAGGAACGAGCCTCTTCTGCATGGTCTCGCCGCGCCGTCGACGATCGAACATGTTGGTTGGTCGTGAAGCGAACGAGGCTCGGCAGCTGAAAGAAAGCTGGGCCAGACCCGAGGTTTCCCATTGGGATTCCAAGACCAAAATACGCGAAATGTATCTTGGCCCTGCACAACTTGACCCCAGCCTTCCTGTTCTATTCATGAACCGATCTGCTTGGCGTGCGCGGCAGACGCAACACCAGCTGGGCTAGAACTTCATGTTCGTGGTAGAAGCGAGAAACCGGCGCCTTGGGGGTGGCGCTCCTCGTGTCCGGTCCACCACGGTACGTGCTACAGGAGGCCCAAGGCAGATTAGTGTCCCTCTGCTGTCTTGTCTCTGTTTGTCGTCTTGGGAAAACCAAGAGACTCGTTGCCGACAAAGCAGACCTCCAAAGGTTTGGGATCATTTTTCCCCCTCGTAGCTCTTCCAGGCCAGCGACAGACGCCCATGGCCGCTAAACATGGCTCCTCTGATCTCTTTGAGCTGTCAACGCCGTCGTACTATTCTTCAAGAGACCCGTTATGGGCTGGGACCTCGCTGGACAGACCGCCGGACACAGTGACTGCGCGGCGGCAGGAACCAGGGAAAGTCCTCGATATCGGTCGCTATGGCTTCAGTGTGCTGTCACTCGGCACCCTTGTCATCAGCGGTGCAGTTGGATTCCTCTGGTTCCTGTGGAAGGCTGACGACCGCAACCATTTCTGGAGATGGATCGTTGCTGGAGGACACATTGCTCAGGCTATCGCCTTGACAGCACTGGTCATTCGATTTGCAGTCTTTGCGCAGGCAGCGCTATGTACATCGATGCTGGCAAGCCTGGCACTGCAAAAATTCCAGGTTACATTGCCCAACTCTGTACCAATGACTCTTTTGCAGCACCAGAACAACGGTCCTCACCAACTTGTCGTCAATCTTCTTGGGTCGTGGAAGAAAGGCAAGGCTGGCGTCCTGGGGTTGTTGGCGGTAATTCTCATGTTAACGACAACGGTTGTCCAATTCACCTCGACGATTCTGCTCTCCGACCTACAAATCAGCCCCATATCGGACGTGGTTCGCGCGTTGTCAATTCCGGCAACCATAAATTGGGATGCTGGGATCTCTTCCCAAGCGACTTGGTCTGGTGACGGGTATATGCTTCTAGCCCCAAGTCAATATCCTGCCTTTGCCGAATACTCGCAAACCGAGGGTCATCGGGAAACGGTTGATGGTGTCCACGACACAGGGACTGTGATGCGGGCTTTCATGCCGGTAACCCAGAAGAGTTCGCGGGAAATGCTTCGAAGTTACGAGGGGATCGCCACCACTTTGGACTCCCGGGTTGTCTGCGCGCGGCCTACCATCAAGCGTGCATCCCTCGATATCGGCAACGTCGACGAGTGTGCAGGCCCCAGGATCAGCGGGGACGTCTCAACCGACCTAAGCTCGGTTCCACGGTTTCGCTATCACGAAAATGACAAAGTTACAGAGACCTTCAACTGTGGTACTGCCGTCCCCAATGCGCAGCGGCCCTCGGAGTGGTCCTTGATGAGTTGTCCCGTAACTCAAACAGGCGGCATCATTTCAGCCATGGACAGTATTGACGAGGTGCTCGATCCGGACAGTGGCACGCGATACGGAATGAATACATATATGTTGTACGGAGTAGGTCAAGCCTACCTCCTCGTCAATACCACAGGAAGTTGGGGCCGGTGGCTCAACTACTGTAAGCGACGGAAGATCTTCGACGACGGTGGCGGGCCGACCGTGTCAAATCTCACTTTGGCCTCTGAGCAGGATTACATCGAGAAGGGCGAGTGGCTTGACATTCCCACCAATGACCCCGAGATTACCTTTTCACTTTCTCTTTGCTACAGCGCCTTCAACGTGGTAGACCGTGATATCAGCGCCGACGGTTTGTGGAATCGCACCGAGCCAAACATGGAATGGGACTATGACAACCGCACGTTTAGCACGGACGGAATTCGTCGGCAATTGGGCACCCTCAGACTCAACAGTAGCAGCGCCCTGTCCTCGCCCAATGATACTCTGGCAGAGCGAGGGATTCTGGCTCTCGCACCGTTTGCATCGAATGTTTCAGCTGATAGTTGGGTTTCGAACTCCACAACGCGACGCCGATCGCGCACGGGGCAAGCAATTCTGCTCAATGCGAACCTGGGGTGGAAGAATACGGCTCTCACATTCTGCTTGGACTGTCAGCCCTCGCTCGAGAACTCTTCGTCGATCTCCGCCACGGGAGCTGATGGATCAAAGGGGCCGTCTTCACTGCACCCACACCACCTGAGTCTCATGACCACCACCCTCAAAGCCACAGGACATCCCGCCTATGCCTTGCAGAGTGTGTTCACCAACCTGTTCTCCATGTCGTATTATGATCTTGCCCTGAAATTCGACGAGCCGGAGGATGTTCAGTCCAGTAGTTTCGTGTTGGCGCTGAGGCCAATGACGTGGAAAGCGTTTGCGAGTGTACTGGTGCTGCTGATCGTCCACCTTGCCCTGATCAGCGTTGTGGTCATCCTGTTTGCGAGTCAAGGGGAAGGTGTGATAGGCGGCGGCTGGGCGAGTGTCAATCAACTGCGCAGCCAATCGTTGAACAGGTGGATTGATGGCCACGCAGCGGGGAAGAGAGACAGATGGGTCGGAAAGGAGATGAAGCGCCGCGGAGAAAGAGAGAAATGGGTTGGTGTCGGAGGGAATGGTCGGATTGAGGTTCGAGAGGTCAAGACGACGGGGGTTGAGCTGTAACAGAATAAATAATTGCGTGTTTTGACGACGATAATGAAGTTAGCTGTACAAAATAGGCCACACTTATAGATGCAGGAAATCGATCTCCCTACAAAAACAGGTGGGAACCGGCTGGTGGGTTGGGATCCTTTGGCGAGTCTCGCCAACGATTAGCTTCATCCCCGTGCCTGTTAAAAGCACCCGAGGCCCACTTCGGAAGCTTGAGATCTAGTACATATCTCCAATAGGACGGCCACGAAGTTTCTCCATGATCATAGAATCGGCTCCAACGGGATTCTGAGCGTCTGTCGAGTAGTACAAGATTTTGGGAGCTGTTACGCCGGCAGCACGAACTAGATCCAGAGTCGCGACTTCGCTGGCTATTGCAAATCGACATGGTTTCGTCGAAAGGTAGGGAAGGGGTGCGAGTACTTCGGAGCCATCTTTCATGGTGATTTGGAATACTCGATTGAAGTCACCCTCCGTGAGCTTAGATAATTCCTTGACTTCGGACGCTGGCTGGCGCAGGCACTTGGCAGCCACTTTCTTGACTTTACGAACATTGAAAAAGAGCCTTCGCTCTGAGCGTCGAAGGGATTCATTGTACCCCCGACAAAGTTATATGGTGTTTTACTCCAACGGGTTGATCACTCACATCCATTTACCAGATGTGTATTCGAACAGGTCATGGAGCCCCAAAAGATGTCCAGGGATCAAGAATAGGTGGCTATCAGCCTGAGAGGCTGTCAACTGTCAAGACTGAGGTCAGAAAATCTTCACAGGGACTCATATGTCTTGACACCCACTTCTACCCCTTGACCTTGGCCCCTCGGAAGTACTTCACTGAAAGTACGAGATTTCCCGATGAGGCACTGGCTTCCATGATGAGATCCAATGCTCTTCGGCGCTGCAGGACGTCGCACATCATCTTTCTTCTCTCTAAAACCTCTCCCAGATCAATCTGCCCGCGAAGCGCACCCGCTGCAGCCTTGCGAAACCAGTTTCGACTACGTCGTTACTCGAGCACGACAACACATCCTGCGTTGTCAAAAAATTCCACGGATACGGATGCTCAGAGAGATCAAGCGACAGAGACCAAGGGCATGTCTGGCCACCAGTACAAGATCGAACGCGTCCTTTAAGACAAAGGAAGTTTGCTAGGTCGCATGTTTCTTGCTACGTATACCACTGCCAGTAGAGTTAGTATCGTCTACTGACTTAGCTATCACGGAGACCTTAACGAGCAGTTTGTCTTGAAATAGATTCCTCGAAACAACTATGAATTCCGCCCAGCAATATGCCGACTTCAATCCGGGAAAAGGGATCACGGCCCGAGAGGCATTGGGGCACAAATGGTTCAAGGATGTCGAAGTGATCGGCTCCTGATGAGGATGAATGAAATTCCCGATATTTGGAGACACGACTCGGATCTCCTCTCTATGGCAGGTTCAAGCGCTACCTCGAGTCATTGTCCTCGTTGAGGTCAGATACCAAAGGAAGCGATAATGCTGGTGATCTTGTCTACAGGTATAGGTCTCTTGACGACAGTTCTGGCAGCCAGAAACGGATTGGCGTGAAACAGTCGGTACCACCAGCGGAAGGAATCGGACCGGCCCCAAGCCGCGCGGCAATAATCTCCGCCCCCTTATTCCCCACGGTTACCCGATTCTCCTTTTTCGTTGTCCCCTCTATCCTGTCTGGAGCTCCTCCTCACCACAGGGACCAAGGAAGCCCTTGGCCCAGCAGATGGTTATCTTGACTGCCCCTGGACTGCTCAATCGGTGTCATCATGGGCGAGAGTGCCTCTGCAACCACAGCGTCGGCGGACTGGACACAGCTTCGATTTGACACGACACCTCTCGACTTACGAAAATACCTCGAGACACATCGCGACTCACATCTGCAGTCAGACGCACACACCTGTGTGAGTGAACTGGCCGCGTCCACGTGGGAGTACTGGGAGCCAGACTGCTTCGAAAGCCTGTTGAGATCAGCACCCTGGTTGGCCGGCTTCACGGCGGAGGATGGGAATCTGACCCCGGCCTGCCGCGCTCTCGAGGTTCTGCCAAACCAATGCACCAGGCTGCTGCTTCGGCTGGATGTAATCCTAGCCAATTGGCTCATCACCTCTGTCTTCAAGACATGGCTACAAGGGTTTAGGAGGAGGATGGACGTCAACACGCCAATCGTGCGACCTGCTGAACCGTCGGATGTCGTCAAGACCATCCTTCACGATGTTCCCATTTCGAGCTCGGCGCTCAGCTCGCTGTGGTGGCAGCTACTGCAGAGCTACTCGGACTTCCGCAAAAACTCGGTCTACCAGATATTCTCGACCAAGGTCGCCGAGTTTTGCCTCGAGGCCGGATGCCCCGCCGTCACGCGCAACCCTCCAGAAGATATATACTCACTCCGAAACCATCTGTTCTCCAGCGACTCGGCGGCTCGAGAAGCCGAGCTGCGCAAGGAGATTGATGAGCTTCGAAACGCCAATCGCTCACAGCAGCGCATCATCACAAACCTGGCCTTTCGGCATCTTCTGGAGATGTTACCACCACGAGACGCAAAGGCTGGGAACAGTGCGACAGCGGCCTGGACTGCTTTCTTCCAGACCGGGTTGAAGGAGGCACAGAGGCAGCTTGAACGGGGTGAGTCGGGCCATCCACTGACTCCCGTCCTGAAAAAGTACCCGAAAATCAAGCAGATCGAGAACGTGGGCACGAATCTCTACGGCACTCTCAGCACCAATATCCACCACTTTTCAGGCCAGTACAAGGTCCTTGATGACCAGTGGAATGCGCTCGAGGTGGATATCCTGAGGGCGATCACACCTCTGGCTGACAATGAGACAGAAGCGGGTGTCGACTGGCAAATGGAAAGATCACGCTATAGAGGGAGTGCCACTCACAGGTAGAGAAGCACTGTTGAGGCCTTGTGTCGAAGGGAACGTGGCTGTGAGCAAACGACCCCGATTCAAGACGGGGTGTGAAAGGCGCATTTTTCTCTCCTTATTCGCCTTTAGGCGCGTCAGCTGGGCTGATGCGCCCATGCACATGTCCCACCAACCCAACACCCATCCTCCTCAAGCAGTACGTTGATCTGCGACAGATATCCCATCGCTCGTCCCTGATACACCACCGCCTCCTGCCCCACGGGCAGCATTCCATGGGCCGCCAGAACATACGACAACGCCGCTGCTGCGATCCCTGTGGCCGCGTCTTCAGGATACCCCGAAGCCTTTGGGAACTGCCGTGCCTCGGCCTGGACAGAGCTGCTACTGTTGTCCCTGCTGTTTCCACCGTGTACCACCGCGTAGGGATAGAGGCCCGTCGACCCCAACCGATCACACAAATCCCTGACGCGTGAGAAATCAGGGCGAAGACCATTCAGCACGTCCGCGTCGCGTAACGCAATCGCCGTCTTCACCCGGCTTGTGTAAGCATTCTGGACCGCGTGGGGCGTTGGTTGCAGTTGCGCCTGATCTATACCGAGCACGGAGAGGATTTCACCGATTAATGCGCCGTCCGTCACGTCCTCGACCCTCCCCTTGGGCTGAGACACAAATACCTTGACATTTTGCGTAGCGGACCGGTCGTCTCCCCCTTCCTCCACGCGGCGAATGGTGCGCACCAGGCCGGACTTTGTCATGAACCTAATCTCCGGCGTCTGGGAGACCCCAAGCTCATGCATGACCCAAGCCGTCCCCACGGTAGCGTGGCCACACATTTCCATCTCATGTTCGGGTACAAAGAACCGCAGCTCGAAATCCACGCCGGATCCATCTTTTGGTGGTGGTGGCGGCAGTACAAACGCACTTTCTCGCTGGTGCCGGTGCGCCACATCGCGCATCTCTTCATCCGTCCAACCCTCGGCGTGGAGAACTATGGGCGCAAGATTTCCGCCTTCACTATTGTCTGAGGTGAAGACGTTGACGAGGTGGATGCTGTTGCTCATGACGATGGGGATTTTGAAGTTGTTGGAGGAGTTGTCTTTACACGCGAGGGTGTGGAAAATAACGACAGACTGAGCGGGAGGTTGTGGAAGAGAAGGGAAGGGATATTTTCCTGACGTGGATTGACAATCACGACACACGGATCAATCTACAGTACGTCTTGATACCTATTCGCCCATTCATGAGGGCGGTATATTACTCTCCATCCCATGGAATTTCCCAAAGCGGCCTTCCGTATGACGATGCTCTGTGCCCCATCCGCCCTATGACGACTCCGAAGTTTCTCATTGCTCAGTGTTCCTGATTGGCTCGTCTTGCTGGTCTCGTGCGGGCGGCTGCTCCGTTAAATTAACGGTATTTGCCTTTTCTTACCTTTTCCTTTGCTTTTTTTTCGCTTGGCTTTGCGATGAGGCTTGTACAGGGACTTTATCTATGTATGCAGATCCTCCCTCGGAACGGAACCGTCTCCGCAAAGTATATATCAAAACGCGGCTCTCCCGCTTCCCGCATCACACCCGCATGGCAAAGGGGTCACGGATCTTCCGTCCCTCTCTACCGTATATTTCCTCATCAGGAGATTTATCCTCCTCGGTGTGTTTTCATTCGTCTTGGCCTCTCTTACATGTTGTCAGTTGCTTTATAATGGAACCTAGGAATCTCGGTTTCTCCGCTTCCTCTGCTCGTAACTCGCTAAACCCGTCGATGTCGACGGGGGTGCTTTGGCCGTTTAACTCCATGTCACAGCATTCTCTACAGAAACCGTTGTGGGGGACGGAAGGCCATAGATAAAGGAAGGAAGGAAGGAAGGGAGGGAGCATGTTGATTGCTCGGTCCTGGTAACATAGGTCAATAAGTAACTCTTTACTTATTCTCGCTGTCCACGCGTATAACTACTGTTCAAGTGCTCTTCAACATCCAGTGCTTCAGAAACCCCCCACCCCCCTTTTCAAGCTCTCCGAATCAAGAGAAACAAGAAAGCATTCCACGACTCTAGCTCGAAAAAAAAAAAGGGAGAAACAACCCAACCATGGCCCAACGCGACAACTATACGTTTGAAAACCACGCTTCCCTGCCTGCCGGCCTCGGTAGCACCCTCGCCAGCTACTTCCGGTCGTGGGACGACCCGCACTCCAACAACGAGTACCTCAACCTGTTCACGCCGGACAGCGAGCTCGTCTTCGGCCCGACCCCTGTAAAGGGCAAAGACGAGATCCGCGCCCTCCGCGAGGCCATGGTCCACCCGACAAACGGGCCCGTCGTCGACCTCGAGCACACCTTCAAAAAGTGTTTCGTCCTCGCGGGGCCTACTCACGAAGGGCCCGAGGTCGTCATCAACGGCACCGTGTGGTTCAAGTTGAAGAACGGGCGGCGGGTCGACACCGATTTCGCCAGCTGGATCGTCTTCAAGAGGCAGCAGGGGGAGCAGCTACAGGCCGTGTTTTATAAGGTGTACATTGACCCGGCGGAGTTGCAGGCCGCGATCCAGGAGATGGTCGCCGCTGAGTAATGCAGTGAGAAGGGACGAGGATCGAGGATCGGGAGACAGGGGATACTAGACACTGCCTGGTAGGGTCATGTAGGAATTATGCGACGTGGATGTGGGCAGAGATCTGAGTGGATATCTGGGTGTATATATGCACAAGTGCATGAGTGAATAGTATATAGTATATACATTGTAGTCGGATTGATGTTGTGTACATCATATAATATATTCCTCGTGCTGTATATTACCTAAGTAACTCACTGAGTTGGAGACAAGGATCTGAGCATACAACTGAGGCACAACCAGGGCAGAAAGAAGCTATCTAGTAGGTAGGTAGGTAGGTAGGTACGCAGGTACTTGGTGTATAAAATGATATATTATTACATCTTCGTATTCATAATCACTTCTTAAATAGTGAGTAATATACCGTCACAAGAGATCTCTAGATATATCGACCCATCTCCGATCCACCTCGAGGGGAAAATGTCAAAATATCATCAACACTGCCAGGCTGGCAGCTGGGAAACCGGCATGGTTCATGACGAGCAACTGCACTGGATCGCCCGCTGAAATCGGGGCACATCACCACAGTACTTCTTCTCAATCTCCTCGTTCCAACCCCACTCGTCCTCAAACGGCGCGAGGGTCATCTCCATGACGCCCTTCAAAATATCTCGCTCCTTCTTGTTCTGTACTCGATCAATAATATCGTCCAGTAACCATCCTCTCGGCACAAAGTTGGGATTGACGCTCTTCATCAGCTTCTCCCGCTGCTCGTCTGCCGCCGACGCAGTGGTCTCGTCCGTGATATCCCAGTCCTCAACCACCCGCTCCCGCCACGAATCGAGCCACTTCCCGACCTTTTCACGGCCAGACTCGTTCGATTCGTTCAGACCGGTGACACCTTCGCCGTGGAAGAATCTCTCGGCTGTGCTCTCGCGCTTCTCTTTGGTGCTGATATCGTCCATCTTGACAGAGGAGAGACGGCGGAAGAAGTGGTTAAAGTCCAGCTCCAATGCTTCCATTGTATCCAGCAATTCTGAGAACAGCTTGTCAAAGTCACTCTCCTTTTGAGTCTTCAATCCCAATCGTACCGTCATCAGACGACGATACTCGCTCATGAAAACAGCTTTGTACTCGTCCCCGATCTGGTCGATAATGGTCTCGGCGCGCTTGATGAGAATGGGTGCAAAATCTTCATGTACCCCTTTCTCTGCAAAAACCTCGTCATCCACCTTGTCCCCAGCACCAATCAATTCACCGAGGGCTTCACCGAGACGAACGAGGTTCCACCAGAAAATGCTCGGCTGTGCGCGGTAACTATACCTCAGCATATGGTCATCGTGATTAGGCGTGTAGGATGGATCGAAGTTGTCCATAAACGCAAACGGCCCATAATCGAGCGACAGACCGTAAATTGACGTGTTGTCAGTGTTGAGCACTCCGTTCATGAAACCATACGCCTGCATCATGCCCACAAGCTTGGCGTTTCTTCGAACAACTTCTCGATAAAGTCTAGTAAACCGATTCTCCTCGGCGCCTTCTTTGCCTTGGATCTCATCCTTCGGGACACCTCTTGCTGGGTCGAGATGGGCGTCTGGGATATCGGCTGGCAAAGCTGCCGGTAGTTTCTCCCACCCACCAAAGACATCTTCAGCAATGTAGGTTGCGACTTTGCGGATCAGATCCCGGTCACCTCTTGACCTCAGGAGGTCAAATGTGCCCAGTCTCAGCCATGTCTGAGCAAAACGGCAGACAATTGCTCCAGGTTCAAGACGTTCCCTGACCACCTCGGACTTGGGGCACAACGTCAACGACAGAGCCCTGGTCGTCGGTATGCCGATAGCATTGAGATACTCGGACACAACAAACTCTCTGATACTCGATCTCAAAACGGCCTTCCCGTCGGCAAAGCGTGAGTAGGGTGTCTTGCCCGCACCCTTCAGTTGTAGCTCGTAACGGACGTTGGTCTTTGGATTCGTCGTCTCAAACAGCGAGATTGCCCGTCCGTCACCGAGTTGACCGGCCCACGAACCGAACTGGAAGCCACCGTAGCATTGCGCCCAGGGATATACCCCACCCTTTTCTTCATCCCAGTAAAACTTGTTGCCTGCGACGACTTGTTTGAATTCTTCGGATGACGCTTCGCTTTCCGCGAGACCAATATCGCGCAGCGCAGCCTTACTGACAGCTAGGAGTTCAGGCTCCTCGGTCGGCTCGGGCCTGACAAAAGTGTACAGTGCCCCTCGCACCATGCGGGGACCCAACTTCTGTCGAGGGGCCTTGTGAGAGTCGATCGGCGTCGGGAATTGAGGATCAGGAGGAAGTTTGGAGGTGAAATTATTGGATTTGGGAATATCTGCCAATGTGGCCGTGGCTTCGGAATGGCCGTTGGACCGGGTGCCATTGCTATGGCCGTTTGAAATATGGGAGGACATCTGGGCGAGTCTCATCCGCGATACAGGAGCGGGGTTCTGAGATGGTCGAGATGGTGTTGGACGAGAAAGACGAGATATGCGTCGGATGAGCATGCAGAAGGCAGCAACAAAGATGATAAAGACGAATATATTGATGAGAGTCGGAGGCGTGTGATAATTTGAAATATTGGCTCTGGTTTCTTGTCGCATCGTCATCTTGACGGCAAATTGAGCCATTGACAAATTATGCGGAGATTCCAGCGGCGAGGTTTTTCTGATGTCATTTCTGGGGAAGCAAGGCACGTGCACCGGAAGCAGTCTTCAGCGGATCATTACATTGTCAAGCGCAGTCCGGCGGATCGTAGACTCCGAAATGTCAAACGCTTACATGTCTGTCTACATAGCCAAGATAGCCACCCACCCGCACCATTGTCCTATGTACCTCGTATTACCAAGCAAGAACTCGAGCCTAATGCACCTTTACTCCTTGACCTTGAACTCTCCCCTTCGTTCTCCTCCATGCCAATTCATGTCGTAGGACCCTCATTACTCCCATCCTGTTCACCGCGCTCCGCATCATACATAACATCGTTCGTCTGGGCATATCGTCGTCACTCATCATCTACATCTCCTTTAGCAGCATCACTGTCATCAGTAGCCCTGGCTTTGGACTTCCTCCTTCGGCTCTTCCTCCCACGCCCGCCATTCACCGTGGCAACTGTCGACGTCTTGTCCTCAATAGCTTCGGGGTCAGGCGACGTCGGAGGAGAGGAGAATGTTCCCATCTCTTCTTCCATCTTCTCCTTTAGAGCCCTGAGATTTGCAATCGCCTCTTCCTTGGACTTCAAGTCAGCTTGGAGCTTGTCAAGTTCCTGGGCAGCTTCATCCGACTGTTGCTTGAACTCTTGCTCCCGCGCTTCGAGGTGCTTGGCTGCCTCTTCCTTTGATGCCTCCGATGATGTTTTGAGCGCCTCGATTTCTTGTGTCAAGGAGCTAACCTTAGCCTCGGTCTCAGTTACCCGCTGCTCGGCTTCGTCCTTGCTGGTGGTCAAAGCTGCGATGGCTTTCTCCTTGGCTTCCAGGTCTTCTGACAGCTTGCTAACCTCGATCGCTTGAGCCTTGAGGGACTCGATCTCAGCCTCGAGCTCTTTCAAGTGAGCACTCGACTCATCCCCAGCCTTCTTGGCAGCTTCTAGGTTCGCTTCTGTCTCTTGGAGTCGGGCCTCAAGGTCCGATTTGGAGGTCAGAGCCGCGCCTAGTTCGGCCTCTTTGGATTCAAGGTCTTTCGATGACTGCTCGGCAATATTGAGCTTCTCCTGCTGGGTTGACTCAAGTTCTGCCTGGATTGCAGCCAGCTTGTCTCTCACTGCTTGGAGCTCCTGCTCGGTGTTTGCTTTGTTGTCTTCGGCTTCCTTGATCTTGCCCTCCAACTCGAGTTTGGCTGCCTCGGTTTCTGTGACGCGCTGCTCGGCTGCGGCGGTGGCGCTTTCTGCCTCGCTCAACTTCGACTCAAGGGCAGCTTTGGCCTCCGCGACGGTCTCGATTTCCTTTTTGATTTCGTCAAGCGCATCTTCGGCGGATTTTTGATCAGCCAACGCTGTGGCCAGCTTCGTCTCAAGTTCCTCTTTTGCCTTGGCTGCCTCCTCTTCCGAAGCGCTCTGCTTCGCCTGCGCGTCGGCCAGTTTCTGCTCAAATTCACTGGTCAAGGTATCAGCGTCAGCTTGTGCTTTTGACAGAGCTTCTTGAGTAGCTTTCAGGGCATTGTCTGCCTCAGCGAGCTTGTCATCCATTTCGGACTTGGATTGGTCTGCTTCTGCACGAACCTTTTCTAGCGATTCCTGAGCTTCCTGGTGAGAAGCTTCAGAAGCGGCCAATTTTGCTTCGAGTTCTGCCACAGACGCTGCCGCCTCTTCCTTTGCTTTCTCAGAGGCTTCCTTGGTGGACGCAAGTTCCTGTCTAAGTCCATCCACGGCTGACACGTGCTCTTGTTGTAGCTTTTCCACCTCACTCTCAGCCACCGCTTTGGCACTTTCGACGTCCTCAAGCTTCTTCGTCAGCTCATCCCTGGACTCCTCAATTGAATGCACCTGCGATTCGAGAGCAGCGGATTTCTCTTGGAGGGCAGTATGCTCGGCCTCCAGCTCATCAAGCTTCTTACATTTCTCCGTCAGCTCTTCATTGGTGTCATTAGCTGATTTCAGCTCTCCTTCCAAAGTGGCAACCTTCTCTTCTGCGCTGTGCTGAGCGGCCTCCACCTCTCCGCATTTTGCTGTCAATTCGTCATGAGAGTCCTGGAGCGCTTTGAGCTGTTCTTCCAAGGCCTTGACTTTCTCTTCCGCGGCTTGGCGACCGGCCTCCACTTCCTCGAGCTTTCCACATTTATTTTGGAGTTCTTCGTTAGACTCTTGAAGCGACTTTACCTCTGTCTCGAGGCCAGTGCATTTCTCTTCCGCTGACTGAAGGCTCGCTTGTGCTTCCTCAAGCTGCTTCTGTGCGGTCGCTTTGGCCTCTTCAAGCTCGCTAGAAAGTCTGGAACTCTCCGCTTCGAGACCCTCAACTTTCTCCTCGAGCTCTTTCTTAGCTGCGACAGCAGTTTCGATAGCTTCGGCCAATCTGGCCTTCTCCGCCTCGAGATTGGATATCTCGCCCTTGGCAGTGGCCAATTCTTCGGTGAGGTTGGCTTTTTGTGCTTCGTGCTCTTCGGCTTCGGCCTGCTTCGACGCTGTAATGGAAGCAACCTCGGACTCGAGAGATTGGACCTGCTCCTTTAGGGAGGTTATGGTTTCTAATGCCTCGTCTAGCGAAGCTTGAGCCGTACGATGAGAACTGGAAGCATCCTCAAGATCCTTGGTGAGTTGCTCATTCTGTTCTTTCGTTGTTGCATGGCTTGAGGTCTCTGATGCAAGGCTTTCCTTCAGCGTTTCAACCTCAGCAAGGACAGATTTATGCAAGTCTTCTGCCTCGACAGCACGAGATTCGGCCTCTGTGGTGGCAGCCTTATGTCGATCGATCTCCTCGAGTGCGGAAGCATGCTTTTCTTCTGCTTCTGTGGCGCGCGCTTCAGCCTCGGTCACAGCGGCCGTATGTTGTTCAATCTCCTCGAGAGCAGAGGCGTGCTTCCCCTCTGCTTCAACGGCGCGCGCTTCGGTTTCTTTCAGCTTTTCGTCCGCCTCCGCTGCGGCTGCCTTGTGAGTTTCCAACTCCTCTAATGCGGAAGCATGTTTCTGTTCCGCATCGACAGCACGCGACTCGGCCTCGGCGGTGGCAGCTTTATGTTGATCGATCTCTTCGAGTGCAGAGGCGTGCTTCTCTTCCGCTTCGGCAGCACGAGAGTGAGCGTCGGCCGCTGCAGTCTTCTGCTGCTCGAGCTCCTCAAGCACCGCTGTATGCTTCTCCTCGGCCTCGGTAGCACGTGCCTCTGCTTCTTTGTGTCTTGTTTCAGCGTCCGCCACAGCGGCAACATGGCGGTCTATGTCCGTAAGAAGGTTGGCAGACCGTTCTTTTTCTGCCGCGTGGTCCTCTTTGAGCTGGGAGTAACCTTCAAGCTCCGTCGTGAGTTGCGTGATCCGTGACTCGGCTCCGTCCAAGGCATTTTTGGTCCCTTCAATCTCACTTTGTAGCTCCGCGAGCTTGGCCTGCGTGCTCTCCAATTCTTGCTTGGAGGACTCGTGATCCGCTTTGAGCTGCTCATGGTCTTCGAGCTGAGCGGTCAATTGGCCAATCTTCGCTTCGGCTTCTTCGAGATCCTGCTTGCAACTTTGGAGGACCTCAAGCTCGGCAGAAAGATCTGCAACCTTGGATTGGATGTCTTCAAGTTCTTGCTGGCACGATTCATGGTCTGCTTTGAGCTGGTTGTGGTCTTCAAGCTCGGCAGAAAGTTGGCCAATCTTTGTTTGGGCCGCTTCCAGGTCACTCTTGCAGGTATTGAAGGGTTCGAGCTCTGCAGTCAAATCTGCAACCTTAGCAGTGGCGCTCTCGAGTTCTTGTGTCTGCGCCTCGTGCTCAGCTTTCAGCTGAGCGAATTCCTCGAGCTCGGCGGACAGTTGAGCAACCTGCGCCTCTGCACTCTCCCGTGCAACCTGCGATGTAGTGAGTTCCGTAGTTAAATCCGCAACCCGGGCTTGAGAGCCTTCAAGATCTTGTTTGCAGGCCTCAAATGTTTCAAGCTCGAGCACGAGCTGGGCGATTTTCTCTTCCAGAGCGGCCTTTGACTCTACGTGAGTTTGCACCTCGTTCGTAAGATCAGCATTCTGGTTTCGAACACTGGTAAGCTCATCCAAGACTATCTGATGTGCCGATTGGTCGGCCTCCCTCTCCCGAGATGAGGTGTCGAGGGCGTCTTTGGTCGTAGTGAGCTCTGCGACGTGTGCTTCGAGTTGGGCCTCCAGATCCGCCCGAATCGACGCGAGAGAAGTGTTGGCCTCTTCTATTGCACGAGACGAGGTCGTTTGGAGGTCGTCATACCGTTTGGTGTGATCCTCAATGCTCAGTTCGGCATTGTGTAGACCTGAACGGGTAGCATTCAATTCATCGGTGAGAGAAGCGATTTGTGATTCGAGCTCGGCTCTCAGTGTTGCGTTGGCCTTCTCGGTCTCTTCTAGTGCCGTCGTTGAGGCCAGTTGGACGCTTTTGAGTGATTCGGTAGTCTCGACAATAGCAGTCTTTGCGGCTTCGAGATCGGTGTTCAGAGAGGCGAGTTCAGCACGCAGGGCGGAGACCTCGTTTTCGTAGGTGACCTTCATCCGCTCATTCGCTGCGCGAGAGTCCAAGAGCTCCTGTGACAAAATGGCGACTCTTGACCTGTATTTGTGGTGTACACTGTCCAAGGCTGCCTGATGCTCACGGTTGCACTCTTCCTTGACGAGATCTCGTTCGGCTTTTTGAGCATCTCTGATTTGCTGCACGACGACGGCCACCATAGTCTCCTCCAGCGATGCTTTCAGTCGTCGTAGAGCAGACTCTTTCTCCTTGTAACGTCTCTCCATCTTTTGTGTGTTTTTCTCCAAGTTCGACAGCTCGTGGTCCTGAGACATGACCATCTCCCTGGCTTCCTCGAGATTCTGGCGACATTGCTGCAGTTCACCCTGAAGGATTTCAATCTCTGACAGTGGAGGTTGCGTGGAGTCTGGTACGACCGGAGACCCGTCGTCGGAACCCTCTGAGAGCGGCGAATCGGGGTGAAAGAAGCGGTTGTATACCCTTCGCAAGCTCGAGGA